TCATTGGTATGTGGTAAGTCTGAAAAATATTCAAAGGAGCAGAATGTGCTAAATTATTATTCAAGGGAGAGGTCTTTTTGAATGACAGGTAACCTTGTGATGTTTAAACTTTTTTGAAGGGGGTGCTGTTGAGATTTACATCTTCAATAAGTAGATTGAAATAAAGAAGTATATACATGTACATACCCTGTTTCCCTGAAAAATAGACAGCGTCTTATATTAATTTTTGCTCCCAAAGATGTGCTAGGTCTTATTTTCAGGGGATGTCTTATGTTTCCATGAAGAAGAATATGGTACACATATGTCTAATTGTGAGTCAGCCAGACTCCGTCAGGGCAGAGCGAGCAGCAGGCGGCTCTCTGATTTAAAGAGACCTCGCACTGCCTGAACAGCTCCGGCTGCGCTGCGGCCAATCACTGAGCTGCGCAGCGGCGCTCGCCGTTACGGTCCAGAGGAGTCAGACGCCTTACGGTAGCTTCGGGGGCCTTATATTCCGGGGAGGCCTCATGTTCGGGAGAGGCCTTATTATCAGGGAGGTCTTCTCTTCGGGAGATGCCTTATATTACAGCGAGAGGCAAAACTGGAAGTAGGTCTTATTTTCGGGGGATGTCTTACTCTCAGGGAAAGACGGTACAGAGCTTTTCTTTCCCACTATACATTCAGACAAGGCTCAAATCCATGAGCTTCACCCATCTGACCATCTATTGTAGTTAGGCTTTGGAGTGGAATATACTTAAGTAGGTTATTCTTAAGCCCCTCCCCTTAAGGACCCACATTGTACCCTTGCTGAAGTGACTCTCCCTTCACAGTTTTGTGCCTGCCAGCCAAGGGGAGGAGGAAGGGATAACTGATATTTCCAGTTGTGAAGCTGAGTGGAAAGCATGCTTGCAAGAAAGGCTGCTATACCTGGAGGTGCATCTCCAAAGCTTTCGGTCAATCTTGACTGAAGCCCTCCAGATGCAGCCTTCCAGATGTGTAGCTTTGTAGCCCAGAGACCTGTAGCAATCCAGATGTGGCTGGACTACAACTCCTATCATCCCTTACCATTGGGCCATGCTGGTAGAGGCTGATGGGAGTTGGGAAGCCATCAGTATTTGAGGGAGAAGATCATTTTCTTTGAGAGTGCACTGCACAGGTGTTTATTACTGGAACTGAAAGATCGGTGGCATGTTAATTTTATGCAAACATTCTTCTAATCCTACCTTTAAGACCAGAATAGATAATCTAATTATACTATTTGATCTCTTGTGATAGACAGGCCGAAGATCAGTTTGTTTATTTACTATCTTGCAGGGCAAAAAAGCAGGAAGTGAATCATGATATTTGGGGAAAGTAGCAGAAGCAGGCATTATAATATTTTAATAGGGAATGTACAATCCTTCAAATTTCTTCAGTCCTTATGCTGTGGGAGAAATCTCACTTGATGTCCATTGCACAGCCAAGTCCTTTGCTCACCACCAACGACGAGTGACACCCGAGAAGGTTTTTTTCTTGCTTGAACAGGAAAGGTTACAGCAAGTGATCATGAAAGTGATCAGAGGCTGAACCTTGATTTCTGTTTACAAACGGTTTTTATAGTCATATAGGTTAGACATACAAGACACCCAGTGATACAGTCTTACTGTCGGCTTAACTGCAAAGTCAGGTGTTTCCAAACCTCAACTAGCTATGCATTTTCCTGTTTATACCCTTGTTTTAAAGGTCATGCCTTTGCATGCTCTTAATAATACTTCTCTCTACACACACTCTTGTGATTTCCTCTTTCTCTGTCCCTCTCTAAAGCTATTAAAAAAATGGAGATGGTCTTGCTTTGGTTGCAACACTTTTGTCGTGACAAGGTTTTAGAATTGAAGTGCTGTTTGATCTAAGGTAATCCTTGATAGCTAGACTGCAAAGGCTGGTCTGGGTTTGTGATGTTGCCTTAGCCAAAGAGGAAGAGGGGGACCTGTGAAGTGCAAGGTGCTCCCCACTATTGTGTTAACTATTTAAAAAGAGTGAATTTGTAAAGTGCACGTAAATCACAAACTGTCCTTCACCCATGGCTGCAGCAGCTTTGACTTTACAGTGGTACCTCGGGTTAAGTACTTGATTTGTTCTGGAGGTCCGCTCTTAACCTGAAACTGTTCTTAACTTGAAGCACCACTTTAGCACCACTTTTAGCTCATGCTGCCGCTATACCGCCAGAGCACGATTTCTGTTCTCATCCTGAAGCAAAGTTCTTAACCTGAGGTAATATTTCTGTGTTAGCTGAGTCTGTAACCTGAAGCATAGGTAACCCAAGGTACCACTGTACTTCACAACTAATTCTACACTTCTGTATAATCTAGACAGAAAAGAGCAGTGTCTAAATAATTGTTAACTGACTTGCTTCTGCTAACCTGTTTTTCCTGAATGTGGCCTTGTGCCTCTAAGTTCCATAGAGCAGGCACGTCCAACAGGTAGATCACTGGTAGATCACTGGCTCCCCCCACAGAAGCTCAACAACTTTGCCTCCCCTAAAAAAAACTCTGAGCTGAACCAAAAAAAAATGGGGGTACATCACTGCCAGATTTTAATTCAGAAAGTAGATCGCAGCATCTTGGGAGTTGGCTACCCCTGCCATAGAGAGTTCTAAATGAACACATCGTCTTCCATTGTCTTTTGTTCTGAGAAAAGCCATTACCTGTATGAGATATCTGTACCTCCATCAGTTAAATGGCCTTTTAGGTTAGCCCCTTCCACTTACTTGGGTTTTTCTCTCTTATGTTTAAAATGTAATATTCAAAGGAAGAACAGCTAGGGGTTTCTGCCTTATGGAGTATTTGTGATGTTTGCCCATTCAGTGCATTCTTACGGAACAGATGGAGCTTGCTGGAAAAAGCTTCAGTGTCAAAATGCAAATCATGCTCCCTTGACATATCATATTTACCTCGTTTGTAGCTTTGTTAAGACACTTTACAGCTTGATTATATGGGAGCCAATCTATGCCCCCCTTAGGAAATGTATCCTCAGGATAGCCATCTGACATCAACAAACAAAACAAAACCACTGTATTAGTGCTATATTCTTCATACTGTTCTTCAAATTATCCCAATTCTCATTCTTTAGATGATAATATCTCTTGCTTATGAGCTTGGTGTACTGTGAAAAGCAATGATACTGGTATTAGAAGACTCACAGTTTAATCTTATTTGGGTTTACTTGCTAGTAACTTCCACTGTATTCAATGGGGCTTACTCCCAGGCAAATGTGTTTAGAATTTCATTGTTGGATATTAGAAACCTTATCATACAGGCCACCTTTTTATTCTGAATTTTCAGCTAAGAGGCAAAGAAAGATTCATTTCTCTGATATGCTAACAGATCCCTGCTTTCTCTTTGAATGTGAATAGTAGAATTATTTCTGAAAAAGTAAAAAATTGATCACTACTTTTAAAATGTATACTTTTGTGGGGTTGCCTTGGTAGGACAAGAATAGTTATTTTGATCATATCCGGTAACCTCATGTTATTAATCTAAAGCAACATTTTAATACATTATGTTACTCAAATCCATATAGAATGCATTGTTAGGAAAAAGTTATGTAATTAAAACGAAGATATACTTTCGGGTTATCAGCTATTTTCTTCAAGGAAGATAACCAGTTCATTTGCCTTTCCAATCCAATAGTTTATTGTGCCTGATACCCCCCTTTTTATATATACATAAAGCAAAGGTATCACTGGAATTAATCAGTAGCTATAACTGCAGATGTAAAACTAGGAGATTTTGATTGGAATGCTGACTCAGCTATGCACTGTGTTGCTGAAAGACTAATGAAATAAGTATTTGTGTGAAGGAAAGTCAACAAACATATTTTACCATTCCAAAGGGCACAGTGTTAATCTCTAGAGGCCCAATTAACTAGTTATGAAATTATGAAATTGTTTATTTACTCATTCTATTACTTCTGAATTTTTGTATGGCTAATGGTAATAAAAATTATAATACAAATATATTCAGTGGGAGCTTGCATAGATTCCCTGTTTCGTTAGCATGGACCAGTCTTGGGTTATTTTTCTTGTTGTGATGCTAGAACATAGGTAGACTTTGAACTTGTGGATATGGCTAACGTTTATAAATAGACCCATTGCTTAAATAGTATGTTGTCTAAAAGTAAAGCATTATAATTGTAACATACTTCTCAAACTCCCAGGCAGGTCTTTCCCCTCGTCTGCCCCCTGATCCTTTTTAACTAGAGATACCAGCGATTGAATCAGATAACTTCTGCATGCAAAGCAAGGACCACTTAGCTCTGGTTTTGCCCCTAAGTGTTGGTGTAAGACTGCCTTTCTTGGTCGAGGCTGACTTCCCATTCTCTTTGGTTCAGGGACCAAGTGCTTGACACTGAAGATCATAATCTCTCTGTGTTTATAATGCACCTGCTTATCTTTTTAAGAGTGCTGTGGGCATTAATGATATGGTGCTTACAAAGGACTCTGAACTGAAAACACTGAGTGGAATCCTAATTGATGTCGCTCCTCTTACAGAAAGCATCTGTTGGTGAAATGGAAAGGCAAATAATGTTTGGTTATTCTTCCTCTGCCCTGCAACCCCCTCCCTCCCTCCAGAATCTGCTCTGGAGGATTGGGAGACCCTTTTGAACAGATAAGATATGTGCATGCATTTGAAGGCTGCAAGAAGGAAATTAAATTGCCCAAAATTATCGCCCTCCCTGTTCTGTTGACAGATGCCTTCTTTCAGTGGAGTGACACCAATTGTATTCCATCCTCTGACAAGAGCATTATAATATATCAGAGATATTTAAAAATCATCTGGCTTAAGGCCAATATAAACAACAACAAAATGATAGTGTCCCTTGGTTTTTCCCCCTGAATTGTATTTCTCTTTCTCTGTCTCTTACATAGTAGCTGCTTTAATATTGCTTTGCAAGGCTTATTTGTTTTATTTCTCTTTGGTCCTTAAAAAGTCTATATATTTGCATAGTTATAAATATTTATCATTTTGTAATTCTGGGCCTCGATGGCCACAGCTATGATTGATCCTGTTCGGCATGCCCTGATTAGACCTTTTCAAAGTCTGGAAGCTTCTGTAGTAGGATAGCTCTCTTGGGGTGGTCCTCTGCTGAAATTTATGAACTGTGCTGAGGCTAGCTTCAATTCCCTTGATGGTCCGCTTCTTTTTTGTGAATTTGACAGTCCTCTTAACCTGGAAAATCGTCTTTCTCTGTGATAAAGCAGGTGGAGGGGAGGATAATTCTAATACTGAATGTTTTCCCAATCCTTTTAGTTGGATTGTTGTTCTGCTTTCCAACCTTGACAGCTTCTCTAGACAGACTGTAGTTCAAAAATGCACATTGGTTTGCTGTAAGTTGTATATTTATTTAAAACATTTATACATTGTCTTTTCATCAAAAAAAAAAAAGTTTGAGGTGCCAAGTCAGACCATAACATTTGCAATAACATTTAAAATACTAAAAACAGCAGTAAACACACACAGAGACAGACACCATTACAGTATACTGTATCATCAACATACTTTCACTTGCACTGTGGTTCTGTTGTAGCATTATCACATTAAGGGGAATGGCCTCAGCTTAGTGGTAGAGCACATGCTCTGCATATATAAAGTCCAAGGTTCAATCCCAGCTTTAAGAGCTAGTGCCAGTCAAAATAGTACAGTATTGGGGTAGATGGACTATTGGTCTGACCGTGTAAGGCATTTAACTGCCAAATAAATATTGTGTGTTACCAGGAGTAGAAAGTTTGGGGATTTGATATGTCTTATAGAAGTTGTTGGAAGTTTGCCACCACTCCCTTTCTAATGTAGCATTATACACCTTAAAGTTGTTAAGCCTGAACATTTTATGTTTATGGAGCCTGACAAAAGTGATTCAGACTAAGATTAATGTTAATTATATTTTTGTTGACCTTAGACAGTAATCAAATGTCTTTCAAATTTCATCTGCTTTGGATAAGAACAGGTTTTTTATTTCATAGATAGATACTGGGCTTGTTTTGGCAGCACTCATACTAAAATTGAATGATACAGAGAAGATTATTAGCATGGCCCCTGCACAAGGACAAACGGCAAAATTCCATATTTTTTTATGCTGGCCTGTGACAATTTTTCATATAAGATATATATAATCTCCAGTTGTGTGGAGATACTTTCAGTTCAGTTAAAATAAATGAATAATGCCTATCACATTATTTTGTCGAGCCAGAAATATTATATTGACCAGACACAATTAACTGTTTTCTCTTTCTAGGGTCCTCCAGGTGCGTTAGCGCTTCAAGATTCCTTTAAAGGTCCTTTTTACCAGGTATGGGCAATTATTTTACATGGGACGTTATGGAAAATTTATGTGCTTGCACAACTTCTAATTTCATGTATCATTTGACAACTTTCCCCAAGATTTTAAATATTTGCTAAATGTCTGGGTTACATAATGGGTTGTTTAGAAAGCCATCATCTGGGAGGGAGGAAAGCAAGCATACAATTGGACATTCTCAACCTTTCTAGTTACAGGTCAAGGGTATCTTCTGCAAAAATCTCCTTCATGGTTACAGATTAATTTTTCGTGTATTTTCCCATCCTACCAGCTGACCCCAAATGCACAGCCCTTCGTTTTTGCCCATTGTGAAACATGTTGGTAACATTTTTGCAGAGTTCCTGGGGATTTTGTTTTACACATTCCCAAATTGGAAAAAAGTAAGAGAGGTTGGGTACTTAGTAATTGAGGGGAGGGGGCATGTTCATACCATGTAGACACATCCCATCAAAGACTGCCCTCTAGTGTGTATGGTAAACATTAGTTGAGGAATCAGAGGTAGAAAATCTAAAGCACTCCTCTGTGGACACTCTTGCACCAATGTGCACATGGAAAAATTGGATCTGGGTTATCAGTTGCACAAGATGACAGCCCTGCGTTTTATATATAGCCCTGATATATAGAGCCAGTGTGGTGTAGTGGTTAAGAGCGGTAGACTCGTAATCTGGTGAACCAGGTTCAATTCCCCGCTCCTCCACATGCAGCTGCTGGGTGACCTTGGGCTAGTCATACTTCTTTGAAGTCTCTCAGCCTCACTCACCTCACAGAGTGTTTGTTGTGGGGGAGGAAAGGAAAGGAGAATGTTAGTCGCTTTGAGACTCCTTTGGGTAGTGATAAAGCAGGATATCAAATCCGAATTCTTCTACTCTTCTTCTCTTCAAACTATTGGATCCAGTAAATTCAGTGCCACTACAAAATGCATTTCCCTAAATTCTAAGCTTGCCTACTCAGAAGCAGGCCCATTCAGATCAATGGGACTTAACTCCTAAGAAAGTTCACATGAGATTGCAGCCTTCAGTATACATATTTATTGTGCTGTAGCATTTACTGTCTAGAACCCCACTGGGTTTGAGTAATTTGAAATGCTGCTTTCTGCATATGTCTCCTAATCCATTCTCTGGTATGGAGCAACTAATTACATTGAGATATTCTCCCACCCCGAATAGTTTGTTTCTTGTAATCTTTCTTGGTGTACTTGGCATCAGTTTTAGTAGCCATCTAATTTCACATTATTTAGGATTAACTTTGTGGCAGGTGACATGAGCCACAGTGGAGGTCCTCAGGGTTTGATATACATCTGTCTGCAAGATTCATGTTTCTCACTACCATGAGGCTCTACAAATTCTTAAGTCATCTCATGTTTCCCAATTAATATCTTCTGGCCAAACATGGGCCAGCTGTTTTGCCTTCAAGAAATTAATCATCTTTTAAATCCTCTTACAGTGCATCAGCAAACTCCTCATTTCTGCTGCCCAGGGCAAAGCATTTAATGACTTATTTCCAAGCAAGCAACTTGCTTGAAAAGGAGTGCTAAGTTTAGTATTTGGGATGATGGAAGATGACTCACCAATCTAAACCTCAGATTTAGATACTTAGACTCTCTGGAACCAGAGATTCAACTCACAGCAGGGCTGATCCTGCAAGCCTGGTGATGAATTTTCAGAGCAGTATATCACATTAGCAGTATTTAGGAGAACAAATTGTCCTTTCTGGATGTTAAGGAACTATTAAAATGAGTTATTGGTCTTCATATGTTTGACATAAACATCACCATTCTCTTGAAATTATGTTATGTGGCCAATAAATTTCCCATCATTGAGCCTAAGAATAAATCAATTCCTATGTGTACAATGCATATTACTATTATTTACTCACCCTTCCCCCTAAGGTCCCAATTTAAAACAACTTACAAACACAGAAATAGGATGGGTCCTAAAAATGTACATCTCAAGTGTCAAAAGCCAAGATAAAGAGGTGTATGTGTAATGTATTTAAATCTCTGAATGGTAAAGGGATTCATTCAATATTCAAACAATGTTCAGATTTTTATAAGTGTACATGATTGGTTGGCAGATCAGTTCCGTTGATTTTAGCAAGTTTTCCAAGATCCAACAATAAACTTGCAATTACTAGGCTAAGATTCATTCTTACATAGCTGCATGGCTAAATGGGCTCCTGTTCTCCACTACAATTTGCTGAACGTATTCCTGTATTCCAAAGCTGAATGTATTCCTAGTCACAGAAAGGGAACTCTAAAGGTTCCCACCTACATCATAACTAGGTATCTGCAAATGCTTTGTTCCATTCTCTCTCCTGACAACCACCATCGTAAAAATCAGACAGGCAGGAAAGATAATATTCATCAAACCCTGGCCGATGCACCCAAAATACTTCTATGGTACTGCCTCCAAAATTTTCATACCTCCCATACAAAAGTATGTGCAATCCTGAGATGTACTGTGTAGAACTGTATGTGTATGTGCTCCCTGAGTTAAGGAAGCTGTCTCACATTGAATAGAGGCACAAATTCCTGATTTGTGAGGCAGTCTAAAATAAAGCTGCATTCATAAGCCTCGGCTCAAGACTTGCCATCTCTGAATGCTGATGTTAACATGACCTGACATTCCTGCTAGGTGGTTTGGAATCCAGCTTTCCATTCTCTTTTCTTCCAAAGCACCTTTCCAATCCTACCCTCCTTGCTAGTTTAGCAGGAAGGAACCAACTTCATACTTCTCAGATTCTTTCTTCCCCCTTCCACCCTCCCCCACATTTTGAAACTTCCAGGTTGCTTAAGCAGAGCACGCTCAGAATTCAGAAGTTCATTTGAATAAATGGAAGTCAAAGCTTTGATTAGGATTTTAATGTTTCACTTTAAATTGAGCTTTATTGACATTTGCTTACCACAAAAGTGTCTCTATAAACCCTCCGAGAAAGGAGCAGATGCTAAAGGTTTATGGCAAGGTTAGGGAACCTGCAGTCCTGCGCCAAATTTGGCCCAGCATGGGTCCGAATTTGGCCTGCAAGCTGGTTTTACCAAAACCTCACCCACCTGATATCATATGCATGACAGACAGAGACATGGTTGGATTAGCTGCATGAATTGAGGTCCTTGTGGAAAATGTAATTGTGCCAATGGTCCCTGCAGAGAAAGCAGGGTTGAACTCACCCCACTTCAGGTGGTAAGTCTTAAGGGGTAGCGTTGTTTATGTGGCATTCACCCCTATCCACTTCCCAATCTTGAATACTCTGGATGGACTTGTGCAGGTAGACTCTGGTTGCAGTGAACAAACTGTGTACCTCTGTTATTGACAATTCACATAGTCAACTTGGCATGCTGTGTGAATTAGCCCTTGACTTTCTCCCTTTAGCTCTCCTGCAGGAATTTTTGCCTATAACCAGCTGTTTTATCATTTGAAGCTCACATCTTTACCATTAGAGAGCCCATTGTTACTTTGAATAGATTCACATTTAACAGTTTCTTTTGTGTATGCAAAGTCATTTGCGTGATTTATATGGAGTTCTTGAGCTGGAACATTTCCATTAGAATAAATTTCCAATATTTAAAATTTATATACATTCTGAAAACGTTGTTTTGTTCCATTTACCTGTTTTGTCATTCTGATGTATTTTCCCTCCCAATTGTGCTTTTAATGAGCAAATAAAATGCACATACTGTTCTGCAAAGTACACTTATATGCAATGCTGTGTGTTGAGGTTACAATGAAGAGCTTGGAAATGCTTGGTATCATTAAGAGACAGTGATTTTGCTTAAGGATTCCTAGTCTGTTAATTTTAAAATGAACCGAAGAACCAAAGCTCAGAGGCGATACATCCAAATGCTCATGTGAGGAATGATCCAACTATCAAGGCTAGACTTAAAGCTATTTTCATAAAAGTGGGGAATGAAGAAACAAGAGCCACTCATTCGGTCGCCACTATTTCTACTCTAATGCCTGAAGCAGGACTCCAGGACTACCACAAGAAAGATCTATCCAGTCTCCCTACAGCTCAAATAGGGGACTTGGAGCAGGTTGCCCAGGATTGGTTTTAATTTAATCTGGGCACATATCTGAAGAAGCTTTTTCCAAAGATACACAACTGGTGTCATCATACTTGTTAAGATAAACTGAAAGCATTTTCTTAACTGCACAGACTATGGACCAAGTTCCAAAAGCGAGGGCATGTTCTCATTGGCTGACCCAAGAATTCCCTTGGCCTAGATGTTGGTCAAAGTCTGAGGCTGTAGTGTTTACTTTCTGGAAGAGCTGCAAAGCTCTCCTCTATAGACCGATGGAAACTCTGCAGTTTCTGAATCACAGAATCATAGAGTTGGAAGGGACCATGAGGGTCATCTCACCCACCCCCCTGCAATGCAGGAATTTTTGCCCAGTGTGAGGCCCGAACACACAACCCTGACATTAAGAGTCTCATGTTCTACTGAATGAGCTATTAGGCTAAGTTCAAGACGTATATACTTTCTGAAAGAGCTGGGATACTTTCCTCTTTAGACCGACAGAAAGTGTGTGGTTTCTGTTTCACTTTTACTGCATATGTTTCTAATTTATTTAATATTTTTATATTATTTCCTCCCCATGAACCTGAAGGTGTCTGCATGTCTGGGTGTGTATTACTAAGGGCTTCACTCACCTACCTGCTCACCCCTTTGGTAACTGCCCTTCCCCCACATCTGACCTAATCCCCCTCCCTTAACAATATTGTTTTCTTTTTATTACAAGAGTTACCAAGAAAAAATGGGCTTGAAAGGAGCGAAAGGTGAAAAGGTATGTAATTCGCCACTCAGGGATTTAGGGGTGTCATGGTTTGTTTGTCTGCATGTGTTGGCTGGGAAGTAAGCATGGCTTACACTCACTAACAGTCCAGGCATAACTAAATGTTGCCATACTGTCCAAGTATACTCTATAATCCTCATGTGTAGTTTGTGCATAGACAGAAATGTGTCCTCTGAATGTTTTCCCTGATCCATTAGGTTACAATATTTTGTTCTGTACTCTATTACTTTTCCTGATGCCAGCTCAATGCTTGTACGTGCCTTGACGGTTAGCTCTTATGTTCCTGTGCCGATTGTTGTGGGTTACACATTCGGGCGTTTCATGTAATATAGTCCATGTAAATATTAAGAAGGCTTCTACTCTTGTCATAGGGAGAGCCTTCGGAGAAAGGAGAAAAGGGCGATCCAGTAAGTACAGCTAAAACCTGTCACTGTGGTTTCTTTCTAGTATTTATTCTTGGTTTGCTTCATACAGTCGGTGTATTTGCAGAAGTCTGCATAATAAAGTATGAACGTAAAAATATCACAGATCTCATGTCGCTGCTGCTCTGTTGCCTACATGTCAACGTGAATCATTTTCAGTAGCCTTCCCCAACTGGTACCTTCAAGGTGTTGTCAAACTACAACTCCCATAGGTCCCAACCAGCATGGTTAGTGGTCAGGGATAACAGGAATTGTCTGAAACATCTGGAGGGCACCAGTTTGGGGAAGGCTGATTTACACGTAGCAAGGGGCAGTGACTTTTGCCTCTCTAGATGCTGCTTGAACTATGTCTCCTATTGGTTTGAGCTGTCATGGGCTGCATGGCACCAGCCGGGATGGGCAGGGATGCCAGGTTCTATCAGAGGAGGAGGAGCCCCCCCCCCCCCCGCCCCAGATTCGAGGTGTGGGGAGTTCAGGCAGTGGCAGGGAAGAAGGTTCTGCACCTTTGCTGCTGGACTTCCCAGCAAGGGAAGAGGATTTGGTTGAGTCAGTCTCTACACGTCTCCAGAGAATGAGATTTCCAGGATAGCTCAGTTGGAGATGGGGGGGGGGAATGTTTGGAGGGTAGGACTCAGGTCCTGTCACCAAGGATTTGGTGTTGTCTGCGATAGCAGGAACATTTTTCATTCATATATAGTTAGAAGTTTAACATACCATTCTCAAAAACATTTTTGTAGGGTGCATCAGGGGACCCTGGCCCTTCTGGACCCATTGGAAGTCCAGGACCACAGGTACGTAGGTTATATTTAGTATACAAAATACCACGTTGAAGCTCTGTGTTGCCCTTCTTCTGATTTCTAATCCTTTATTTAATACCATTAATTTTTTTAAAACAGTCTTCTGAGCTATGTACTTGCACAAAATGCCAAAAATATGTGCAGTATTATGGGTTTTTCTCACAAATTCTGCTGACACCTTAAAATAGTTGAATGCTGTCCAGATCCTGTGTTATTTCTTTGTCCTGTACAGTGCCAAATAAACAGTTAACTTGAATGTTAAATAATCACAGCAACTGTGTTCCGATCCAATGACCCCTCTCAGTTGTCCTTTACCAACCAAATTTTGATATGCGCTACTGCTCCCTGAAACTGATAAAGAAATCATATTATTTTACTTTATTTATGTCTGAATGTATATGGCAACCCTCAGTTTGCAAAAATGCATAAAGCAGCTAACGAATAAAAGACCACAAATAAATCCCAAATACGTTTTTTAAAAACCCCCAGTAAAAACAGCTCTTCATTGGAAACAGTAAAGTCAATTCAAACTAAAATGTACAGGTGTTTTTCTCATGTTTGAAGAGCAGAACAGAGTAAATAATAAAGAACAGCAGCTTCAACATTTCTATTCATATGTAAATGTCAATCATTTGAAAGTGCTATAAAAGTCTGAAAGTTTCACTTCTGAAAGTGCTATAAAAGTCTGAAAGTTTCACTTCCCAAAGAAAAGTAAAAAATAAATAAATGCTCATTTTCAAGTTTTTTTTTAATGGAATGAATTCATTTTTTTCCTGTGAATTCACATGTAATATTTGGCATGATTGCAAAAAAAAATTTTATGGTCTTTCTCATTTGCTATGAAATATACCTCAGGCACATAAAAGAGAGAGAGATGCACTTCCTCCTTGAATAAAATTAATTCATACAGCCAAAAGGCTTTGCAATTCTATGCTTTTATTCATAAAAAATCATTCTAGAGCTGTCTCTTCTATAGCGAATTTTAAAGCTAATGGTGTAGAGCTCTATTTAAAATGCCCCATTTGTTTAGATGGATTCTAGTTTATTTCATTTTCCCTCTCCCCTAACACTTAAGGAAACTGAAAGAGAGCAAGAACAAATAATGAAACTCACAGCTGGAATGTCGAAGGCAATGTAGTTTAGGCAAAACTGGGCAGGGTTTTTTTATTATTTTTGTAGCATTTTAATAATGTCATGCTTTTTTTGATTACATCCTTTGAGTGTATAAAACCGACTGGGATTTTTCGTGCTTTGGGAGAAGACAGACAGATAGAAGAAACTGAGCCCAAGTAAATAATATCACAGGATTTTTAAGGAACCCCAAAGTATCAGTAGTGGTCATGGGGCCGAGCAGCATAGGACGACATTGCTTACTTGGCTTCCCAATGTGGATGCTGATACTGGTAACCAAGAGGGAGAAGGTGACAGGGAAACTGGTACGATGTGGGTGCAACAGTAGGAGCATCTGATTGGCTATGCCACTGAACCATGCCAACTCCCCACTGCCTCACCCCTCTCGGTTACTGGCAGTGACCTCCACATTGGGGAGCCAGGTAAGTAATGCCAACCCACTGACTGCTACTGGAGAGCATATTACCAGTCCTTTAACTGTACACCTAAACCATGAGGAACTAGACCCACCCACTCCAAAAAGGAAGAACTTTTCACTCCTTGAGTTACAGGATTTTAAATGGGTGTGCTCTTTGCTGGTTTTGAACACCTTCAAATAAGGCTGTGCTATATGGACAGCAAATGAATTTTTAGCAAACATTTTAATGTGGCTGCTATATAGGAGGAAAACTTTGGCGAATCCCACCATCTACTTAAAAGTAACCCTCTTTTAACTGGCCAAGTGACATAAAAACTTACCACCTTGGTCTTTCGTTTTAATTAACTAGGGCTTAACGGGAGAACATGGAGTACCTGGAAGACCAGGGATTAAAGGAGAAAAGGTATGTTTTGGTGATACAGAATAATAATCATTCTCAAATTAGGTGAAAGATTCCTAGGACTAACCTTTTGAGTGTAGCTGTCCAGGCTTTGTTATGAGCAACATCATCCAGTATAAATTATTGCTGCCTTCTCGTTACTGAACAGAATAGGGATTCACAGTTGAGACCAATTTTCCTGTTACTGCAGACTCATATCTGTATATCTATTGAACAGATGCAAACAAAACAGAAACATATCCCATTGTTTACTTCTGAGATCATTTACCAGTCTGCCCCAGAGCAGTGTATGTCATTAAAATAGGAAACAATACAATAGAAAAATAATAAATATAATGAAATAATTCAATATCTGCAGCACACAGGAGAAATTAAAAAAGCAGTACAGTATTCGTCAATTCTCTAAAAAAAATAAATGACTTTAACAAACTGACAATTATCCATCCCTCCTCCAAAAGCCTGCCAAAAGAGGTCAGTATCATGAAGATGCAAGATCCACCTACTTAGGTGCTGCATTAGATGAGAAAGCTAAGGCTACTGTCAATATAGCTAGGAGGGTGCCATTTTTGAAGCAGTTAATTGTATTAGTAACATGAGTCCTGACAGCAGTTCAAGAAACGAAGATGTTACTAGTCATACAGTAATTCAAACCTCTAAGACAAAACATATTAATGAGACATTTCTAATTACTTTCTGTGACTTTACCATTGTTTTCATCTATATTACATAGGGGGACTCTGGTGGAATCATAGGCCCCCAGGGCCGCCAGGTTCTAAAGGTGACACAGGACCTCCAGGATCAAGCCTTCTAGGAAAACCAGTAGGTATCATAGAGTTACGTGGCAGAAGGGACCGCGAGATCCTCAAAACCAACTCCTGTCCCAAGGCAGGGCCTTTCACATATGGGCACTTCAGATATAAACTCATATGTTAATTCAGAGTGAGCACGCCACAAGCAGAGTGGCAAAACTGTGACTGTGGAGCAGAAAGATCCCAAATGTTAGTAAAGTCACTTAAACAATGCAGACGGAGTCCAGAGAGAAGATGAATCCTGTTATAAGGATTTTGTTTGTTTATTTCTCTGAGGAGAAATAAACAGAAAGGGCCTGTACCTAGCAAGGAGGCATTCAACCAAACATATGGAGGAAAACTCCCTCAGAACTACAGAGCACATGCTACCTCAGCATCTGCTAACATCCTGCCGCTCTGCCTGGTTGCTAAGCAATACAACCTCCACCCATTCCCTCTCTTGGTTAGTTGACTTTAATGCTGCCAGAGGTACCCATTTAGTTGCACACAGAAATTGTCATTTTTTTCTTTCTACACTTAACATCTTGGGTCAGATTTCCAGGCTTTTGACCCTACTGTGTGTGGTTTTTTTTACTGGTTAGAATCACCTCCATCACAGCCATTTTACAGCAAAGTATACAACATACCCTCCTGCCAACCTAGCAGTTCGAAAGCACGTCAAAGTGCAAGTAGATAAATAGGTACCACTCTGGCAGAAAGGTAAATGCCGTTTCTGTGCACTGCTCTGGTTCACCAGAAGCGGCTTATTCATGCTGACCACATGACCAGCCATGTTGGCCAATAAAGCGAGATGAGCGCCGCAACCCCAGAGTCGGCCACGACTAGACCTAATGGTCAGGGGTCCCTTTACCTTTACCTTCATATAACATATCATGGTTCCTTCACACACATGCTTTTGTTCATAGTAGATTTTCTTTTCTTTTCTTTAAAAAATCAGGGACCAGCAGGCATTCCTGGAGCAGTTGGTCCACGGGGGCCTAAGGTAGGGGAAACTGTTAGAATTCGTGTTTTTGCATTTCCCGAGTACTGAGTTCTTTTAAAGGTTCATAAACAATGGTTTGCTCCTTCACCAGGGTGAAAGAGGGCTGCCTGGAGTACAAGGGCCTCCTGGAGAGATGGGTCCAGCTGGAAATGGAACCCAAGGTCCTCCTGTAAGTACATCCCCTCCGCCAGCTTTTTGTGAAGTTCATGCAAGGCTAATAATGCCCTATGTATGTCACAATTACTGAGATGATACAACTTTGGTAGTGATCCTACATTTAATATGTGATTGGTGATGCACCATTTCCTTTCCACTGTACAGAACTTGGGCATTTTCCGAAGGGATGAAGTTGTTGCAGGGTTTGCATCCAGCAAAATCAGCTCATTTGTGCGAGGGGTCCGTTTGTACAACAGAAATTCCCTTCCCTGTCCTCTCCTCTGTACTCCCACCTCCTCCCAATCTCCTCTGAAGGGTTGGAGTTTTGGGGGGAAGAGGCGAGCGGGCTGGGGGTGGGAGTTCCATGTCGGAACTTGAAACCCTCACACAAATGGGACAATGCCATTTAATACATCCCCTCATAGTATTTCCAGGGTCACACTGCAGTATCCTTGGGGTATGTAGTGTTTTGTTTTGTTTTGTTTTGGGATATCTTAAACAAGCAGCTATATAAATGCCTTCCTAATCTTGGTTTTGGGAATGGGAATGGAATTGGAAAGGAATGGAAAGAAAGGAGTTATGCATTGCTACATCACAGGGCAGGTAGCATGGTCCCTGGCTTTCCTCAGAGTGTAACTGTACCTAGAAGCACAGTGGCCTACTTTATGTTAGAGATTAAGGTGCATTTGGAACATATTGTTATTTGTCAGCCATTTGTTTGTTTGTTTACTTATTTGCTTATAGTTGTATAGCACCTTTTTCTCCAAGGAGTGCAATGTGGTATACATAGTTCTCCTCTCTTCGTTTTATCCTCACAACAACCCTGTGAGGTAGGGTTAGGGTTAGACAGAGAGTCAGTGACTGGCCCAAGGTTATCCAGTGAGCTTCATGGCTGAGTAGGCATTTGAACCCTGTTTTATTGTTTTAAGGTGTTTAATGTTTTCAAAAAATTGTTCATTGCTGGTTTTGGATTTCAAATTGTATTGTAATCTACCATGGGACAACTTTTGTGTGTGAAGGCAGTGGGTATATGAAGGTCTTGAATACACACACACACACACACACACATACACACACAGTGGTACCTCGGGTTACATACGCTTCAGGTTACATACACTTCAGGTTACAGACTCTGCTAACCCAGAAATAGTACCTCGGGTTAAGAACTTTGCTTCAGGATGAGAACAGAAATCGTGCTCCGGCGGCAGCAGGAGCCATTAGCTAAAGTGGTGCTTCAGGTTAAGAACAGTTTCAGGTTAAGAATGGACCTCCGGAACAAATTAACTACTTAACCCGAGGTACCACTGTATATATATAAAAATATGAACCTAGAAGTTTACCCCTCCTCCATTAGCTCACTGTAGTCTATATAACTGACTGAATGATGAAACAACTGGATCTCATTCCACCTGCTGAAGCACTGTGTGATCTTTTTATCTGGCTTTCAGTGGCTAGGGTTAACATACCATTTGGAGGTTTGGTTTTAGCATATAAAGCCTTCCAATATTTTTATGCTTTTGGTATTTTATAGGTTGTTGGGATTTTTGTTTTGTTTTTTAATCTGGTTACATGCCTTAAGGTTTCATGGTAGAACAATTTAAAAACACAAATCAAAACAAATGATCAATTTTTGCAATACATTTCCTACCATGAGAGGAATACAACTGTGGCATGCAGAGTCTTGTGACCAATACATGATAGCTGGGGAATGTTAATCTTCCTACGCACTTCACAGGGGACAATTTTTCCTGAGGATCATTGATATATCATTTCAGTCTCCCCCACACACTGGCCTTCGTGTTTCAACATTGCCCCTGGCCTTTAATGTCGTAAACAGGGAAGATGGTCAAAATGTTAACTCCAGAGCATTTGATTTTACAAAAGGCCAGCAAGTATTGTGTTTCCCATGCTGTATCATCTTGCTAGTCAAATGTCACCATATTTGTCAATAAAGAAGGATACATGTTATAATAACCATGGTCCTGAACTGTGCTCTTAATTACAGGGATGCATTGCATACTTTGTTTGATGAAGCCAGCTTAATAAAAATTTATTCTGTTCAAATTAGGAGCAGAGGGCATAACTCTTGGAATAAATTGAAATAAATTACTGTAAATTCACATTCAGGGTTTGAAGTGGGCATAAGCATTTTATTTAAAATATAAATAGGCTTTAAAAAAATTGTTCAGAAACTTTCAACATCTGCATTTCTTTAAAAGATAGTGCTGATTTCAGTTTTGTAAAATAAAATACAGTTGTCTTGTGGATCTCATAGCAACAATAAACTTTGTAGCAATATAACTGTGTAGGTATTTGTGGATTAATTTTACTGAATGGCCATCCAGTATATCCAGCCAAATATATGGGTCACTCTCATACTTGGCAAATTGCTAAGTTTGGGGGGAGATGTGTTGGATATTATCTAAACCAGGCATAGGCAAACTCGGCCCTCCAGATGTTTTGGGACAACTCCCATGATCCCTAGCTAACAGGACCAGTGGTCAGGGATGATTGGGAATTGTAGTCCCAAAACATCTGGAGGGCCAAGTTTGCCTATGCCTGATCCTAAAGGATTGTTAAATCGCACCCGAGGTGACTCTCCTCTCACTGGATCAGCAAGCAGAGGTGTTCATAATGAGTGTATATTTCCATTTGAAATTTCTACTTCATGAGAATGAAAAGAGGGCTACCCTAGACCTAGAGGGCTGAAATGGGCAGAACAACAGTAGGCTTCATGCAGGCGCAGTCTCCTATTGCTTGGAGAAAGCCCTAGGGATGAGGGGACTTAAACAGCTGTTAGGAGGTGGGGACTTTCAGTCTTGGGAACTGATTTTATAGGGTACGATTTACTGGGGATGGGCTACTGTGCTCATTAGGCCTGACACTCAGCCAAGCCTGTGAAGATTGTGTTTTTGCTAAAAAAGAGTTGCCGGTACCTCCAACTTTGATCTGTGATTTACTACCAGCTGTCTCTATGACAGTGCCTGAGAACAGTAATCAAATGTACTCATGTATCACACTGCGATTCTGTACCTGTGACTTGTATTTCTCTTTCATTCTCTCTCTCTCTCTCTAGGGTCTTAAGGGGCCTCCTGGGGCACCGGGCTTCCAGGTAAAATACAAAATGGGAAATTTAGGTGAGTGCTATTTATGCCTTTATCGTCCAGCTATTTCTTGATGACCCAACTTGTTTCCACCTCAGGGCTCAAGAGGACCTCCTGGATTACCAGGTACTCCAGGAACCCCAGGGATCGATGTAAGTACTAACTTTGCAAATGCTGCAATGGCAATTTGTATCCCTTGTCAAAGCCAAGAATGTAAAATACAGTACTTTTAATATATCTTTCCATAGGGTATTCCAGGACGTGATGGAAAGCCAGGACTTCCAGGGCCTCCAGGTGACCCAGTATGTATATAAACCAAGGCTCTAATACAAATGCACTTAAGGGTGAATATTGCAAATTTACCTAAAGAGCTGCAAGCATATGAAAGTTTAGGCTTATGTGTTGAATTAATTATAAATAGATTCACAGTTTCAATCACTTAGGATTTTGTTTGATTAGATGTGGGGAATCTTTGGCCCTCCAGATTTTGCTGAATTAGAACTTCAGTCAGCCCCATCAAGCATGGCCAGGGGTAATGGAACATGTAGTTCAAAAAGAATATAGTGCAGCAGTGTGGGAGTTGTAGTTCAGCAATGTCTGGAAGACGAAAGGTTGCCCACACCTGAGTCTGATGAACACTTGTGCTGTTGTTGCCTGTTCAAAACAGTTACTGTACTTGCATTTGAAAGGTCTAAATTATCTTAACAGGAAAGCAAGTTCAGATGGCCCTTATAATGACTTTCCTAGCCGTCTCTTTTGCAGGACTCTTGATTGTACTACATATGGAACTACAATGCCTCTGATGGTGGAGGGAAAGTCAACAATGAGTTTTACGCTTTCCTGATGCAATTCAATTCTAGGCTAGATCTGCTGTTGGCTGTATTTTGAGCTTTGAATATTGCACTTGGGAATTTTGAATTTACAGTTGCAATTTATTTAATTTATTTGCACCTTAGACTTTCTTTTTTCTTTTTGTAGTATTTCCTGCCAGTATTTCCTATGTCAATCTATTTCTTTGGAGAGCTGCATCACCCTCCTTTATTATTAAATATGGACAATGCATATAGTCATGTAAGATGCTTTGCAAGGGTGCTCTATTCCCTCCCTGATCTGTTTGTTTGTTTTCAGGTTGCTCTTCCTCTTCTTGGAGATATGGGTGCTTTATTGAAGGTAATTGTGTTTTCTGGTTCCCTGCTCTCTGCCGATAGTTGGCAAAACCACAGAGGCAATCAGTTTTGCAGTATCGATGCTAATCTACTCTTACCTATAGAGCCTAATTTTTATGTTTCTCCTCTGCTCTTTTGGTTTACCACCTGATGTAAGAAATCAGAAACCCTTGGCATATCTGGAATTAGCACATTATCATGGACCACCGGTATTCATTATTAAACTGAAGGAGATCACAGTGCTGGCAAGGCAATCTGTTTTCCATGTTGAAATCCAGCATATATATTTTTATTGCATTTATATCTCACCTTTTCCTCAAGGTGGTATATACATGATAATCCCTCTCCTCGTTTAATCCCCACAACAACCATGTGAGTTGGTTAGGCTGAGAGGGGAAAAGGAGAATGGCAGTCTTACCTGGCAGGGATGGCCATGGAGTTAAAAGTTACGGCTACCTTTGTGACAAGATGCATTACTACTTTTCTGAAAATATTCCCCACCATTTTCGTCTTCATTAGGGTGATCCTGGTCCAAGAGGTCCCCCAGGAATCCCAGGTAGAGAAGGGCCTAAGGTGAGTTCCTGAAGCAAGAACTCTGTGTAGCTTTCTGGTTAATGAAGATGCTGAGCATGGTTGCTTATTCATATTTTTTTTACGTTTTATTTCCATGTGCTCTATTTTGCAATATTGCAATTGCAGGTTGCTGTTGTTGTTTAAAAAAAATAAATAATAATGAGCAGTTGTTTAGGTGTACTTGTTTGCCAAACAGTAATTAAAGTGCCCTCTGCACACACAAAACTGGAGCTGGAGGGACAATGATAAGACAATTCACTAATGCTGTGTCCCATTGAACTGGAAGTATCTAAGGGACTCAAGCCAAAAGGAGGAAGCTTCCATCAATTATACACTTGCAGCTGACTTGTACTGAACAGGACTTACTTATGTTTGTAGAATAAGTCTTATAGAAGGATATTGGCCATTGGAATGGGCTTTGCCAGATGATATAACATAGCACTTTGTTAAGTGGCATGTGGAAACACTGGTTGAATTCTGCTTTCGGGTGATTACAGAAAAGCAATCAATGCCTCAGCAGCACTAAAGAACTCTAATATTGCAGTAGCACACATAAAAAAGGTAAAGGGCCCCTGACAGTTAAGTCCAGTCGTGAACGACTCTGGGGTTGCGGCGCTCATCTCGCTTTACTGGCCAAGGGAGCTGATATTTGTCTGCAGACAGTTTTTCCGGGTCATGTGGCCAGCATGACTAAGCCGCTTCTGGCAAAACCAGAGCAGCACACAGAAATGCCATTTACCTTCCTGCTGGAGCGGTACCTATTTACTTGCACTTTGACGTGTTTTCAAACTGCTAGGTTGGCAGGAGCTGGGACCGAGCAACGGGAGCTCACCCTGTTGCGGGGATTCAAACCACCAACCTTCTGATCGGCAAGCCCTAGGCTCAGTGGTTTAGACCACAGTGCCACCCATGTCCCAGTAGCATACATACTCGTGCTAATTATAGTTCATTAGCATATATCCAGGCTCCAGAGATTGACTCCATAACTATGTGAAGTTGGACAGTCTTAAACCTTTTCATTCTGTCTGAATGGATATTCCATAATTGTTGTTTTATTGGGTATTATTAGAGATGCATGCAATTTTTTTCCAGGGGGTACTCAAGGGTACGCAATACCAGCACTTCTTTTTGTCGTTGTTTGAAAGTGCGGCACTTACCATGAAGTTGTTACAGTGAGTACCAGCACCTCTCTTTTTTTGGTTAAAAAGTGTGACACTACTGTAAAAACTTCATGGTACCAGCAGCACCTTTTTCTAGAAAAGAAGCACTGGATGCAGGAATAACAATGTATGAAACTATCATATCTGTGTAAATAATTTTACAAGCTCATCTGCTTCATTCATCCATGTAAATATTTTGACTTCTTGTTACTCTGTTTTTCGGTACTAAAAACACAGTCTTGTAGAAGTGTACTCAAAAGTAAGTCTTACTGAGTTCAATGAGACTTACTTCTAGGTCAGACTGTATATCAGCCTAACATCTACAGCTAAATTTCTCAGTGAACTCAAATCATGCTGATACCAGGACCAAGGCATGCAATATCATCTCAGCCTTGTTCCATTTTTTCCAAATGCCTTGAGGGGGGTTTGTTGGATAAGGTTGTTTTTATAACCAGACCCTGCAATGACATCCAGCTCTTTGTTTCTAGGGAAACAAAGGTGAACGTGGATTTCCTGGGCTGCCTGGAGAAAAAGGTGATGAGGTAAAAACTCCTTCTGTTGCAATCGTAATTGTGTTTCCATTACTCAGATGTGAAGAGCCCTGCTAAGGTGTCCCATGGGCACCAAACCATTGAAGGGGCTTCTGAGAATGCACCTAGTTAGCACCTCCCCCTGGATGGCAACACTTGCCCCAGCAATGACCACCACCAATGCACAGTCGACGTCAGTATGGATCCCTCTGTGAAGCTATGAATCACGGTTATTCAGGGTTTGCACTGTTAGCCTACTGTGTACAATGTCTATGGTGAGCACTGCAGAAATTGCCAGGGCAAGAGGGTGGGGACCAGAAGATGTGTTTTGTGGTGGCCACTACATGCTACTGTTTTGCGAAGGTTAGGCAGGGGTGTGATTTCATTTAATTTGGTTGGAGTCAGAGCATAGGGCTTGTAGATTTCATTAAATATCCTCATCTTTTGCCTCTGTCATTTGAGCATAGGTGGCATTGCTCAAATACGAGTTTCTGTGCTGCTCATTGAATACATGAACATCAACTGGTGGTGTTTAGCCAATGAGCTGGATGCATTTGGATTTGAGAAACAGATTTCCTTATACTGCCACAGGTATAAATATGACCTTGGTACTATTAATATAGATTTAAAGGCAGATTTGACAATGGCTCTATGTTTTAAGGACAAATGGGCCAGCTACAGAAAGGGACACAGCTTTGTTATGATGTGTTTGTTGGATCCTTTCTGCTCAGCAAATGCAGCAGGTAATTCCAGAGACCTGACATCAAGCAATTCTTTAACAATACCTTACTGCTGAGAACCAAGAGGCAACTGAGCAAGTAATAATAAAAAAGGCCAGTTTATAATTGGCATTTAGTCTTTTAAGAGACTCCAGAGCAAGTTCATTCTGGGCAAAACTTTTTATTGGTTCAGTGGGGTGTCATATGGATTCGTTCAGTTACTAAGCAAGAGTCCTACTGCTGTGCAGTTCATCAGCTCCTTAGGCGATCTGGCACTTTTCAGTGGCTGTTACATTTTAGCAGTAGCTCTAGGTTAGTGCACTGTAAGTGGGTAAATTAATGCTACTTTCAGGAGATTACACTGCCAACAGTGATTTCATTAGTGGGTCTGAAAGGTACAAAGTTTCAGGAGCAACAAAGTTGGGTTGTACTTCAAGCCAATGTTGTAATTTGGGTTTCACAGAACTTTGGACAAACTTCACTGTCAGTTTCTTTTTAACAGGTGAGAGATATCTTAAAATGTAACATCTATTGTAATCTGTCTCTGAACCTACTTTTGCCTTATTTCTCTTTCTTTCATTAGCCTTCTGTTCTTGTTTTGGGGCTTATTCTCACCCAGGATAATAAAATATGTCCTTTTTACGTTAGAGCAATTGGTATGGTTTGCACTAGTTTTTATGCTTTGTTGTTACTGAAACAGAACGTTAGCCGGTGTGCCAAAATCTGGTGGTGCACACATAGCTTCTGCTTTTCGTTTTACTGTCATGCACAAACGCAGCATGTGGGAACCACGTACAAGCTCCAAACAAATGCTGCTCAGCCAGTGGTCAGGGGTGATGGGATTTGTAGCTTAGGAACATTTGGAAGCCCACAGGTTCCCCATCCCTGTGGTAGACATGCAAAGTATGAGTACATATACTGTATAGGCAAAGGTTGCTTTACAATAGTTTTGTTAGTGAAAGGATTTCCATTTGCACAACAGAACTTCCCCTCCCTCTCTTCTTTCACCTGCACCCTTCCCAAATCTGCTGCCTAGGTGGTGTGTGAGGAGAGGAAAAAGAGGGGAGGTTCCATTGCACAAACATAAGTTCATAGAAAGGAATCGAAGAGTTGGAAGGTACCAAGAGGGTCATCTGGTCCTACCCCCTGCAATGCAGGAATCTTGCCCACAGCCATCCCTGGGTGGGTTCGAACCACCAACCATCTGGTTAACAACCAGACTTCATTGGATACTGCTCCTAAAAAGCGTCCTGCAGAAGTAATCCATCCTGCATACAGAGCATAATTGCATTACACGCTTAAATTGATTTCACTATTTATTTGCAAGACTCTCTATACCACAACTTGGGGGGAAGGGAACTGTCGTAGTGAAGAGGATAAAAGGAACAATAAAATTGCACTGTGTTGATATGTGGTTAATATATACCACATGAAACATCCAGCCTTCCCCCAAAGAATCTTGTGAATTGTTGTTTGAGTACAGTCATACCTTGGATCCTGAACGCCTTGGTACTCAGACGTTTTGGCTCCCAAATGCCGCAAACCCAGAAGTGAGTGCTCTGGTTTGCGAATGTTCTATGGAACCCAAATGTCCGACGGGACTTCTGCAGTTTCCGATTGGCTGCAGGAGCTTCCTGCAGCCAATCAGAAGCCACACTTTGGTTTTCGAATGCTTAGGAAGTCGAACGGACTTCCAGAACAGATTCCATTCAATTTACAAGGTACAACTGTATTCTCTATTGCAGATCCTCAACCGCACCTCATAGAACTAAAATTCCAAAGGTTTTATTGGAAGAAGGAAACACTGTCAAACTAGTCTGTCTGTCTTGACACTTCCTATTGTTTGTGAGGCAAAGTGTAAAAGTTGTATGGAACAGTTTAGTTTTCACCCTCTGTGATGAAGCCAAATGTGTAGCTGTTTAAATTCATGCTAATAAATGTGCCATACTAGTAGATAGTCAAGTAAATCACTTTGAGAGCCTCTTGTGGGGCTATGAAATAGGATATTATTCTTAAATAAATAAATTTCCAAAACATAAAACAGATCCCTGTTCACTGAGTCAAAGAGAAATAGATACTAGGTGATTACATGTTGTGCCCCAGATCCATACTTTATTACTTTCTTCTTTATTAAAAAAGCAGTAATGTCAAAAGAAATCAATACTCTAGTTACATACCTTAGGTATCAGAGAGCTACTTCAACTATCATCCATTATTGGCGGGTGGGGAAGCTGTTGATGTCCCGAAAAGGAAAAACAACAACAATCTAAGCAAGACTAATCAAATGTATTTATTGTGCGACTTAATAAGTCATAACAATAATGCCAGCATTATGTAATACACTGTATCAGCATTTAAAAGAAGAGCCTTCAAAATGAAAACAATTAAATGAGAAATGCAGAGGAGACTTGTGATGTGGTGGCACGATCCTTGTATTTTGCATAAAAAGAAAGCTCTCCCTACTATACAGATTTAGACTGTAATCTGAAACACATTTTGCCTGGGAGAACATCCCAGTGAAAGCAATGGGGTTTGAGTAGACATGTGCAGGATAGCACTGTTAACTATTCCAAGTAATCCCAGTGAATTGAATAGAATATGCTGTTTAACGACAAGAATGCTATTTGCAAGGATGTACATATTTTAGAAAAAAAGGCCAGTGGTTCCATATTTTCACAAATAGAGAAATATGTATGTGTATCATCTTTTATTTTTATTCATTTCAGGGTCTTCAAGGTATTCCAGGACTTCCTGGTCTAGCAGGGCCTTCTGGACCTTCAGTAAGTCTGTGCGCCATCCTTATCAATGAACTCATTGAGCACAGCATCGCTGCACCTGTTGATCAGGCTTTAACAGGAAGGGATTGTTCTAAATTGAGTGAAAGGACATTTCCAGATGACCTGTTTATTGAGCATCCATCCTGATTTGTTTGCGCAAACCTTGTGGGGGAGAATAGGCCACATAGGCTATTTATTGAGTTCCAATGCACTTTCCTCATCTCAAAAAGTCTGGGGGGGTTGCAGGAGGTGAGGGGTGGACAGCTTGGCTGCACAACTTTAGTTGTGCAACCCGAATACCACCTAAAAGTAACTACAGTCGGTGTAGCAAGACTGTTGTGTAGCAAGAGTGCTTGGTGGAAGAACCCAGGACCAGTATTTCTTAGTTATATAAACCAGAGCTGGGCTAAAAGCTTTAGAGAGCTTGTTAATCCAATTTAAACTCTCATACTCCAAAGCAGATAAAGAGATCTTCATGTGAAAGCAGACTTCCATGCATATCATTTTCTGGATTAGAAACACAGACATAAACTGGATACACATCAGAACACTGGTATCCTCTGCCCGCACTGCATTGTTTCCAAATTGGCTGTGCATTCAAATGTGCATTTCCATTCATAGTCTGGGACAAGTAGATATGCATAAATACCATTTTTATACATGACCTCCAATAAATTAAGACATTTGTTTGCGCAGAGTGCCTTAGCATTTAAGAGGACAGGTAACCTTATGTGAGTTTCTAGTCCCATAGACATAGTTGATAAGTGATATTCAGGCTGATTTTTGTTACTATTCCTCCCCCAACCTGCTTCTTTTTCTGATTAAGGCCACAAATTTGTCTTCAGCAGACCTAATGGGTTTTGCACAACAGTAACCCATAAAACAATGCTGTCCTGAAAACTCACATGTTAAAACTTAACATTATGTTGTGAAGAATCCCTGTTTTATTCATTGACCCTCCCCACCCCACCCCATTATATTTATTGTAAATATATGGATTGAATATGTGAAATAAGTCAAATGATGTATGGGCCAGTTTCAAATGCAACAAGAAACCGTGGTTTGTTGTGAGCATGAGTGATTCCTGCAATATCTCCTGCTCTTCCTCCTCCTCCTTTTCTGTCCTTCGTTCATGAGGGGTAGAGGTTAGAAGCTTCAGCGTGTTGTGTTGTCCAAATATGTTGAGCTGTGCTCGTTCAATCCATTGTTCTTATATCAGGAATAGTTTATGGTTGCATCTGTAAGAAATGTTCGACCGCAACAACCATCTAAATATAAACTTTCTCCATTTCTCTGCCTCTCTCTTTTGCTCTTGAATGGGTGAGAAGAGGAGGGTAAAGACATAAGAGAGTTGCAGTTATCCAGATTGGGTCTCAGTAGCTTGTGATGCACTATGCTACTTAGGTAATGTGGATCACCAAGGGCTTGCTAAACCTCCTATATAGGCTTCCTGTTTCAGACAATAAAGATAGGGCTGTCAGTCACTTGGCAGGCTACAATTCATAGCTGATGGGCCCCGTTTAGCTTGGTGAGTCATGCATTATGCAGACAGGTTGTAATTGTTATCGCTTTCCTTTCCTTCATTGAGTTGTATTCAAACCAGCACAATGATGCTTGAGTAAGATGAATTCCCAGAGCTTCTCCCTAGTGCAGTTTCCAGTATGCATCAAAAAACCTTAAAAGCACTGAAGGGGAGCCTGAGATGTGGAATAGGAGGCTGCAGTGGGGTGGGGGAAATTGGGTAGAGGCAGATTTCATGAGTGGTGTGCCTTGATCCACAGGATGGACTTTCAGATGCTGCTCTGGTGTTGGACGTGAAATACTCCCTTTGCATGAGCATTGTTGCATTTCAGCTGCACTGGATACAACCCCCTGTTCTTAATTTAGCAACTGTAATGAACAACATTTCAACATTGGAGTTGTCATTCGAGCATCAACAGTGGTTTCAGAAAGGATCAATATCAAATGGTTGTAGGTAGCTTACTGCAGGGCAGAGAGTGTTATCAGAAGCATAGCTTTCACCCACTATATATATTTTTATAGTAAGCTTCACCCAACAGAGGCTCATCAGCGGGATATAGCAATTTATCAGAAGTATAAACTTGGGCAAAAAAAAGTGAATCCATTTAAAATGACCTTCAAAAAGTACAACTTGCAGAATCTGACTAAAACAGTATTTTAACACACCCACACCTATATATATATATATATATATATATATATATATATATGCAGGTTTTGGTGTCCTCGGGTGTCTTCCCGTGTAAAAGTTGGGGTGTCTAGGCGACGTTTCGACGAGGTCTCACTCGTCATCTTCAGGCTGGTGCTTTCGGCTTCTTGTTACTGGAACAGAGCAGGATCTCAGTGTTTGAGTTCCTATAAATACTGTTGAGGGGGTGTGGTGTATAGCCTCCAATGTTCTGGGCAGAGAGGAAGTTCCCAGGCTAGTGTGCCTTTTCTTCTTTTGTTCCTTAATTACTTGAGGGATATCTTGAGTGATTTCTTGAGTGATATTCTGAGTACCACTTAGGTGGGTCATTAGGTGTGGATTAGTTGCTCAAGCCTTCGTGTCTTGACCTCTTGAACTTTGTGAAAAGTTTTTCTGAGAAGATGGCTGTACTGCACTTAGTTGTGCTCTGGCTTGGCTTCGGGTATAGGGGCGAGCTGTGGTTTTGTGCCCTGTGCCAGCCAGATCTGTGTAGGGATTGCAGGGGGGTGCAGCATCCGGAGGTGCCACCATGGTTTGGTTACTGGATGGTGTCTGTAATTTATCTGTGGAGAGGGTCTGGGTTTGGGTCTGGTGTGGTTGATTGGTGATGGCGTTCTGTGTGCCTCTGGATCTGGTGTCGGTTTTTGTGGGGAGGGCTAATTTCCAGATGTCTGGCAGGCGGGACGTGTCGTCACGTTTGTTCATGTTGTGAGGGTGTTTCTCTATCTCGATGGCTTCCATGATTATTCTCTTGTGGTGATGTTCCATGTTAAATTCCAAATTGCTCTTTAACATGGAACATCACCACAAGAGAATAATCATGGAAGCCATCGAGATAGAGAAACACCCTCACAACATGAACAAACGTGACGACACGTCCCGCCTGCCAGACATCTGGAAATTAGCCCTCCCCACAAAAACCGACACCAGATCCAGAGGCACACAGAACGCCATCACCAATCAACCACACCAGACCCAAACCCAGACCCTCTCCACAGATAAATTACAGACACCATCCAGTAACCAAACCATGGTGGCACCTCCGGATGCTGCACCCCCCTGCAATCCCTACACAGATCTGGCTGGCACAGGGCACAAAACCACAGCTCGCCCCTATACCCGAAGCCAAGCCAGAGCACAACTAAGTGCAGTACAGCCATCTTCTCAGAAAAACTTTTCACAAAGTTCAAGAGGTCAAGACACGAAGGCTTGAGCAACTAATCCACACCTAATGACCCACCTAAGTGGTACTCAGAATATCACTCAAGAAATCACTCAAGATATCCCTCAAGTAATTAAGGAACAAAAGAAGAAAAGGCACACTAGCCTGGGAACTTCCTCTCTGCCCAGAACATTGGAGGCTATACACCACACCCCCTCAACAGTATTTATAGGAACTCAAACACTGAGATCCTGCTCTGTTCCAGTAACAAGAAGCCGAAAGCACCAGCCTGAAGATGACGAGTGAGACCTCGTCGAAACGTCGCCTAGACACCCCAACTTTTACACGGGAAGACACCCGAGGACACCAAAACCTGCATTCCTGTACCCGTGAAAATCTACGAAAGCATATATATATATATATATATATATATATATATCCCTGCCTATTGAGATCAAGCAGTCGCCTTTGTTGGACTCTTTTTGGCACCTGCTGAAAACATTCTTGTTTAGAAATTTGAGCTCATTTAAACCTGTTTTAGTATTTAAACTTTTGTATGTTGTGAATTTTCATTTGTTCTGTTGTTTTATCTTTTTGTCAATGGATTTGAGGTATTTTACAATCAAGCAGTGTATACATTTTATGAAATAAATGAATATAATAAAAAGTAAATAAATGTTTTGCAGGGGGCTGTCGGAAGACCTGGACACCCAGGCTCACCAGGGACAAAAGGTGAAAAGGTACGTTATCCCTTTACATATTATATTTACACGCCTCAAACCATTTTGTTGTTAGCTTACTGAACTTCTTTTTTCTCGTAGGCTGTTTAATGAAAACAATATCAGTACAGTCTTTAATTTTGTTTAGATTGAAGTTTTTTGAAATGCCAAGAGTGAAGGTTTCAGTAAGACATATCAGTCACATTGCACATAAATATATATTGTATTCTGATTTCATCTAGTTAAAGGCACAGATTTAGCCAGGTAGTGATTTGAGTTTGACTGCATATGCACTTATGGATGAAATCGACACCAAGACACCCCCCTTTTTTTTAGGGTTCTAAAACACAGGTTTTAGAATCTTAACTTTAGAGTTCTCTGAAGATTTCAGCATCAACAGCACTTCTGGGACCTCCCACAGCCCATCTGCGGTTCTCATCTTTGTGTTAAGGAATTGAAGTTCAAGGCAACAGAAAACTGAGCTGCACAATGGAATGCTTATCCACAGCAATGTGTTCTATATTATAGATAAATCAACATCAGTGCTACTTGCTGCAGGAAAACAGCAACCACAATGAACCGCCTGTTTTTCTTTGATATGCTCCAAAGACAATTTTGTCAGCATGAATTGATGGTGGTTATTTTTTATATATATAAAAATTAAAATATTATCTTCAACAGGGTATTCTCATCCTCCTTCCCCAGTCTTATTACTCTTTATAATAAGCTGTCAGCTAAATTCTGTGTTCTGCTAAGGAGCAGTCATAGATAGTACCTTGTAGCATTCACTAAGGGTTGCTATTGTGAACTCTGTCCCTGATGAAATTCTGCAAGGAAAGGAATGGAAGGCATTTTAGGTCCTTTAGCTGTGATGACTCACATTGCATAGATAGGCACCAGGCATTCTGGTTTATATTCAAACTTGAATTTTAAGTACAAGGCAACTAACATCTATGTTTGAAAGTACCTTTGGGGGGGGTTACTATTAAATATGGTTGTTGCTTACCTTGCTTGTACATATGTTGAAAAGAGATATTCATGGTGGGTTTTTTTATTGCACTTCAGGGAAACGAGGGTATTCCTGGAAAACCTGGACCTCCCGGACCACCCGTAAGTGAAATATATGATACTGTCAATAGCTGGGGGTCCTAAGCATGTTTTTGCAGAAAAATGCTGTACCTCACTGATTCCTGAGAGTTGAAGCAGCGCAACTGATTTATTGTGGCCCGAACCTCCATAGGAAAGGCTCTGTTTTCATGTTGATGCACCAGCTAGAATTTTGTGTGTGTGTTTGTGCTTCGTTGGAGATTAGAGTTTGTTATCCTTTCTTTTCTTCACTTTTTCAGGGTGTGCCGTACAATGAAGGAAATGGCATGAGCAGCCTATATAAACTACAGGTATTTATGGTCTGTGGTCTAGTATTCTGCAGTTGTAGTCACTTTGCATGGATTCAAACGCAGTGTTTCTCCCACTGTAGGGGGGTGCCAACGTTCCCACATACGCTGGTCCACCTGGGGCGCCTGTAAGTATTGCATTACTATAGTCTTTGATATGAATATAGTGTCTCAGTGCTGACCTATGCGTATCTCCTCAGAATGACTGCTCCCCGCTTAAAACGGGGGGCGCCCTTTGCGTGGACGCACGCAGCCCCTGGATCTGGAGCGGCTCCATCAGCACAGGCTTGGCTTGGCTTTGCCTTCCCTCAGGTGGGATACCTGGAGGTCTCCGCCTACCTCAGTCAGTTGTCCAATCCCACCTGGGGGAAGTGTTGCCAAGGAGACCAGGCCAGGTAGGGGAGGGATTACCTGCCCACACAATAGAGGGAGGATCTTACCTGGGAATCCTCACTTGGCTCCAGAGCTTCTCCCACCCTACCCACCCTCAGTTAATGTCTTATTTTGCAGGTTAACTTTTCTTCACAGGTATGTGGGCGCTGCTACATTAAGGTCGCTGTTAAAGGGCCGGAAAGGAATTTCCCTGCATTGGCAGGTTTCACCTTTCCCGTAGCAAAACATCACAACTTTGGCGGTATCAGGCCTTGGGCGGAATCCTTTAGTCCATCTTCCTCTTTGCGGCGGCAATACCAGGGTTCCCCGTTAAAGGGGTTTCTGAAGGGAGGCTTTGACCGTACGCCGAAAGGTCGTCATTGCTCTCCCCTGCGGCGGCAGCGTAACGGGGGCGGCTATCTCTGCTTGAACATATGTTCTCCAGAGCCGGCCCATCCCCCCCCCCACACACACACTGGATAACCCTGAAGCTCCCTAGGTCCCCGGCTGGGGACTGGGAAGGGAGAACACCCAATGCCTGAGCCAAGGTCTACCCACATTTGAAATTTAATAAAGTTGTGGCCAATTTAATCCCATAGCACGTTGTCTTGAGTCGTTATTCCACATGACGGGGGGGACCGCTCGGGATCTGGGGACTCCGCCTGTCCACGCAAATAAGTCCTGCTGAATTCAACAGGACTTGCTCCCATGTAGGTGTGCACAAGATCGAAGCCTAAAACTACATTTCAAAAGTTGCACACAAATGCTTCTTTCTTTTTTTCTTTCTTTCTTTCTTTCTTTCTTTCTTTCTTTCAACAAACCTGATATAAGGAAACGGGGATAATTCATTTTACTAGTATAGACGTGGTTTCCTTTATGATTTCCCTTTGTATTTTGGAGCAGCAGGGTCAGCTGAAATGCCCTTCCAGGCATTCTCAGGTTTCCATCTGGTCAATGCCTAAGGTGGAGACTGCCTAAGGTGGACCTTGTGTCCCAGCGTGGAAGAAAGGAAAGATAGAAACGTAATACAATAAATAAATAATATATTTTGCGAACACGTTTCTTTGTCTTTCAGGGCCCAAAAGGTGACACTGGAGCAGTGGTATGTAACTGGTTTAAATGTATCTTAAATATCTTATAGGATGGGTGTTCACTAATTCCCCCCCCCCCCCACAACCAGCCTGATTTCAAATTCATTTTCTAATTCAGAAGAAAAAAAATATTAGTATTTATCCGAACTCTGCTACCTATTTCCTTTTGGTACAGAGAGGCTTAAATTTGTTTACAGAATGAAACAATACTTACTATTTTTAATTACCGCGTGTTGAGAGGTATTATGTGAGGAAATTGAATAGAGCTGGGGGCTGGTGGATACATGATCCTCTTTATTGTGGTGTTTTTTGTTTTGTTTTGTTTTTGCTTTTTTTAACCTAATGCTACTTAACCTTGTTGCAACTCAGGTTAGATTTTACGTCTGTAACTTGGAACCATAGCAACGTTAAGTATACACCCCAAAACCTATCTAGTAACATTGGTGATTTAAGAATGTAGCACTGCTTATTTGGTAGAAATAAGAAATAGGAAGGATGTCTGATGCAGAGACAGGGGTACTTACCTAAAACAGAGTTTTCCACTCCCAGTGAAAGGTCAGCAGGTTACTTCCCTAGTTACTCCAGCTGCAGGAGTCAGCTAAGGTTCTCATTAAAGTTTCCCTTTGTTTGGGAGCTAGGAATTTCTTTCCTTTCAACACCTGTACTTTCGAGCTTGGCAAGTATGCGAACCTCCCAAAAGGTTGCTGCCTGCCTTCGACAACCATGCTTTTTACTGAGGGATATGCTCACAGGGTTCTTAAAATAAGTGTGTTATCCATTTTCCCAGCTGGCAGCACATACCCTCAGAGGCTTAGCACTCACTGAGGTGGTAAACAAGCATTTTTCAGGCTGCAGGGGAGGGCTTTCATAAATGAATATTCCATACAAAAAAAGAAGAAGAAGGCTAGAGCCCTTTTCCTTGACAGGGAATTATTTGTATGGAAAAACATTTACTCCTTGGAGCCTCTACCTGTAGTAGTACTGGCCAAACACTGATTTGCAGCCTCTGTGAGAAGTAGCTTTCTGTCATTGGATCGAAATCAGGTTTAAGAGCTGACCTTGATGAAGCATACTCATCAAATGATTCATCCATCCCTGACTAGGACTTTTAATCAAAACTGAAATGTTTATTCAGAAAATAAGCACAATCCGAATCTGGGAGCAATTTTTATTCTCAAGTCATTAGAACACTCAATAGGGTAAAAATTGCCACCTCCAAGTAAACAGCGTGGTTAGCAGCTTGTGAAATACTCTGAAATTGGATGCTTAACTTTATTTACTGAGGATGTAGAACTTTTCAGCAATAATCTTCTTCTTTACAAGGGAGAACCGGGTCCAATGGGACTGCCAGGATTAGAGGGACTTCCTGGAGAAAAGGTAGGATTTCAATAATTAAACCTGACCTGTTTCTTTTCACTACGTGTTTTCATGCATTCGTGATTGACACTGATCGCTGTTGAGAAGAAAGGGTAAGTAAAGGTCACAGAGCTAGGTGTCCTTGAGCTTTTGTTTTAATTAAATCAAATTTAATAGTCTCCAGACACAAAAAGCATAACATCCTTGAGCTTTAGATTATGGTTTGCGTGTGTGTTTCATTTGTACAGTGGTGCCTCGCAAGACAAAATTAATTCGTTCCGCAAGTTTTTTCTTCTTGTGAGTTTTTCGTCTTGCGAAGCACGGTTTCCCATAGGAATGCATTGAAAATCAATTAATGCGTTCCTATGGAAACCGCTTGCCAGGCTGGCGGTGCAGAGAAGGGCTTTTCTCCCCACCGCAAGCCTTCAGGACAGGTATGGGAACAGAGGGGAAGGCGTGCAGCACTTTTCCTCTGTTCCCGGGGCTTGCGGTGGGAGGAGGGTTTTTCCTCCCCACCGCCAACATTCAGAACAGCATTCTGAATGTTGGCGGTGGGAAGGAAAACCCTTCTCCCACCCCAAGTCTTCAGGACAGCCATCCGAAGGCTGGCGCGGGGAGAAGGTCTCTCCGCCCCCCCGCCAGGCTTCGGAGCATCCTTCAGAGGCTGCTGCCATAGTCACGCCTCACTTCTCCAGCTGGGAGAGGGTCGCGGGGCTATGGCTTCTTTAGCCCCGCGCGTGCTCTCCCGGCTGGAGAGGTGACGGGCGCCTATGGAGGCTCCTGCTATAGGCGTGCGTCACATCTCCAGCCGGGAGAGGGTCGCGGGGGGCTGCTTTAGCCCCGCGCGTGCTCTCCCGGCTGGAGAGGTGACGGGACGCCTATGGAGGCTCCTGCCATAGGCACGCGTCACCTGGGAGAGGGTCGCGGGGGCTGCTTTAGCCCCGCACGTGCTCTCCCGGCTGGAGAGGTGACGGGCGCCTATGGAGGCTCCTGCCATACGCGTGCGTCACCTGGGAGAGGGTCGCGGGGGGCTGCTTTAGCCCCGCGCGTGCTCTCCCGGCTGGAGAGGTGACGGGCGCCTATGGAGGCTCCTGCCATAGGCGCGCGTCACCTGGGAGAGGGTCGCGGGGGGCTGCTTTAGCCCCGCGCGTGCTCTCCCGGCTGGAGAGGTGACGGGCGCCTATGGAGGCTCCTGCCATAGGCGTGCGTCACCTCTCCAGCCGGGAGAGGGTTGCGGGGGGCTGCTTTAGCCCCGCGCGTGCTCTCCCGGCTGGAGAGGTGACGAGCGCCTATGGAGGCTCCTGCCATAGGCGCACGTCACCTGGGAGAGGGTCGCGGGGGGCTGCTTTAGCCCCGCGCGTGCTCTCCTGGCTGGAGAGGTGACGGGCGCCTATGGAGGCTCCTGCCATAGGCGCGCGTCACCTCTCCAGCCGGGAGAGGGTCGCGGGGGGCTGCTTTACAGCCTGGGTCTCTCCGCCCCCACCGCCAGCCTTCGGAGGAGGTCCGAGGACAGTGGGGAAAACGCGCTGCGCTTCCCCGCTGTCCCGGAGATTTCCCTATGGGCTTTCGTCTTGCGAAGGAAGCCCATAGGGAAATTCATTTTGCGAAGCGCCTCCAAAACGGAAAACCCTTTCGTCTAGCGGGTTTTCCGTCTTGCGAGGCGTTCATCTTGCGGGGCACCACTGTATTTCCATGGGGGGGAAATCAGAGGCTACAATCTGTCTCAGTTCATATGTAATTCTAAGCCAAACAATCAGCTTATGGTTTATCTGGACTCTGGAGCAAGTCAACTACAAGTCTGTTTTTGGATGACAAATGAAGCCAACCCATGGCTTAACCCTGCATAGATTGATTGGCAGCAGGATGGCCAAAGTGAGATGAGAGTACAGTGACCACAGTCTCCTCTCTGGGAATCCACATGTTCACGTGTTCATGCTGAGCTGTGGTTTGGCTTTGTGTTACATGCAAACTGGGTGAGTATTTACTGGGATTATTTGACCTAGTACTCTTGAAACTCATTATGCCTTCTTGCCTCCCATAGTCTCTCATGCACCTGATCAAGTATATGGCCTTGAAATCAGATCATTATTTTATTTTAATTTTTAATTTCTTAGGGAGACCGTGGACCAGCAGGTCCTCCAGGAGTTCCAGGAGTACCTGTAAGTATAGTCCTAAAGATGCTGTCTTAATATTGAGAGAAATAACGTTAATTGTACATGGAATAGGTGGTAAATTTTGCTAGAAAGTGGCATGTATGAATTGGCGCAAACAGAGGCCTCCATTGTTGGGGAAATAATGACTGCATTTGCATGTTTAATAAGCCAGGATATGCACAAGCTGTGTGCACGCACACACAGTCCCTGTGCTTACACTTTGCTTTTCTTTTTGCACAAGTGGTGAAACAAGGCCACAATCGACCGTGCCTCCCAGTTACATGTGAATCAGGAATTATGATTAATGATTTGCAAACAAGCCAAATTCTTAAGGCCACTTTATGGCATTTCAACAAATAGAGTGCAACTGCTTTTCCACTAACATTCGCTCCCCAAGTCACTCCCCCTTCCTCACTGTAAAGCTCCATGTGTGTTTGGAATCCTGGTGGGGAGAGAGTGGAGTGCTGGAAAATTTGGTGAAAAGATACAGTAAATGGAGAAAGGGTTAAGCATTGTGATCACCCAACACTTCCACTTCAAATCCCACTCTCCAAGCTCCAAAGCAACCATCAGCCTTTCATTACATGTATCTGTGTATAGCATATAATTAGGCACTTTAGGATATTAACATTCTGTGACCTTTATCCTTCTTTCCCTTGATCCATTTCCTTCCTAAGAGCCCTTCTTTCTTTGTTACTCCTCTCTGCCATTGTTCCTCAAGTCCCTGCCTCCATCTCCACTTCTCATTCTCACATCAATTAAACCTCAGCCCTTCTCTATGTCACAAGTCATACCAGTGTAGGGGAGCAGATCACTGGCAGCTGGGTGGTAACACACCCAGTTTTGTGCTTAATTATATTTGTCCCAGGGGTGACCTTCATAAACCAGCGATTGAAAAACACACGATATAAGCTGCTTCTGAAAATATTAGAATTTGAGAGAAATCCATTTTAGGGTATGGGCTAATTCTTTCTTAGAAGCCAGGCCCTGTCCAGTTTTGAAAGGTAATGTAACCTGAGAGTTGGTGTGGTAGCGGTGGCTTGTTTGTTTTTAGATTTTGTAAAATGGCATCCTCCCCGACATTTCGTAAGGCGAAAATGTGCAGATGTGAGGTCATAGTGTTGCAAGTTTCTCTGACACTGCAAGCAGCTGCCAGCGAAGTGGAGGGTCAAATAACTGATTGTGGCATTACAGTGGTACCTCGGGTTACATACGCTTCAGGTTACATACGCTTCAGGTTACAGACTCTGCTAACCCAAAAATAGTGCTTCAGGTTAAGAACTTTGCTTCAGGATGAGAACAGAAATCGTTCTCCGGCTGCGCGGCAGCAGCAGGAGGCCCCATTAGCTAAAGTGGTGCTTCAGGTTAAGAACAGTTTCAGGTTAAGTACGGACCTCCGGAACGAATTAAGTACTTAACCCGAGGTACCACTGTACAATTACCATAGGAGATGTTTTGGAGAAGCGAGAAGCATAAGACGCAGAGCTGTGGTTTTTAGCAGTGGCCGCACAGTGGCTACAATGTATAGTTGCAGCCTAAGTCTCTAGAGCTGGGGTAGGGAACCAAGGGCTGCATTCCCTTAGGGGCAAATATTCAGGGCCCACTTGCCAGTGGTAGCCGGGGTCATGGGCTAAAGTGGGTGGAGCAATATATTACTTATGTTTATAGGCTGCATTCTAGACATATAAAAACCAGAGGTTTCTACACTGACACCATCTCTATATCCTGAATCCAGTCAAGGACACATTCCAGACAGGCAAAATATCTTGCAGAGAATGCAGAGTCAGGCAAAAGCACTTGAGTAAGGTGTGTGGCCTGGGGGAGAGTCCCAAGAACTGAACAGAGGTGCTGCATTTGGCCCCCAGGCTTGAGGTGCCCCACCCCTCCTCTAGAAATCCCTTTAGAAACCCTCAAAAGGCTTTGGTGTAGATAAAAGTAAATCCACTGACGTTTTGATTTGCGTATTCATGGTCCAATGGGAAAGCAATACATGATTTGTTATTTAAACAAAGAAACAAAAAAACCCCTGCAGTCTCTGTTGAAAAAAGAGCCATTGAAGCTTTAGGATAATGAAGTAATTTTATGCAGATTAACTTATTACTCTTGGAAGAGCTCCCGTGCAGTTCAGGAATTGCTTTTTAATTATGAAAGTGTATCATGATTTTTTTAAAAAGGCAGCCAGTAGTTTATACAATTTTCATTAAGTGCTTTTGTGAACCCATTCAGTTTACTGTCTAGTGAAGAACAAAACATACTAAATAGTTTAATTTTGGCAACCTCTTTAAAATAGTTAAATATCCTGAAAAAATAAGGTAATGTATCTACTCTGGCTAAGATTAAATTTATACACTGCCTCAGACATTAAAGATCAGTAGTGAAGCAGACCCTTAGGTTAACCACAAATGTTCATTCCTTACGGGTTTCCCAGTGGATATGTCCAATGTCTTGCTCTATAGTAGAAATATTGTAAAGCATTCTGACAAGGATGCTCACATCAACCTTGTTATGCTTTTTAATAATCAAGTCCCATTAATACAAATATAGGTGCTACCCATTTGCACTTGACAACTTCCCTGTCTTGTTCCTTGTTGACTTCCGCCATGCAGATCACCTCACTAACTCCAGTGTCTTCTGCCTTTGGCATGTGACCAGACTTACTTCTCCAATTGGCATGTCCTCTCTCTCTCTCTGCTTTCTCTAAGAACTGCATTGTTTTGGAAATCTCTCTATTGTAGAATTCCTCTGCTCAAATCATCACCTGGTTGCTTTCAACATCTGCGTCTTGTTGCTTCTGTGGCCTCTCAGGCTGTTGAACACCTTTGGAGTAAACTCCCCATACATTGACAGCTGTTCAAGGAGAAAGGGTCTTACTTAGTTTTCTCTCTGAATTACTAACCTTTCATGGAGTTCTTTCTTGATAGTACAGTGGTACCTCAAGTTAAGAACATAATTCGTTCTGGAGGTCCGTTCTTAACCTGAAACTGTTCTTAACCTGAAGCAGCACTTTAGCTAATGGGGCCTCCTGCTGCCACCGCGCCGCCGGAGCACGATTTCTGTTCTCATCCTGAAGCAAAGTTCTTAATCCGAGGTACTATTTCTGGGTTAGCGGAGTCTGTAACCTGAAGCGTATGTAACTTGAAGCGTATGTAACCCGAGGTACCACTGTATAAAGTAGGAAATAGTAACAATCTTACAGTGTAGCAGCTGTTCTCAGCCGGAGTGATGAGACATCCAATATGCTGGATATATCAAGCACAAGTCTTGGGGCCCTAGGTGGTTCCTCCTTTCCCTGCCCACACAGGACAGCACTTTCTCTTCTGCTTTTCTTCTTCAATGTTCTTTTGTTCTTATTCTCTCTTTATTCCTTCTTGGATTAGCACAACACTTTTTCTCGTGTCTCATTTCCCCCCTCTTCCTCAAAAATAAAATGACATTCAAGTCCCTGAAAGGACCAGTGACATCATAATGCTTCATTATGATGTGAAATGTCACCAGCACCTGCAGTCAGTATGTAGTCCTTTCCTTAAGTACCACTGATCTGAATTCTTCATTTTTCTCCTTTCACCCAAGTAGACGCTTTCAGGGTGGGAGGCTGTATTTGCCATCTGTCTCGAGCTTTGTCAGAACTCACAGGGTTGGCCCAAACATCTATCACATGTTTCCCATGGTTGTTGGTAGATATAACTTGGCATATTGGGTATCTTATTCACCTCAGCTGGTAAGAGCATTCACAGTGAATAGCCAATGTTCCTTTTCATATTCTTAATAATCTTTTTTTTCTTAATTTCCACAGGGAAAGCATGGTGCTCCAGGACCACCAGGGATCCCTGGTGAACCAGTAAGTGCACGTATCTTTGAGTGCTTCCTTGCAGTAGACTGGCATGCTTGTTTTCTTCAGTTGTCAGAAATGTGTTATTCTTTTGTTACCTTTAGGGTGAAAGGGGCCCTGTTGGAGATATTGGCTTTCCTGGACCAGAAGGGCCAGCTGGAATACCAGTAAGTAATTCAGCATACTACATGCTAGTACAGAATTTCCCAAACTTGGATCTCCAGCTGTTTTTGAACTCCAGTTCCCATCATTCCTGACCATTGGTCCTGCTAGCTAGGTATGATGGGAGTTGTATTCCAAAACCACCATTTTCCTTTCAGTGTGTCTCCATCCCCGTGTTATTCAAACTTCTTCCATTGTTTAAAACCGCCACTTTTTTCTTTTCAGTGTTTCTCCCTTCTCACTGTACTCAAACTTTTTCTCCCTCTTCTATTCCTCAACTGCCTCATGTGTGAGAGACAAAGAATGTGGAGCCCTCAATATGCCATAGTTTAACCTAAGACGACGTTTAACTGCCATTTTGCTTCATCCCTGCTTTATTCAAACTTCTGCCGTTGTTTTAATCAACTACATTCCCCTCCACATTATCTCTCCCCTCTCACTCACATGCCAGTCATATACAAGATATGTATAGCTTATAAGAGACCAAAAGTATTTTGTAATAGAAAGATCCTTATTATTTTTCCTAGGGCATAAATGGAAAGGATGGATTACCTGGCCCTCAGGTAGGAAAGCCATGGTTTGTTCAATCTGGGTTCTATGCAAATTGTAATTCTTCTGCTTTGGGCCACAGTGGAATATCAGTATCTAAACTCTCATAGCTAGAGGCTTGCATTCTTAAGACTGTCTTCCCTTTTCCAGGGTTTATTGGGTAAGCCTGGTGACAGAGGTCCCAAAGGAGAACGAGTAAGTTATATTTTTACATAGAGGTTTGGTTACTTGAATTTCATCAATTTTGTCAAGAACAGGGTGGTGCAGCATTTCAAATATTAGCAGCCTCTACTCTCAAATCGTTAGCAGTAACTAGAATTATACTGTGGGTTCTTTGAATGTTAATCATTTGTAAGTATTTTGGACTGTTGATTAATTTGAATCAACAGTCCAAAGGTTTTAGCTTTGCTCCCACTCAGTATTCTATCATAACTATTTAAACTCTAAATATGAATACCTTGTAGATTCAATTAGTCCAAAATTGTATCACAAGTCATAGGAGTCCTTGAACCTGAAGTCTCAATTATAGTTAGTAGCAAAGATTAAGCCAGTGGAAATCAAACTGATTTAGAGGTGAAATTGATTGGCATAAAGGTTTTCAACCTTTGCCTGTGATACTTAATTTTCTCTCTGCCCTTTTCTCACCACGTCCATAGTTAGTTGCAAAATATGTACCATAATTTAAATGAGTCAAACATTTTATGAAATCATAATTCAGTACCACTTTTCAGGGGGCAAGTTGTCTTGCTTATTTTCCCCACCCCACTTTATGTTCTTCTAATGTATATTTGCTGTACAGTTTGTGCTTTCGATGCACAGTTGAAGACTATGGAGAGGAAAGAAATATTTGTGGCCTTCATAGGAATCCTGCATTACGGCTGCAATTCTGCACTCAGTGGGACTTACCGTACTTCAGAATAGGCATGCATATGATTGCACAGTAAATGTCCAAAAGTATACAGTGGTACCTCGGGTTACATACGCTTCAGGTTACATACGCTTCAGGTTACACACTCTGCTAACCCAGAAATAGTGCTTCAGGTTAAGAACTTTGCTTCAGGATAAGAACAGAAATTGGGCTCCGGCGGCGTGGCAGCAGCAGGAGGCCCCATTAGCTAAAGTGGTGCTTCAGGTTAAGAACAGTTTCAGGTTAAGAACAGACATCTGGAACGAATTAAGTACTTAACCCGAGGTACCACTGTATTCACAAAGCTTTAGATTAACCCTTATAGCAGACTAGCAGTTCATTTTTAGGATGCAGTTCTTTACAACCAAAGAAAATGAACAAGCAGATACAGATATGAAAACCATTACTGATTAGACTTCCAGTATTTGATTTATTTTTGTTCCTCAAGGAATTAAATCTTTGTTAATCATTTGCCCCCATGAGAACTAAATAACCTAATCCTTTATCACCAAGGCTGTACATAACCCCTGAATAAGATTGTTATTTTTTCAAACCTGAACCGGAACCCCTGTACATTATGGGAATGTCCATACCGCATGTTTCCTTATTACAGTGGTACCTCAGGTTAAGTACTTAATTCATTCCAGAAGCCCGTTCTTAACCTGAAACTGTTCTTAAGCTGAAGCAACACTTTAGCTAATGGGGCCTCCTGCTGCTGCCGCGCCGCCGGAGCACGATTTCTGTTCTCCTCCTGAAGCAAAGTTCTTAACCCGAGGTACTATTTCTGGGTTAGCGGAGTCTGTAATCTGAAGTGTATGTAACCTGAAGCGTATGTAACCCGAGGTACCACTGTAGTTTGTTCCATGTATATTCTTTACATCAGAGCTGGGAGACCTATAGCTCTCCAGATGATATGGGCTCCAACTACCAACCATCCACCCCACTCAGCATGGCCAGTGGTCAGGGATGAGATCAGCTGCAGCCTACCAATATCTGGTGGGCCACAGGTTTCCCCATCCCTGTATTTTCATGGTCTCCCTTCATCCCAGTTTCTCATTAAAAAAATTTCATTTGCTCTTCTGTTTCCTTTTCACTGTTATTTCCCTTTTTCATTTTGGGTGGGTGATCAGACATACAGCATTGGCCGCAACCCATTGTTCCCTGGACAGTTTTTATGGAACGAAAAAGGCCACCCATAAGTAACTCTCTAACATTTCGAGATTTATGTCCTGTACCGCGTGCCACAGTAAGATTCTTGAAACATGTGTATACTTATATGCACCTCGTTTCAAGTCTTTCTCATGCTATTATCATATTTTGCTCACTATTAGATTTCCCATTAGCTTATTGGGCATCACTGCAGGGAGGTTTTTGATTAGGCGTGGCACTGCGGAAGCCATTCCTTTTTTCCCTGTCTTCCTCAAAAGACCGTTCTGGTTTTGAAAACCAACACTTGCCTATTATCATCTCTGAATTATCTACTTTAACTTCCTACATCCATTCGTTTTTATTTTTGCAGAGCTCAGATGTTACAGCAAGAGTGGAAATAGTATTGGCCTTTGCTTTTTCATCTAAAGCATCACAGCTTTCTATAAGGATCTTTGAGGGTTTTCTTTGCATATCATGTTGCAGTTGAATGTGATAGTTTTCAGTGCTCTTAACTCAGCAGTCAAGACAAGAAAGGGTCACATAGACAAAGGTGACAAAGCGTTGTCTCTCTTTTGCACAGGGGGATCAAGGCATACCAGGAGACAGGGGCCTGCAGGGCGAAAGAGGAAAGCCAGGCCTTCCAGGAGAGAAAGGGTCTGTAGGGCCCATGGGCCCCTCAGGGAACAAAGGGAATCCCGGATCGCCAGGGCATAAGGGCCCTCCAGGTTCACCAGGTGTCCCAGGCTTACCGGTAAGGTAATTGGCTCTGGAAGAGAATCACATGTTTCTAAGCTCAAGTAAATTCAGCTAATTTTATAGTTGTTGCAATATTCTCCGTTAAACTATAATCTTTACAAATGTTTGTATAGGCGACGACCATTTTAGGCACATCCAATTGACACACAATCACTGATGCGCAGGTCCTTTTGGACCCGGAAGAGGGAAGAAGGGGGGTGGAAGGGAGCAGGGCTCTCTTATGCGTGCTCCGCTGCTGCTCACAGGGGCCAGGAATGGGACCCCCATGCAAAATGGGGCGAGGAACAGAACCTCCCACTCCCTGTACTGTTCCAAAGCTCTTAATGGACATTGAAAAACAAAATTCGAAATTCTCTTTGCCTTATTTTGATGAGGACAACACCTATCCTTACTTTTCTTTCCATGTCTTTGCCAGGCTGACTCAGTTTCGTTTGAAGAAATGAAAAAATATATCAGACAAGAGGTCCTTAGAGTTTTTGAAGGTGAGGAAATGACGTATCAGAAAGCATGATGTGAAGAAAATGACTACAGTGGTAATATTTGCTTTCATCTGTGATTTATGTACCCATTGTACATAGCATTCAAAGGGGGGAGAGAATTCAGTTGCACTTATACAAGTAGTTTAAGTGCACAGATTCTGATTAATTCGCACACTGTGTACACTAATGGCCTTTAGATTGCTACAAAATAATTGTTATTATTTCCACCTAAATGAGTAAATGTTTCAATTAGCAGTTCAATGAGGAAAGGCCGTGCCTTTGGTGGTGGTGCATCTGCTTTGCATGCAGAAACTCCCTAGTTTAATCCATGGCCTCTCTAGGTGGGGCTGCGGGAAAATCCCTGCCTGAATGGAACCCCAGAGAGCTGTTGCTGGTCAATCTGGACATAACTGAGCTAGAGGAACCATTGGCCTGACTCTGTAGAAGGCAGCTTCCTATGAATGTCAGACAACAAAAGGCATGAAAGAGCATCATAAGGCACTTAGTAGACCAGACCCCTATGATTGTATTTTACCTCCAGGGGCAAACAGCAGCAGTGAAGAAGACAATACAGAAGGGCAGATTACAATCTCTCTGCCCCAAACACCACTGTACCCAATTGAATTTCCGCCCCAACTCTGTGGCTGTTGTTAATGTCTTTAAACGTAACGTGATCCTAATCATGGATCTTCTTCTTCATGGCTAATTTGTCCCTGCAAAGGCAGATAGCACAGCCCCATATAGTTTATCCAGGGGTAGTCAACATGGTGCCCTCCAAAACTCAACCAACAGTGCCAGTGGTCAGGTATGGCCCAACATAGAGGGCACCATGTTGGCTAATTCTAATCTAGTGCTTTAAATGTTAGCAGCAGCACCTTAAATAGAGTGCAGAAACCAGTGGTTTTTTCTGGGGGTACTCAAGGGTATTCAGTACCGGCACCTCCCCCCCGAAGAAAAGCACTGGTGGAAACAATGTAATAACCTGTGCAACTTGTTCTCCGTGTCATCATCCCCCATTAAGAATTTGGATTATTTGAATTTTGTAAACCACCTTCCAAGTTATCCCAATATAGAGCACACATGACTGTAGTAGTCTAGACTGGCTATTACGATGAGCATTGTCCTATGAAGGACTGTTGCCTCCTCTAAGAAATGGCAACTCTACAGCAGGAGCCTTAGCCCTAAGCTGGAAAAATACATCCTTGGCCAAGTGCTGCCACTTGAGCACCCTGGAATAATGACTGAATCCAGAAGCAGTCCCAAACTGCAAGTCCAATCTTTTGTGGGCAGCACTGTCCTATCCAGAAACTAGAATATGTTGTGCACTTATTCCTGAAACGGGTGGTGCCAAAAAAAAAAGACTACTTCTCTTGTCTGTCTGTTTAGTCTGTTTACTCACATTGAGTTCATTCACTGACCTCTTTAGGATCAGATGGATAAGGAACATAAATGGCCTGGTGTGCATATCTGTATACCTGTGCTGAGTCAGGGTTGGGGAAGGAGAGGGTTCAATCAGTGTCAGGACACAAGGACAGGAGATGGTGGAAGTTCTGTGATGGGATCTCTCGCCCCCTTTTTTTAAAAAAATGACAAACACATCTGCATAGGTGTCAAACTTGGATCAATCCTTTGGTATTGGGGGAAGTATGGAGCTTAAACTCTATTCCCTAACCATTTTCCTGGTTGAAATTACCTCCTGAAGCTGCTGTTTACCCCATTGCATATATTGTACATAACTGTATGAACAGCACCAACAGTTTGGTTGTTCAGGAAACTGGAATACCATATTGCTTTTGAAGTTGATGAATGAGTAATAATTTGAAGCTCAGCTACTTTTAAAATATTTGGTTGAATGGAATAGCGATCCCTTGTTTTAAGTGTCCTCAGGCATCTAATGTAATTCATGCTTTTTGTTTGGTTTTTTATATATATAACCGAAGAGAGGATGGCTCAGTTTGTATCTCAGCTCAAATTGCCCGCTGCCATGCTTGCTTCCCAAACTCATGGGAAACCAGGTCTTCCTGGAAAAGATGGGCTACCTGGGCCACCCGGAGAACCTGGACCTCCAGGTAGGGCTTCCAAAACAAATGCCTTTCTATGTATTTTATTTTAAAAATATATCTTCCGAGTTGGGTGGAACTATATACATTTAGCTTCCTAATGATTAACTTTTAAATCCATACTACTGTTTTCCAGACTAGACCAATATATTAACACGTAGTAGGTGTGTGTTTTTGTATATTAAAAACTTCTAATCAATGCATAATAATCGTAATAACTTTTAACATTAGGATACTGATTCACACCTTTCCTAAACTTGCAGTACTGAGACCAAACCTAGTAATGAGAGCATCATCTCACAAATCAGTTATTTGAGCTATAGAGTCTGTAGTCCTGTGGCTCCAATCTGTAAAATTTGAAAAATTAACGTATAAGGGGGAAATCTAAAACTTGAATGTTACAATGCATCTTTCTTATTGCAAATCTAATTGTATTCACATTTTCATAATTAGATTTGCAACATATCTAGCATACATTCCTTGTCAGGTTGTAAAAGACAGTGTGCATTGATTAACTGGGTGGGGGAAATCTGTGATTTATTTGTATTTGTTCAGCCTCACCCAGATGCCAGTGAATCAGACCTCCTCAGTATGTATCCTTGACACACACCCAATATTGCCAATTTAGATTTACAGGAAGAATAATTAGAACACATGCTGTAAAAATAAAAACGGGGGCGGGATAGTAAATAATGAACCATATATGAATATAGGTAGTTCTTAATTATTATCTTTTGTTAGTTTGGTCTGCTCTGGAGTCAGAGCAAGTCAGACTGGAGTGAAGAACATGAAAGCAAAGCTGAAGAAATGTGGAAACGCAAACCCTGTGAGAAGAATAAAGGCTATAGAGGCTGATAAGAGCAAATCCTTGACTGAAGGTTGAAAAGTGTGATGGGCTCAGAATGAGAAGAAGCAGGAGGAAAGTTATCGAGGAGAGCCTTACAGGGGGACTTCCAGAGATTTTGTTTTTAACCACAAGTGGTTTGCTCATCATCTAAATATGCAAATTGTTGTAAATGGTCGACTTGAATGTCTCTGCTAAGATTGTTTTCATGAGGGTCATGCACAGTGGGTTGTTTTAAGATGTAACCGAGAAACAAACCAAGCTATAATGTGAAACTCCTTCACGTCGGTGTGTTTGCCAAAGTGAAGACTTGGGGAACTACATTTCATGGGGAAAATGTGTGGGGCAGTGAGGTGGTGGTGGGGAGAGATAAAGCTGCTTTTACCGCTTTAGTTGTAAGGAGATTATATGGTTGCTGCTTGTATATGACATACCCTCTTGTATGACATATGACACGCCAAGAGCAATGTGATTTTTAAAACATCAGAAGGAACCATGCATTTTGAATCGCAAATCATTATATATTATTAGAAGAAGATGCACCTGTGTAATAAATATTTTACCATTTCATAATTCATTTAGAAATCTTTCCCTTGAACACCCAAGGCTAACCCATTCTTAATAAATCTCCCATAAAGGCACCTTAAAGATTAACAATTTTATTGTGGAAGAAGCTTTGTATATCTGCCGGTGTGGTCTCTGGCCCATTAAAAAAAATGTATACCACAACAAGCAAATAGTATTTAAGGTACTACAAGTCTCTCTGTTGTGTTGTGTTTCCTGCACTCTTCCTCGAATCAGATCAATGCAATACATAAACTGGAGGTCTGATCTACACTGAGGGGGAAAGAGAGAGATTAATAAAAGCACAACAGCAAATATATGTGCATAGAAAGAGCTGCTGTGATTGTCTCCCCTGCTGCCCTGCTTTGCTCCAGCCTTCCACAGCCAGTAATAAAACATGACATATAAAGTATTAAACAGACAAAATGCTTCTATAGATTTCTGTTTCCTGCCAACCTAAGAGAGGCAGGGTTAGGCTTCAAAGGATAACATACACAGCATATATTCATACTTTGCCCAGAAATCAGAGTGTTAAATGTGCTTAACTTTGTCTGAATTATCCCCTTATTTTTTATCTGTAATACTACGTGTGCATGCTGAATATTCTAGATCTAAAAGAGAGAGCTGCTTTAAATCTCATGGTAGTTACTATTCACATGCAGACTTGGGTTTCTACTGTTGGAACACACTTCAGGTTACACTGGGTGGGGAGAAACACCTGCACCCAGAACCAGGGGCGTGCTCATTTGTAGTACAGGCAGCACAGTGCTAGCCCCCAGCCTTCAATTCCCGGCATCTTCAAGTAGGGCTGGGATTTTCCTCTGTCCGAAACAATAATAATAATAATAATAATAATAATAATAATAATAATAATAATTCATTTGTACTCCGCCCATCTGGCTGGGCTTCCCCAGCCACTCTGGGCGGCTTCCAAAATATATATATATTAAAATACTCTAATGCATCAAACATTAAAAGCTTCCCTAAACAGGGCAGCCTTCAGATGTCTTCTAAAAGTCTGGTAGTTGTTGTTCTCTTTGACATCTGGTGGGAGATGTCAGGGCGCCACTACCAAGAAAGCCCTCTGCCTGGTTCCCTGTAACTTGACCCTAGAGAGGATCTCCCAGTTGGTGTAGAGTACTCAGTATAAGGCAGCTTTCCTTGTTCTTTTTATGTACATGGACACACCCTAAAAACAACACCAACAGGCTTAATCTGAGCCTGTGCTCACTAGGGTTCCCTCCCCCCCCACTCATATGGAGCAATAACAAAATAACTTTCATGTGCAGAATTCCATCATTTCATAACCACTGTCAGTTCCCATAGATCTGAGAACAGGGCTTTCGTGGCAAAAGGAATTATCTGCCATATGTGGAAGATTTGGCCTCAGTGCCTCTTTCCTTATAATTTATTATTATTATTATTATTATTATTATTATTATTAAATTAAATTTGCATACCACCCTTTATCTGAAGGTCACAAGATAAAAATGCAAAATGCGTAATAAAAAGTAAAAGCAGAAAAACCAAACCAATAACCCTGCTCCCGTGAACACATTTAAAAGGCTGTAGAATGTTTAATCAGCCACAGGCCTGGTTATAGAGAAACAATTTAGACAATGAACAAAATTAAAACTATTTAAAATGGTGCGATGCGCTGTTACTATTTTGCCTTTATAATAAAGCAATAAACATAGAAACAGAGTTATTGTGGTTGCGGGGTATGCAAGAGAATGTTTTGTGGGGTTTTGCTTCTGGCAAAGTTCAAGTCGTAGTGATTGCTAAGGGTCAGTGGGTCAAAACTAGAGAAAAAATACTAAAGGAAAATGTCTAAAGCAGTATTAGTTCCACCAAAATATGCCTTTAGCTCCCCCCCCCCCAGCTTTGTTGTCTACCAGATACAATATTCAGGCTCCTTTCTCTTTCACTCTTCCCAAAGCCAAAACATACCAGCCATCAAGCAACTACTAAACTATATGACTGCTTTGAGGGAAGTTATTTTGCACATACAGAGATAAAGCAGGAAACTTTATATGCCCATTTGCTATTTACTGGGATAAAAGTTAGTATAAAGAAAATTATTTTGTTCATTGAGCAAATATCTATGTATGTCAGGTAACACTGGATCATTAGGGAAACTGTCTAAAAATGTCCCCGTCCGCCCTCCAGTGTATGGCTTTTGGATTAATGAGAAGGTTCTGCGCTAGCTTCACACAGAACATAAATATAAAAATATATTTCAAAAGATTTGCATGCTCATAGATTATCCCCCCCCCAAAAAAAAAGAGTTGTTAAGGTGCCTTGGAGCATGAAAGAGTCCTGAGCTTTCTCTCTGGAAGGTTATAATCGGGGGGGGGGGGATATTCAGCCAGAAAACGCCAGAACTCAGTTCTGGCACCTCATGGGTGAGGGCCATTGCCATTCTGAGAGAACGAGGGAAGCATTCTTGATGCATTCTGGGACCTCTTTTTCTAGAAAAATAGCTGTAGTTACAATTATATAGTTTTATGTGGTTTGGATTAACATTTAGGGATGGTATGAGGTAGAGTAGGGTCCTGTCTCAATTGAGCCTCTGAATCTAATTATCAACAAGAATCCGTAAGAGAGCCATGTATTATTAAACTACCCAAAGGTGAACAGTGTGCTGAACACCTAAAGCGGGCTCTGTTTTCAAAAATCTTCACAGTCCAATACAGTCGTACCTTGGTTCACGAACGCCTTGCGAGTCGAATGTTTTGGCTCCCGAACGCCACAAACTTGGAAGTGAGTGTTCCAGTTTGTGAATGTTCTTTGGAACCCGAATGTTCAACACGGCTTCCGCAGCTTCCGATTGGCTGCATGAGCTTCTTGCACCCAATCGGAAGCCACACCTTGGTTTCCGAACATTTTGGGAGTTGGATGGACTTCTAGAACAGATTCCGTTCAATTTCTGAGGTACCACTGTACATTTTTCTCTTTAACAACATTGTAGAGCGACAAGTGTATGTTCTGAATGGCATAATATAGAAATGGACGTAAATGGATAAGCTCTTTAATGCCATTAATTGAACTTTGTTTTCTACACAGAGCATTAAAGAGATTTCTAGAGGTTTCTAGCAGTTTCAGCAGGCATTTCCTCAATTTCAGTGGCTCACCCCATCCCAGACTTCCACAGCCATGGGTACAGCTGTTCTCGTGGGCATGACTCATAACCCTTGAGTTTGTGCAAGTGGGCATGTATACACAGTCACTTTGAGATAAGCACTGCTTATCTTTGCAGTGCAATCCTATACACATTTACTCAGATGTAAGCACATCTCCCAAGTAATATTAGGCGGTATGAAATCACAGCCTAATTCTCTTCTAAACTTCCAGTAGGCTCTCATGGGCTGAGAGATTACAGTAATGTGATATGTTTTAAATAATAATAATACATTTTTACTGTAGATGTTGACATTAAACATTGCAAATTTCTGATTATATTTACTGCAGCATTATAACTAGTTGGTATAGGTGCTAAATCAACATCTTTGTTATATAGCCAAATGAAAAAAAATGGATAGGGCCTCTGTGTCTTTAATAAAAAACTAAACTTGTTGAAATTCCCTCTTGTATGGAACTATTGAAAGTGCAGGAGCCCAGTCTTCTGACCAGCCTGTTAAGAACCTTGTTTCATAGCTGTAAATCATTTTGCTCTAAAGCGAACTTAAAATCTCACTCAGGTAGACTGTGAAGTTAAACTCCAGAAGTTTAATCATTAGTAAAATATACCTCATGTAAAATCTACTGTACTGCTAGAGATCTGTTTTTGGATTGTTCTTTAATGGTGGTGTTATTACATATCTAAATTTTTTTCCTCACTGTTTTGATTCTGTAAAATAAAGAAGTTTAGAAAGTTGTTCATGAAATGTTTTATTAAATGCGCAGTTGTTTTTGTTACTCAGCGGTGTACAAAAGCATTGGTTTATATGTAACTGAGCTTTGTTTTACACCATTCATAACCTTAAAATGTGAGCAGATAGTTGTGTTATTAGCTTTATTTAATTACTTGAATGTACACAGAACTTCTCAGCCTGTGTTGATTCTTTGTGATGCATTTTCATTCTGTACATGTAATTCCAAGTAGGAATTTTGAAGGCGATTTATTATTAATATTGTTTTATTTCTTTATGGATGGTGCATTCTACAGATTAATGTGCAGCAGGATTGCCCTCTTTGTTTTAATGTATAGCTCAACAGAGCTTTTTTATCATATAAAATGCTACTTATTGTAAGACTAAAGAAAACCGAGGGGGTGTAACAATTGGGAAATGCAATAGATGCCCCGATTATGGTGTGAAAGAGTAGGAATTAAAACAAAGTTTACCACATTTATGGCAAATATATTTATATAAAAAATAATCATGGTAACGGAAGGTCAACAGTATTTTGTACAGCTCTACCCCAAAGGACACAGATTTCACAACTAACATATGAAGATAATGGGTGGAGTTCAACTAACTTTTACTTGGAATAAAATTAGTAGATCTAACTTAGTCATGTTCCTTGATTTAAATGTGTCTGCTCTAAGTAGGCCTAACCTTGAATTCCACCCATTGTTTTTATTGCATTTTTAATTTAAAAAGGTTTTGTTTTCGGTTCCAGTGCCTGCTTATTTGTCTGTTAATATTGGTCCATTCTGTGGTGCCATGCATGCTACCCTCGCATGTCACGTGTTCTCCCAAATACGTGCTTTAGTCATCTTTTGAGTTGTTTTGAGGGACATTGGAGCATTGTTGGTAGGTGAACAAAAATACCATGTTTTTGTGCTTTAAAATCAAAGGCGACTGCAGCAATTATATCATAATCAACTTGTTGAACAAGAAGTATTTATGTGTTTTGTGATATGTTTCTACCATTAGATCTCGGATATATTTAAAGTAGACCTAATTTATCCTTCTGTTTCCTGAGTTTAGCCCCTTAGGTGGCATATAGAACAACTCCAAGGCTAGTCTATAAGCTTTCTGGGGCCCATTACTGTTGAGGTAACATTAGTTAAACTCATATTGATCCACACTCATGTTCTTCTAATGGCCTCTATCCAGAAACTCTAAAAAGTAGATGTCCTACCTGGCACTGGAAACTCTGGTTGGTAGACATGTGCCTCAAATGTTCTCTCTTGTCAGGAACATGGGTTTCCTCCTTGCTGATAGCTATAACATTCAGAAATAGCCAATGTTGTGCCCTCCAGATAATGTAGTGTTCGCCAGCTGGTATGGTCACTCTTGAAGAATAATGGCAGCTGTAGTCCAACCACATTTGGAGGGTTCTACATTTGGCTACTCCTATTTATTCTACATCATTGCAACTGTGTCTGCTGGCTGCCATTTGCTTGCTCGGCTGCTTCTTCCCTGGGGAAAAGCCAAAAGAAGTCTAAACAATAGTCAGCCTTTTCAGACCCAGGACCCAACTTCAGCCCAAACATGCATGCAACGGATCATCAAGAGTGGCGAGCTCTTTCTCTCTTGTTAAAAGGCTGAAGTTTTGGGGATGCCATTTCATTCTGTTAGTAGTACCACTTTCCACATGGGTCCTCTACATCACATAGAAGGTCTCTATGCTAGCGCCAAGCATAACATTTAAAACGAAGATCCACTTGGTAAGCAAGGCTGCATGTTGCACATCTTCATGTGAAAAAGCTATGCATTTTTCAGCAACCTCCCCAGAATGGCTGTAACTATAATACCTAACAGTTTCTAGTGACGCATGGCCAGGGCCAGCACGCAAAGCAGGGATTTGAACATAGGAGTCCTATGTTCAAAGCAAGCATGAATCCCTCCCATTCCTCTTACAGTAGCTTTCCCCTTTTTATTTCAAAGTAAGTTAAAAGTTTGATGGTGCCTAATTTTCAGGTTTATGATTTCTACTGTAATACTTTGTGAAATCCATTATGTTTCTTGTGCGCCACACTTGCTATGGATGTATGTAATTCTCTGTCAACTCCCGGTCAAAACTTATTATCGGGTTTGTTTAAAGGTGTTAAGAGAGAAAAATAAGTCATTTTGATGCCTGCTGTCATCCTCAGTGAAGGGTTTCTAATCCACTCTTGGAGGACCAAATCAAGGCAGGGTGGTAATTCTAGAAGATTGTGAAAGGGGGACTTAGCAAGCAGCCCCTGGATCTCATGATCCATTCAGTTTCATTAGGAATTTGTGGAAGGAATGTTTTAAAAAGAGCTATCTAAATTGCCATCATTAGTGTAGGAGGGAGTTATATTTTTATCATTCTAATATTGGGAAAGAAGTTAGGAAAAGTATATATATTCTATGGTTTCAGGGCACTCTTATTCCTTTTTTGTTTATCTCCTATAGGCTACAGAGGACAGAAAGGTGAAAGAGGTGAGCCTGGAATTGGCCTGCCAGGTGATCCTGGTCCACCTGGCCCTTCAGGTAAAAACATAAGTTCATATTTATCATAACCAGAACAGCGGATTAGTAAAAGAACTGTGAGAGGGGGGTGATACTTCTAAGATTGGTTGCATATAAGCTGCCCTTTAGTGCATGAAAGAAATGCCTTTGATCTTACTTTTTAAAGCGTCTCGACCCACTAAATGCAGCTGGTTTTACAATATTGTTGCTGTTGTTGTTATTTGCTTAGTCATTGGTATGCCGGGACCACCTGGAGCTCCAGGAGGACCAGGTCCACATGGCCCACCTGGGCCATCAGGAAGATGCAACCCAGCAGATTGCTATTACCACGTCTCTCAAACTCAACCACGAACAACTGGCAAATGAAAATCTTCTCCGGAAGTACTTTGATTCCTGGTTTACCCCTTCCTTGCTTCCCTCCTGCCCTCCTACCTAATTTAAGCTTTAAAATACTTGGTACCTTTTTTTGGTCTATATACATGATATTGTGTGTAGGCATTTTACAGAGCATCTCAATGGAACAATGTTTATTTTCCAGTTAAGCCAATGCCGAGATGTTGTTTTCTTGAGTTCATTCCATGTGTTTATAATTTTAGTCTATTTTTCTATAGCAAAATGCAATTTTCTTGCATTCTGATGGCCTGTTGACCTCTTAATGGTTTTTAATCTTAATACTTGCAAAACAAAATGTACTGTCATATATCTTATTTAGCTTTTGCTGGCTACCGTATCTTGATGGCTTGGAGTTCATACATAACAGCAAAAGCTCTGCTTGCAAAACTGCATCCAGAGTGTTGAAGCTTTTGTGAATCCTTGAGCAACTCTTTGAGAAATCAGCTGATATTTTTTCATGCTCCTTCTGCCCTTGTGCAGTATTGTAGACTTTACTTTGCTAGAAATTTATTAAATTTCTGGAAGCACTTTTCACATAGGAAACTTTTTTTAAAAGAAAAGGAGCTGTTGAGCCTCTCTCCCATTAATTGTGACACAGGGGGTGAGAGTGTGGTTAATGCAAGACAGAGCCTGGAAGTCGCACATTGGTCTCAGTGGAGCCTACTTCCTGGCAAATGTACTTGCTGGCTTCATATGTGAAACAGCCCTTAATTATTGAAGGCTAACTTAGTTATTGAGTAGATTGTTGATAATGGCTCCTTCGTATTGTTCACTTGGCTTTGCTCTAGTCCTTTGCACTTCTCTTGCAAGGCAAGTCTCCCTGACCAATTATAGCCTCTGTGCGACAGGTGCTTCCCAACCTTCAGAAGCTTTTTGAGGGGCACAAGAGTTGCATTGTAGTAGAGATAATCCAGAATCAGGGGTCCTGCCTTTGTGCAAATGGAAGTGCTTCCATTAGGGCAAAGCCTTAATAAGATACCACCTTATAGAATTGTGTTCTTATGCTTAAGCTAGTCATGTTTATATGTCAGGGGGCTTCTGCCTTATTTTAATATACCAAGGCCTTTATCTCAGGTAAAGTTCTGACAATAATACATTGAGAAGTTTGTGTATATATGTTCAGATAGAAGATGGTGTAACTTGAACTAGTACCCATGTATTTCATGAATGATGTCTGCCTTTGCATTGATTAATTTTGGACTCTAGTAATGGTCCAATGTTAGCATTTTTGCTAGAGTGAGTTTCAAAGTTCAACAACATTCATGCAGGCTAGGCTGGCCTGTGGTATTAAACAACCTTTCTGTTTGAAATATTCGGTGGCTGGGGCAGATTGACATTTTCTTTTACTTGAGGATAAAATGACCATACACAGTGCAGGGAAAGAGAACTGTTGAGCAGATATACAGCATCAGTAAATTAAAGTTCTGCCATCTAGGATGAATAAAAGGGAGATGCTTCTTAAAATAGATATTGCTCTAGGAGACAGTGGTCCTCAGCTGTTCTTGGGAGAGATGTAGCTACATCAAAACTCTAACAAGAAATGGAAGGGTAGTCAAAGACAGCAGAAGTGATAGGTCCTTGCTGATGGGACTTGGGAATCATTTGAAGACCACTTCCCATGTGCAAGTTAATCCTATAACTGAAATAAGAAAATAAGGACTTAATTCATGCTGTTCTTAAATTCAGGACAATTGCAGGCCATTCTTATCAACAGAAGCCCTTCCCTTAAGGATTTTAGACTCTTAAGGGTTGTATCCAATAAAATCGTACTCAAAGCAGACCCACTGAAACTTAATGTACCTAAATTGGTCATGTTCTTTGATTTAAATGGGTTTACTCTGAGTAGAACTAGCATGGCTACAACCCTAGAACAGGGGTAGACAATTTGATCCCCTCCATATACTGTGGACCATGACTCCCACCATGCTGGCTGGGTTTTACAGGAATTTTCCACAACATCTGCATGTTGGCTATTCCTGATCCACAGTGTCACAGTGTGAGCTCTCTGAGAACATGGGAGTCTGAATGTGAGAAAATCCACAGAGGTAGCCATGTTAGTGTAATGTCAAAAAAAAAGAATGGCAGTTTAAAGACAATATATCGTGGTGACATAGCCTTCGTCAGATGCATGAAATGATTACCTACTGTAGGTTGGTATGTATGTGTGTATATATATGTATATATATTAGTGCAGAAAGAAGTGAAACTAGCCAAGCAAATGCAGGAGATATCTATAGGTGTATCATAGTACTATGGCCACTTTCACATTGCCGTTAATTGTGTGTGTGTGTCTGAACATATATAGTGCAGTCTCACCTGTGAGGGGCCACATTCTGCAATCTCAGCATCTTTATGCACAATCCGAGCTTTCTCCATGTTCTTCCTCCGAAGCAATATGGCTCACCATAGCTTATAATGGCATGAGCTGCATTTTTTTACAAAAAAAATATATAGCCTCATTGTTCACTCTCCATAGTCAAGACAATGCACATTATTATTTGATTGCTGTCATAATCCACAACACACATGTTGGGGCATGATCCATTCCCGTGTGTGTAGCTGCACCAAATGGAATCCTCTAAAACAGGGCTCAGCAACAAGTTTGCTGTTGAGGACTGCATTCCCCCTGGGGGTAACCTATCAAGGAAGCACATGCCAGCTGTGGCCAGGACTGGGGCCCTGTATAGGCAGTGCCAAGCCTAATGGTGGCCAGGTACTAGAAGCAAAATTAGGTGGGCTCACTTTTCTCTATTGGCCACCCCCCTTTCTTTCCATGCCCCATGTCAAAACCTCCCCCCTTCCATTTTACAAGAAATTATACTGAAGATTCGGTGAAATTAGGCACCACGTGCAGCTCTAAGCCCTGCTCTTTGGTTGTGAAGACTTTCTCCTCTCCCTCTACCCCTCCCCACCGCCAATGTCCTGTCATTGGCTGGATACAAGCACTGGACAATGGGTCCACCCCAGTACCTGCCATGGAAGGCCACCCATATGGGCCACTCTCTTGTGTACATCCAGTCAGCTTGCTGCCTTCCAGGGCTGTAAATGCAATCTACTCTTCTCACGTGACCCTGAAGAAAAATGGTGTGCGATAGAAGGATGGATTGGCTCCCAAGTTTTTACATATATATTTTCTGACTCCCCTTTTTTGTAAATAATAAGAGAGATTAAGTTACAGATAGGTAGCCATGTTGGTCTGCCATAGTCAAAACAAAAAAATTCCTTCCAGTAGCACCTTAAAGACCAACTAAGTTAGTTCTTGGTATGAGCTTTCGTGTGCATGCACACTTCTTAAGAGATTAAGACAGCTGAAGTGTGGAAGATATGCTCAAAATTGTTAAATTCCCTGGAAATAAAATTTGGTCTAAACTGAGCTTCAGCAAGCCCCTGCTTTAAAAGAATGCAGTCACATCAACACTATTTTGATGGGGGAACTGGGTTTTTTCTGTTTGTTTTCAGTATGGTTGCATGTACTGCAGGACAGATATATTGTTTGGCCAGGGGCATTTTTCCTATTCGGGTTGTCACTCCTATCTTATATGAACTTCTCCAGCAATTCCAAATTTTGCTGAAAAAGTCTCAGTATTTTAAATTTAGAATTTTTTTTTAGACTTTGCTTTAAAAAAATAATGAAAATATTGAATTGTATTTAATTAGATGTAGAAAGGTTCCGATTTGGAAAGATAATCAGAGCAGCTCAGTTGATATATTGTTTGGTGCTGTGTGTATATTTTGGGTTTTAGCTAGTTGAACTAAAATTTTGATAAGGTACCTGGCAGTATTATTTAGAGGTTACTTTACTTGAATTTGTCAGGAACATTTATATATTTTGAGAAAAAATATTTTAAATTCACATTGTTTATAGTTTGTTTGTATCTAAGTACTTGGAAAAAGCTTTCCAACATGTTCATAATTTTAATAGTTAATTTGGATCATTCAGATCACTTTGAATCATTTTTCTTGTTAATCCTTTTTTGAAAAGCATTAACAAAACTTTTTTTTGTATATGAAATAGTGTATTTTGTTCTTCTAGTGTCTTCACTCAGTTTTTAAGATGTGGAGCATATTCTGTATTTATAGCTAAATGCAACAAATCAGGAATATCTCTGTAGCTATTCTATTTTAATCGAGGCGCAGGGTGTCTTGAAATGAGCACTCCATGGTTTTTTCCTGTTTTATCTTGTGTGTGCCAGAAACCAAACATTTACAACTTCTGTTTGTCATTTTAAGTTAAACTCTTACTTCCGTATTCCTGTTCTAATGATATTTTCTCTAACAATTTTATGAATATCAGCAAACTTAAACAGCAAATACCACATACATACATACATACATACATACAAACACACACACAAACCAATCAAATAACACAGTAAGAAAATTCTCTTGCTCCTGGAACTATTGAATGCAATGAGTAACCAAAATAGAATGGAACACTGTCAGCCGAATCCCGCAAATGGAATCCATGTTCAGCAACAAGTTTATGCTTGCAAGTCCTTCCCTATTGGTTATGAAAGTGGTTTTTAAAACTGAGAAACACTTTGCACAGTACTCCCACGCCATGCAAACACTAGCGAATAAAAATCAGCCTGGTCATCCATTCTGATGGCGCTGAACATCACAGCATTGTCAGACATTGTACTGTAGAGTGGGAGACTGCATTCGGTGTCCCCATTTCTTCCCCCACCTCTAACATCTAATCATCTGTTTACTATTTACACAAGAATATCTCTGGAGAAGGAATACTATGTGCAGACCTGAAGGCTACTGCATGTATTATTTCAGTGGTGCGTGTTCCCATCATGGTGCCTTGCACAAGCCTATTATCTATCTGTAAGAGAAGATCCTTTGCTCATGCAAAACTTCTTTCCGGCTACCAGTCATACAGTGTGCAACATTTCAGACTTTGATCTAGTTCACTGTCCAATGAAGGAGAAGCAAGCAAGCAAGCAACAATTGAGTCAACCCAATTGTGCCTTATTGGATCAGGTGCATAGTTGCAATCTAGTGATTTAAAATGGATTACCTGGGGATGAGGGTTCTAGGCGTTCCATAATATTTTGCCTTTCTTCTGAGCCCATTGATGAACGTGGCCAAAACGTTTTGCGCAAAGCCGATAATGATTTGCCTCCCACCTGTATCCTGCTTTACCTTAAACTGTTGGTCATGACCCAGGTTTGGTGGCATAGCTTAGTGCATAGCCTTGCACAATTTTTCTGAACAGTTACACGGTCTTGTCTCTAGAAAAAGCTCTCAAAACGGTAGGAATGTTAGAGAAGCTACAATAAAGTATTTTGGTTTAGTGGTATAAGTAATATGTAGAATACAATGAGATGTGTTTTTATTCTTCGCATCAGATTATTTTAAAAGTTCCATTGACGCAAAATTCATTAGGATTGCTTCAGAATTCTCTTTAACAAATGCTGTGTTTAGAAGTATTTGGGTTTGTAAAGCTACTGTAGGTTAGTTAATGTTAAGATTTTGCAGAGTTCTTCAGGGTCTGTGCTATACCTCTAAAGTCCACTTGGTGGCATGAAGCACATTTTTGTTTGTGCATTTCACTTAAATAAGGATTGAATTCTACAAATGTATATAAGGCAGGAAATGGTGAAACGTTTATTTCTATATAGTGCACTAAGTTTCCATTTTTGTGTCCTTAAGTTTAATAGATTTCTTTTTCTTTATTGGTCTTAAAAATAGTATTTTGTTTTATTTGATAAATACAGGGAACAATTCAGGCAAAGTTTCCCACTTTGAAGTCCTGCTGTTTTTCAGCACTGGAATTCATGGGGCTTGACTGTGCTAACTTTGGCTGGATAATTCTCAGTTGCATTGCTTCTTCTTCCACCAATGACTGTGACATAATCACAATTTATGATTCAACTTGTTTATAATGTAGCTTGTAGGTAATGAAACCACAGGTAGCCCATCTCAGGCCCGCAACTTGGCGCAAGCTGGAGGGGATCCTTGCAGGGATCATGCTGAACTGCTCTTCTTCCCTCCCACATTGTGTCACACATCATTAGGGAAGAAGTAAGTCTCTCTTTCCTTTTTGCAGAAATAAACATGCTTTGTAAATTATGTGGAAGGTGTAGCCTATTTATCTTTGATATTAACATTTTAATATCAGTATTTTTGTATAAAAAGTGTATTTGGTTTCAGGGATTAATAACGTTTTATTCCCTTCTCCCTTTGTCCTAAATCTTTCTTTTATTTAAGGTATGCAAATGTTTTCTAGATAGTCAAAGCTAGTTTTCAACACATCTGATCGCCATTAACAGAACTTCAAGTCATTATGATAATGGTGCAGATTTCCAGATTAGTTGAAAAGCCTTCAAGTGTAATCTTGAATCGCAAGGGAAGATGTTATATATAAATAGACCAAATCCATGTACACAATTTAGGAGAACGAACATGAACGCCACATTCTAACAGAGTTAAGTATACTCAAAAAAATATTTTAGTGGGTGTAAGCACACTTCTGTCGTAGAATGTAAGCTCTGTTCGTTGTCAGATTTATCTAATGAAAAGCAAATGCATTTAAATGGTTTTCTGAATATTTCTTTGTCAATATTTCAGTTGTGGAAGTTTATGTTTTATTGTTGCCTTTCATTTCTGAATAACTAAGCACTAGTCTTCAAAACCTGTCTATAAGATTCTGTTGGCATCTTGCCCACAAATGGAAAGTACAGCTGTTTGCACATGCTAAGCAGATTATTTTATCTACTTGGTCCCTTTAGTCTTAAATGAATTTTGAATTGAAGTGAGCCTGATACTATCAGGTATGTTTCTTGTGTATCTATAATTGTAAACAGGTAGTTACGTTTTTATTTAAAGCCACATTATAAACATGTGGATTTCCTCCTCCCGGAATTTTAACCAAATTCTGTTTTATGCATTTTTGATGGACTTTGCATTTTCCTCCCTGTACATTTGTTTTATGTTACTGGATTTGTAAAAACAGTTTTATTTCTCTTGTCAGATAATTTCATTGTTTATTTCTGCGCTACTGCTATGGTTAAAATAAAACTTAATTGATCTAAGCATGATGTTAGGGTTGCTTTTCTTCCTATTTTCATCTTGAACCTGACATGCCATCAAAATGGAAATAAAGTATATTGGTCTGAATAGCACTTGGAAGTAACAATGCATAGGAATACAGTCTAAGCATTCTCTCCCATGGACTATTGCTGCCAAATTTAATTTATGCTTCTTTACATGTAAGTAGCAACTTGATGATGAAAGGAAGCAACAGTCTTTCATGTGAACAGCTTTCAAATCCTTGCCTGTCTTGAAGCAACACTTCATCTTTTTCCTTTTTTCAAAGTGCTCTTTTGTGCAAATCTGGTAGATCGAAAATTGAAATTTTAACTTGAAAAGCTGCACACATGCAGTAATAAACAAGTACTGTGCCTGCATGCACAGCTACAATGGTCCTCAGGCTTCTGGCACTACTTGTGGGTAGGAAAGTACTAACTGAAGGGAGGTGACAACACCACACAGTGTGAATACATCCCACCAAACACTGCCCACTAGTGTGGATGGAAAACATAGTGAAAACATAAATGTGCACATGGAAATAGTGACCCACATGCACATTAATGTCCAGGGTGGATATAGCCACCATTTCCTAAGACAGGCTGCTAGGAGAAATGGATTAAAATTGGGATTGGAAGAACAGTATGTTTCTGGCAGCAGCTGCATTAAACCTGGTTCCCTGAAAGAAGTTCTCCTTTTCTGAAAAATTCTAAGTGCAAAATAGAGAAGGGGAAGTAATGAAGATTAAAATAAGGGCACTTTTATTTTTGTCTTTCAAGATGACAGATCAAAGAATATATATAAATTGTAAAACAAATTTACACAGTAGACTGATTGATACAATGCATTTTGTTTCCTTGAGAAATGAAACATATAATGGGACTTTTCTAAGAAAGCTTACCTCCTTTGTTTTATTTGTGTTTACCATTCATACAAAAAAAATGCAAAGGGGTTAAAAAACATTATTTATTTCAACTTTTATACAACCAGAGATGTGACTTCAGATCATTTAAAATAAATAAATTTGGCTATGAATAAGATTTAGATTCCTTTACCAGTGACTTTTTAGCCTCTTTGTTTAATTTCAGACACGTGGTGGAGTTGGCAACAGTGTTTGTTCCTTTGAACAGAATTCAATACATGTTTGAACACAAAATTAAAATTTCTGTATGTAGCAGTTTCTTCACATGATATATTACGGGTAACGTGGCATTCACACCCTTCTCAGTGTGCAAAAGCATTTCACATGTTTTCGCATGGCGGCCATGTCTGTGTATTTGAAATTACAGGAAGCTACATGGGAAAAGGTGAATGCAAACAACCACAATTTTACAGTTGCTTTGGATAAAGTCAACTGAATTACATCATTCTCTCTGATGCTGTAATACAGTACAATACAAAGAGGAGAAAGAAATAATAATAATAGTATTTGGGGAAGGTGTCTTAAAAAAGACACAGCGGCCTTTCACCATGATAAAAAAAGAAAAGCCATCAGGTATCACTTAAAAAAAATAGTTGCCATGTACCTGTTTGTACAGGTTGAAGAGGGGACAACCAGTGCATGCAAAGTCTTGTCAAGCCTTGGATAGAGGAATTCTCTTACGTTTTTACTGTATGCATCTCTTCTGCTGTTTTCTCTCTGTTGTCAAATATACGTGCAGATAGTACATTGTTGCCAAACACTCACGTCGCACACTTTTGCACTTTTCACGGCCCTTTCACATTGTCCGCTCGTAGTCCTGCTTGCACAGTGCAGGCTGATGGCTCACAGTAACCAGGAGGGCCAGGGGGCCCCGGAGGCCCTGGAATGCCCGGTAGGCCACCTGCTCCAGGTGGGCCCCTGTCGCCATCTCGCCCATCGGTTCCATAGCTGGGTTTGCCTGGTTCTCCTGCGGAGGGAGATGCAGCACACGGATCAGGAGAGTTCAGCATGCACGTCTATATTCACCAGCCTGAACCCAGTGTCTCATGGAATACTGCCTTTCAATACAGTACAAAACAGAAACAACTCCATCCAAAGGAGAAGACCCTAATCTGGCATTCAAGTTTCCCCTTCTTTAGTTCACAAAAGGACAAAACAATAGAATTATTCCTTAAAAGCAAACGAAACAACTATTAGAAACATTAAAAAAATAAAATAAACCAGCAATGTACTGAAAACACATTGGCATTAGATATCTGGGGTAAGTTTGTCTGAACAAACATAAGGAACTGCTTTATGCTGACAGTGACTTTTTTCTTGGGAAGAGATTTTCCCTAGTTCTAGTAATGCTGGGGATTTGAATGGGGAACTTATGTGTTCAAGGCATGTGCTATATCAAGGGGGGGATCTACTTCAACCATGTTCAATCCGATGGGCAAAGATTGCGTTTGCAAAAATCACAGGGTCTTGCCCTTCCTTGGCAGAGCATGAAGGCCGAATTTCCCTCGAGCTGCCTGCTTTTGAGACTGCATGGTATTATTGGAAAGAAATCTTGTTCATGGAAAACTTAATATTGTGGAAGAGGGATGAGATTGTTAAGAAATCAAGGCAACTTGAAAAGTTTTGCGCATCACGAGCAGAGATACTTTGAATATATTTATAGAAGTGTATGCAGGACTTCATATAATACAGAGTCCTTAAAAGCTGCAATTTTAATATAGCAAATTATTTGTGCCATAGTTGCCTCTAGTTACCACTAGAGGGCACTTGTGTTGCATTTATAAGCAAGGGTTTCTCATTCTGCAGTGCTTCATATTGGTACAGTAATACAGCAAGCTAAATTTTAAAGAGTCCTGCAACCAAAATCAGATCGAAAGGATTTGCAAATCCTTAAGCATGCCATGTATTCTGGAAGCCAACTTGCTATTTTTAACTTAATCATTGTGTTCTCGATCCCGACCTTGTACTATTTTACCAGACCCTGCAATGTTGGCAGTATTAGGTATAGAACTTGATTCTAAAATTTTATTCCGTGGCTTTCTGAGTTGCAGGCTGGCTTTTATTAATGAGTCAATTGAGAGCTTCCCATACAGTTTTGAAGATGTAACAAACAGTGGCACAGAAAACCGTTTGAGAAGAGCTACCAGCCATAATTTGGATGCTGCTAGTTTCAAGGGGATGCACTGCCTGCCTTGATCATGGAGATCACAGCATTACCAAAAAAGAAGGGTGAAAGGAATTGAGACATGGGGTTGGGGGGGCAGTTGTATGCATATCCTAGTAATTAAGCATTCACTCCCTTGCAGACAGACACCCACATTTCCAGGGTTGTTAAATATAGCATTTCATGCACAGCTGCACAAACATTTCTTGAATTTCCTAGAGCACAGGTGGGGGGTGGGGAATCTGTAGCCTGCTGGGTGCCACTGGGCTCCAACTCCCCTCATACTTGACCACTGGCTGGGGCTGACAGGAGATGGAGTCCAACAGTATTGGGGGGGGGGCTGTTGGTTCCCCACCCCTATCCTAGAAGCAAAATTTGGTATTTACCTGGGAGTCCTGTTGTGCCTGGTAAGCCTTTGGGTCCTCGACCTGGGAATCCTCTCTCCCCCTTTTCACCTGTTTCACCTAAAACGTATTAATGGAACATTATGTGCAATCTGCATGAAGAAACGTTCTGCACACACAGAGACACTTAAAATCAGTGGACAGGACAAATGATCCGCAGCTCAAGCAATAACAGAGATTTAGAGAAGAGCAGATTCGGTTAAACTAAATACGTAGCTTCCCACTACTAAATCCCCCCCACAGTTAGAACTGACTGCTATCTCCACAATCACACATTACAGATCCAATTTCTAAGCAGGGACTTTGCCCTTCTATAGCTGGTTTTTTGTTCCCACTAATCTTGCCCCCACCCCACTCCCTTCTTCCCTTTCTGCATCACATCACTACACGAGAGTGGATCACATGCCTGGATGTAAAATTTGGGTTGTTAAGCATTTAAAAAAACAAACAGCTTTGAATATTATCAGGAATAGTTACACTGTAAACAGTAGGCTTCTTCTGAAATGACTAACTTGAAAGATCACCTGCACTATGCAATGCTGGCAAGCAGAGACCAGTTTGCCACCCTAGGGAGTTTGCTGTCTGGCGTGTTCACCTTGGTGGCAAATAAAGTGGAGGCCTCTTTGCTGTGCACCTTCTCTGAGGTCATCACAATTTATTTCTACCTCAGGTTTTCCCCTTTTCATGGCCCGATTCTGGGGAACTGCCCAGAGTTTGACATTTTGTAATAGCTATTGGCAGTAATGTTGATGGGACACCATTGTATCATATTTTGTTATAGGCATCGCAACTTGCTGCATCCTAATGTGTGCTGGCTCTGGAAACCAGATTGCTGGGAAGCTTTGCCTTCTCCCCCCTTTTATGCAGCATAATTAGCAGCTTTTAGCATTCCGTTCTTATTCATTCTGCAGAGTGTTCCACCACATTTAGACGTATGTAGGTTCTTCCAGGTGCTGATTACTGTGTCCCAAAGTAATTATTAGGTTGCCAGAGATCAAGTTATTTTCATCTAAACCTTGTTAATTTCACTTCCTTTGTCCTCTCAGCCACCTCTGCTCTTGGAATGCAAAGACCAAGGCACACGGTTACTGTGTTCAAACAGATCTTTGTTCCTGTTGAGCCAGCAGCCTGAATTGTTATTTCCAGGTCCAGTTATCCCCAGTCTGGCATTCCAGTGCTCTAATCACTTTAGAAAAGTTCACAGTGGCAGGCCAAATTGAACTCGGTGCTGGTTCTAGACTGTTGGCTACCCTATCCGCACTCAATAAACTATGGCTCATCATTCTACAAAGGCACTGCTGCACACCTAAACCTGGTTCTGTAGCAGTTTATTTGTCATGTCCTTTCTGCAAAGGTGAGTTGCTCTGTTCAAAACCCCTAGCCTACCTCACAAAACTACAGTAGCCAGGTTTGCCTATGGAGCAGTTTACTATCTATAACTGGATAAAAGCACGCAAAAAGCAGTTGAGAGTGGGGGGATGCTTTCAAGACAAAGGAAAATAAAGTATCTCACATCTACAAAATAAGTTAAATATTAAAGGTTGCTGTTAGAAACCCCAAATAAAATAAAACACGGCCTTAAACTGCTTTACGACCAGTGATGTGATTTCTTTCATTTTTGGCATTTTGTCACCCATTTTTTGACAGAGGGTTGGGGAGAGGCAGGTGCAAGTCATTCCTTGCTTTGTGGCTCAGTCCAAGGAGAACAAAGATGAGACATTAAATTAGCAGATCTCATTTAACTACAGTATTGAAAAGTGTGGTGCTCTTGCATAGTGGTCCCTCTGCAATTTGTGATTCTGAGCAAAGTTCAATATAGGGGGCTAAGCCAAAGGGCTTCTCAAAACACATTTTTTAAAAGAGAATCTCCCAACACCTTTTGCTCTATTCAGAGGTTTGCAAATGTGCCCTTTAGTGACAAAAGCCCTATGGCTAATGGCATCACTAGAGTAGGTGATGTTCCCAGACACCGTTAGATCCATAGTAACAATATGCTTAAGTGTCAAGTTAGCAGTGGGCCAGAGAATGCATGCAAACCTTGCTAAAATGCCACACTGGTGTAATCCCAACCCTGTCTAGCCTGATGTCATATTGAGGCTTAGCAAGAAGTTTCAGATGAGAAACTTTACATTCAAAGGATGAATGTGCTCTGTGTTTTTAATGGGAAACGAGCACAAACAGCTGGGCCTGGGAAGAGAAGCGAAATAAAATTCTGCATAACGGGACTGGAGAGTGTTCTGAATGCAACAATGAAAGGTGAGGGGGAGATCTGTTTCTATCACCAAGGCTGCAAAGCCTGTGCACACTTAATGGAATAAATGCCAATGAACTCAGCATTGCTCTCTTCCAGGTGAACGTGCAGAGGATTATGGTGCATATAGCCTATGTGATCTCAGTTCTTTCTTTGCCACTGTGCGGAAAAAAGTAGTAAATATATATCTCCCTAGTCAGGCTATTCATCTCAGAAACAGGAAGCTAAAATGATCATGGCTGCAGCTAGTTACACAACTGTACGGCCCATTTATTTTAATGGGAATTGATGTAAGCGAGCATCGTGTGTCGCAAGACCTGAGGCAACGATTGCCCTGATCTGGTTCCAGCAGAAATCTGCCACAACTTCCACCTGCCTCACACAATATCCAACTTCGCCTCTCTTGCATGATGCTCCAGCAGGCCCAGGTACCCTTCTGCAGCAGGACTCTGGCATAGATAGAGGCAATACCTTCTGCCTATTTCAGTTACTCATGGGACTCTCAACTGGTTCATAAGAGATAGTAAGTAGTACAAGGGCATCTGGTAGAATTGGACTGACTAAGAAAAAGAAGAGCAGAGAATGAAATCTCAAGAAGGAGAGTGTGCAGACAAAAGTCACAGGGGAAACACAGAAATTAAGAACACAGTGTGTTAGGGGTGCTTGCTGTGTTACATACTGAGGTCAATAATGGGAAAAAGAAGAAATTTGCTTGTACTCTTTCCTGGAACAAAAATGAGAAAGGAACAACAATTTCTGGCATCAAAGCCAAGAACATGAACAAAGCTGAATTGATATGTATCAGTTGTATGTGACGGATCCATTATGGTAGACAAACTTCCATTAAACTGCATGCAGTAATGATCACGCCACAGCAAATAGCTTCGGTGTGTTCTATATGCAATCCTAGCACTGAGCAGCCCTCTCTTATACATGTTTCCTTGTGGCTGAGTCCTGTTGACTTCAAGGAGCAATGCTCCCAGGTAAGCATGCATTGGTCTCTTACCTTTGGGGCCTTTCAGCCCAATGTCTCCAGGAGGACCCTTAAGGCCAGGCAGTCCCCGAAGCCCAAGCTGCCCTGGGAAGCCATTGTCTCCAGGTGGTCCAGGGGAACCCGGTGGCCCAGGGCGGCCTGGGAGGCCTGGAGCGCCAAACTCCGGCCTCCGAAGACTGGCAGCCAGTTGAGCCAGTTGCTCTGTTAAGTGGGGGAGAAATGAAGATAAATTACAAACTAAGTTTAATCTAATCATTTGTAGTATTCAACTGCAAAGATATTAATCTGGATTTCTTGGTGGTTGCTTTTTTTTTTTACTCATCACCCTTTTAATAAAAAGCAACATTTTCAAACCCATGCAACCATGAGGACTAGATGCCTATTGGCTTTTTTTATGAATAAATAAAGAGTTGGTTCTTACAATTCTGATGAGGCCCAATAGACTTCAAATAAGTTTCTGGTACAGTAGTACCTCGGGTTAAGAACTTAATTCGTTCTGGAGGTCCATTCTTAACCTGAAACTGTTCTTAACCTGAGGTACCACTTTAGTTAATGGGCCTCCCGCTGCTACCACCATGCGATTTCTGTTCTCATCCTGAAGCAAAGTTCTTAACCCAAGGGACTACTTCCGGGTTAGCGGAGTCTGCAACCTGAAGCGTCTGTAACCTGAGGTACCACTGTATTAGGTTTCATATTAGATGTGGCAATTCCTTGGTTTAAATACTTCCTAAAAACTTGGAGCAGAAGATTTCCATGACAAGGAGATGGAAGGGGGGGCATTTAGCATGCATCTGCCACAAATGTGCAGGTAGAAAGGTTATGAGCGGTGAGCAGAAAGGAAACTGAATCCCTTGCATGATAATTTGTTTTAATTCCCCATCTGAAAAGTTCTGTGATAACGTATCGGCCACACACTGACACTGTGAAAGATGAATTTTTTAAATTTATTTTTTGCTTGGGATATGGCATGATGTTTCCAGTAGTTCCCCCTTTTGCTGCAAATGCAACACTTCAACTGCTGAATCATCAGATGCCATTCAAATCCACCACAATTGGCCTCACATAACCTAATGTTCACAGAACAGGGAAAGCTGCCTATACCAAGTCAGAGCATTATTCCACCTAGCTTAGCATTGTCTACACTGACCGACAGCTGTTCAAATCTTTCCAGCCCTACTGGAAATGCCAGGGATTGAATCTTCTTCATGCAAGACATGTGTTCTACCACTGAGCTGCAGCCCTTCCCTATAGGGACATTCTAAACTTGATAAAAGGAGATAGGAACATTTATCTTCATAGCGAAGCTAAATCTGAAGTGGAAACTAATAATATACCCTGTTGGGCAGTTTTAAAAAATAGCAGTTGTGCTGAGAAGGCCTCAAATTAAATCACAGAGTGCAATAATGCCTCTTAAACTGCTGAAATACAGCAGTGCAACATCCCAGAGGACCTCGGCAGCAGCCACTGTCAGCAGGGCACAGATTTCCTCCGCCCCGACACAGACGTAATAAATTCAAAGCTACAAATATAGCAAATTATAAAACAAGAATAAAATCAATGCTATTGCAATGTTTACACGCACAGATGACTGACAGAACACAGTTCTCATTAGCTGCCCATACTTTAGCATGTTTTATCCTATGACAAAGTTTGCAATTCGGGAGCTGAGTTCTACCACAGTCTATTTGACACATCATACTTCGGACACTTACACCCTTATTTTAAGGCTTTACAAAAGCAACTTCTTGAGCACCACAAAGTGCAACCATATGATCTTGCTTAAACTGCTGATGATCCATGTTAATTACAGAAATAGTACTGAAATGGCAGCTGTAGTAGCAGGGGCTGGTAGGAGTTATCATCTGGAGGGCTTTGGGTTGGCAAAGGCTGCCTTTGATGGCTTTGCTTGTGGCCGAAACAGCCTTCGTGTTAAAGGAGAAAAATGTCGTGGAGAATGCAGGAGCTTCTCCCCCCCTTGCCCTCTTTTTGACTGGGTGCTGTGCCTTCCTGTCCTGCTGCCCAGAATCATGCCAACAGCTACATCTAAACGTTTATTCCCTATAAAAAGTTGGCACCGATCCATTGACTTGGAACACTGTTCTTTATGAATGGGAATCTTCAATAAGAACAAAAACCACCACCACCACCACACTAGACAACCTGCCACCCAAAAACTTCCAATGTCAGTTGTTTTCCACTCCAAATCAGCAGAGGTTCCAGCCAGCCAGCCACCAAAGAATGTGCTGCTAGGAGAAAAGCAGGCGACACACACAGTAAATGCAAGCTCTTGAGGGCCTCAAGCTGCCCACATGAAGTTTAGTGTTTGGTTGAAAAAACTCATATTCAGAGTTCACAAACAGAAACGTGGTTTATTTACCTTGCAGAACTCTCATGCAAACCTGCTTAATGTGTGCATCAGTTGGCTCTCTGCCCTGAAACAAACAAGCAGTCTGTAAACAGTGGGCAGAATAGCGTCCAGCAAAAAATTTAGATGGTCCCAGCAGATTGCAGGGATCTGCAATAGATTGCCACCTGCAATTTTGATTGCAAGCCCATTCATAATTCTTGCCGTGACAGAAATAGCCATGCAAAAGGATATCTTACTTACAGCTGGGCCCTGGCTGCCAGGCAGGCCTGTTGCACCTTGTTGGCCTTGCAAACCACGAGGTCCAGGGGGCCCACGTAATCCTTCAATCCCGGGCAAACCGCGGCTTCCTTCAGGCCCACGTGACCCAGGTTCACCAGGATTCCCAACCTAAAGATGGCAGGAAGTGAACAGATTTCTTTCTTTCTTTTTTTGCAGAGTGAGCTACTCTTCCACATTGTTCCAGGTATCTCAATACAGCAGTAAACTGCTGCATGTACTTCCTCAGGCTCCCACAACATTCATAGTGGAAAAGTAGGAGTTGACGTTTGCAGATTTGTACTTTGTGGAATGATGGCACAGTGCTTGGGAAGGCTGCTCAGTAAAACGAAGATGGTTATATATCTTTCTTTTATTTTTTTTAATATGGCTGCCATGGCACCCTGACATTCTGAACAAGGTCCCCTGCTAGATTTGGCAATTTCAACTGAAGAGGAAAGACTTAACAAGCCTTATGTGGGACCGTGGTTTTGAGTTTGCCTTTATTTTTGGTGGCGGAGCCTGATCTCTTTTAGAGGAGGACCATTTTTATGCAGTGCAGTAAATAAACACATAGGGAAGAGTCTGCTGCATAGCAAGTGGCATTTGCTTTCTCTTTTCCCCACAGGCACCTCCACTGTGATACATTACTTAAGCAATATGAATCCCTGAAGCAATTCTAAACTTTTGCCTTTGCACAAATCCTATGAATATATTAAATATTTAAAAAACAGCTTAACTACCAAGGAGGCCATAAACTACAAGTGCTTTTAAGATCTCTCCCCCCTCCCCCCATTTTTGTATTCTATAAATATAACTGCAGAGCAAATAAATATTAGATAAGCTAGAAATTGGTAACACAAGTGTTTGCAAACGGCTGCCTCTAAACCACTGCAGGGGAAAACTAATCGCAACTACTTCTCTTCTCAGACAAACAGAAAACTATGGCACCAGTGTTACTAGCTGCAGAACTTTTCATCCCTGGGATGATAACAAAAGTGGTAAGGATCTTGCAATGATCTATTGGGTGGATATGGAAACTGGAGAAGTTGGGGGTGAACTTTAATTTGCAAGATTTCAGTGCACCCTATATATTCTCCAATCAATGCATTCCAAACTTTACATAAGACCCCCGTTAGCATATTGTGGGCTGGCAGACTCCTTTTTATAGTATTCTGTATTACTTCATTGAGGAATCACTGAGACAGTGGGATAATCACACAATCATTTTGAAATAAAACCTATTTAAAAGTAGGCACGTTTACGTTCATGTCCAAGGTCCACACAGCCCACCAATAGCCAAAGCTGCATCTTTTCAGATAGCAACAGAGATTCTGGGCAAGCTGCCCTGTGACCATAGGTGCATCGTTAACTGACATCACCCAGGTGCTTCACTCCTCCCTTTGGGTAGGTAAGCAAGTCAGGATGCCTCCAGTTCAGTACTGTTTACGATTTAAGTCTGAACCAGAAAATGGCTTCCAAACAAGGCAGGTTATTGGGACATCATTAAGATATCCCTGGCTTGTCTGGAAGACATTAAATAGGATTTCTCAGTTCAGATGTAACACTATGGTTAACGGAAGACTTCCTTGTTTTGCAGCTTATGTGGAAGGAGAAGCAAAGTGGCTGCATTAAGTGCACGGGGTTCACCTTCATGGCTTGGCTTAGGAAACCAAGATAGGATTGTTCAAACATGGCCTCTGCCAATCCCTGTCTCAGCATGGACGAAAGCTATGGAATTACTTCTGGTAAAAGGAGGGGGGATTTAGATACTAAGCAGCCAAATTCTACATCCTGATTGAATGTATTTTTTCTGTGTGAGAAGCATAGAAGATATTCAACTCAGGATGATGACCTGTATAAAAATTTAAGTTCACAAGGATCGCTCTACTCAACCACTGGGAAGTTCCGCACTGACTCATTCATTTGCCCCTCTTCGCAGAAACACACAAACCCCTCCATCTCCACACAGTGAGAAGTGAAATTTGTCACTCTAAGAAACCCTCTAGTAATCCACAGCATTAGAATAAAAACGATGAGTGATGGATCACATTTGCCTTAACTTCCTTGCTTGGGGAACTAAATATTGAAGCCCCATTTGCGAAGCTAAATAACCACCCCCTTGTTTGAAATATTCTGCTGATTTATTAAGGTTTTGATTTTCGGTAACAATGCAGTTCATCATACTTACAGATCCCTTAGGGCCTGGCAAACCCATGTCGCCCTAACAAAACAAGATGAATTGTGTCAGGATGGCATACGCGCAAGCAGTTTTAAATAAAATGAATATTGTACTATTTTCTAAACATTTTAAGAAATGATATCACTCTTAAAAGGAATGGAAACCTCATGGTGTACTTAAAACGTAGACTTACAGAAGCAGTGTAAAAGGATGAAAAGGGTTTTTTGTTTTAAAAGGCTTCTTTAAAAAAATGAGGGGTTTTGTTCATGAAAGTGGTACGATCTGTAGTTGAACATTTTGATGCCTCATTCAAGATTCAGTATGTTCTGGAGTGGAGATGGCGAACCTGTTACCCTCCAAATGTTGTTGGATCACAACTCCCATCATCCCTGACTAAAGGCCATCCTGGCTGGGTCTGCTAGGAACTGGAGTCCAGCAACATCTGCAGGGCCACACATTGTGCTACTCTAAAACTGCCTCTGAGCTGTAACTACATCGCTAATGGCTGTGCCCTGCCTCTGATATGGCACAATAATGTCAAGTTGCATGGGGGTAGGAAGAGCTGAGAATACAAGTGGGTAATGTTCTCAGAGGCTTATCTGCCCAAAGTAGTCAGATGTGGCGGCATTTGCTCTGTGAATGTCCAATGTTGAGCTATAGGCAAAGCAATCAGATCACATTTTGTATTCCTCTAATCTGCAATCCTATGAGTTTCTACTCAGGAATAAGCCCTGTTGAGTTCAGCGGAACTTAATTTCCTAGAGAGTGTATATAGGAATGCAATAATATTACCCAATGTCTACAGAGCTATCTTTTTTCGTTCACGTGGAATGTGCAGCTCTTTCAACAGCAAGTTGCATGACCTATTTCTCCGTGTTATATATGAAACAACACCTGCCAGTTTTAAAGCTGAGTGTGTAGAATGAATGAAGTAAAAAGATCTTACAAGATCGCCTCTTTGTCCAGGCTCCCCTTCTCCACCAGCAGCTCCCTATATTATAACAAGAAGCATATTATTTATAAATAAGGATAAGGCATTTTCCATAATTTCAACCTTGCTGGAAGCATACCAGACAATGTGAATATGTGTACTCACTTGATCTCCTTTAGGTCCTGGCTCACCAACCAAACCCTATGCGCAAAGCAAAAATAACATGATTTTAAAAACAAACTAACTTAAAATTAGCTACTGTAGACACAGTTTTAAAATGCCCTAAACAGTGAGGCATTGATTTGCATTTAACAAACAAGCTGTCCATGATTTGATAATTTTATTTTATAAAATATATATATATAAATGTACTCATGGGAATAAGTAAGTTTAAAATTCCCTTGCTTAGATGCAGGGATTCATACGTCTATGTTCTGCTGCACATAAAGAGCTCCCTTTGGAAGGAAATTCCCCATTCGATTAAATGGATGAGGCAATATGGGTCTCTTTATGTATCTGGAGCTATCCTCTCTACTGAAGTGAAATGGGAAGCCTTTATGATAGGGGCAGAAAGGTAAGATGCATTTTGGAACTCCTGCATCTTGCTGAACTTCCAAAGCTTAGGGAAGGGACTATTCAGCAGCCATTTTAAGTGTTCCCCACCCTGATCTTATGGTTATCTTTAACTGGTGTTATGATAAAAAAAATCCTTCCAGTAGCACCTTAAAGACCAACTAAGTTAGTTCTTGGTATGAGCTTTCGTGTGCATGCACACGAAAGCTCATACCAAGAACTAACTTAGTTGGTCTTTAAGGTGCTACTGGAAGGAATTTTTTTTGTTTTGACTATGGCAGACCAACACGGCTACCTATCTGTAACTGGTGTTATGATGTACGATATATCCTTATTGTACACCACACAGAAACTACGGTATTAAATGGTATCTAAATTATCAAATTAAGTACAGTGGAAGCTCAGTTTTCAAGCGTCTCGGAAGCCGAATGTTTTGGAACCTGAATGCCAAAAACCCGGAAGTGAATGCTTCTGTTTTCGAAAGCACCTCAAAAGTCAAACAGCTTTTGAGGTACATTTCTCCATTTTCTCAATGGAATTTGCCAACCGCCCATTGCACCTTGGTTGTCAAACGTTTCGGAAATCAAACGGTCTTCCGGGATGGATTACGTTCGACAACTGAAGTACCACTGTAAATAATGGCAACATCATAATCTATTTGATTCATGTGTTCTTTGAGCTAGCTGCGATATGACTGCACTGCAAGTGGTTTACTCCATATATGTGTAACAGTTTATTCTATGAATATTTTCCAAAATATTCTAAAAAAACAATTTTTTTAACATGAAGGAAAGAAAACCAATACAGCAATAAAAATTACAGCAATGGAGCAATGTCTGAGGCTTGAGGAAATCCAGTGTTTCAGTCAGGGCTGGTAGTGAGACAGACTTTAAATAACACTATTCCCACTTTCCTTTTTTTCTGATAACACTAATCAATAACCAGACAATTTCAACTCTTCCTCCTTGCTGTCAACATGACAAACAGAGTTCAATTTAAGTGTGGGCCTAAGTGGCGTTATGGGGACAGCCAAGGTGGGTGATTAATGCTCTCAGAAATCTCTTGTGGCCATTCCTGCTTCTCCCGTAGTTGACAAGTGAACCACATGGCTTGCGCCTGGGAATTCAGGGCTCAGGAAAATTGTGCTAAATGGGGTCTGGGCAACAGGTTCACACCCTTGGCAGATCATCTACTTGGTATATCGTGGTTCATGCACTTGATGGAAATTGCTTTACAAAACATGGCACCAAACAAGGCTAATGCCAAACTATGTTTGACCTGAAATAATAATGAAAAGAGTCATTTCCTCTTTTTCCCCTGCAAGGGGTGGCTTCCCCAATTTTAGGAAGTTGGAAACCCCTAACTCCAAGGCATTTGGGGGTATTTAGACCTTTGAAAAACATAACTGAGAGGTATATGTGCATCACAGTTAATTATTCCACATTGAATGATATGATCTTGTGTACTGATGAGTTTTCCTGCCTTTTCAATGCAAATTTTAACTCTCTCTCTCAATTCCATCTTTTACATTTTTCATTTGCACATCAAGGCTGCCTCTCCTTCCCTCCCTCTTCCTCTCATATTCAGAATTCCTTGCCAGGAGACATGTTCATTGACTTATTTACTTAACGAACCACTTCTCAAGCTACCGCTAATGAAACTTGGTATTGTTGCTTGTCACCTTTCTTCTTCTAGGGCCCCAGTACATTAAATAGCTGCACAGCGGACATTAAATGCAGCTGGTGAAGATTTCCACTGCTCCATCTTCACTGTGGGACAAGCTTCTCTTGTTGAATTTCTGCCAAGCCTTTCTACCTGCACAAGACCTATTTCCGCAAGACAGATCAGGGGTCTCCCATTTTTGTTCTTGGTTTCTTATTTTTTTTAGAAAAACAGCTTTCATTTTAAAAACACCTAGGGACTCCCATTAAACCCAACAATAGATAGAATATTAAATTAGAATTTTAATTGAGACCGCTCTTCTAAGCAGACTTTCATCCAAGATTGTAAATATGATGGAAACAGCATAACTTAATTCCGAATAAATGTTTTGCAAATCAGAGTGCTCCTTTGAAACATAGAGATGTTTCTTTATGGGAAGGCTTAATATATGAGACAGAATTTGCCCCCTCACAATCTGGTACTACTGCTGCCGAGTGTGTGGGGTGTGTGTGTTTGAATGCACCAAAGATTTTGGAGGTATTTATATTGAACACACACACAATACTCTTTCATCTACACTTCTTATTTCTCTTGGCTTTCATACATTGCATCATGCCTGCTGAGCAGCATGAAGGCACAAAGATGAGAGGAAAAGAAGAACAGAAGCAAACTAGATACAAATATTCAGCACTCCCTCCTACAGAATGTATACAAGGTACATTTGTATTATTGCAATTTAAGAATAAAGTAGTAGTGGCAGTGCTTTTATACAACACCGCTGTGCAGAACCAAAAGAGTAAGTATGTGGCAAGAATGTGGACATGGGTACCACTGCAACAGTAGGCTACCCTGAGACTTCTAAGTCAGAATACCTGGCCAGGCACTGTTCCCATGGGATTGCTCTGCATCTCAGGACATCACAACATCCTGCAGTGCTAGGAAGGAAAGTGTGTTGTGCCTGTTTTTGCCAATTTCAGGATGCAGCACAAATACACCCCCCAGATATGGTTACCATTCAGTGGTGTAGCATGGGTTGCCAGTATCCAGGGCCGCACAGAGGAGGGGGGAGGGAGAGAAATAGACAGAGTACACATGCACATTCAACTACATAACAGTGTCTGAGTCACCCAGGAGATTGCGGAAATAAGAGTCATTCCGTTGTTTGGAGAGGTCACTTCCTGGTTTGCACGGAGAAGCCATTTTCAATGGAGCCCAGCAACAGAAGCATGCAACTGTATTGAGGCAGCACCAGGCATTGAAATTTTGCACCCCTAACAATTCTGCACCTGAGGAAACCGCCTCTGTGCCACCACCCCGCTATGCCACTGCTACCATCTACCCTCTGTGTAACTAATATTCTATCAGTTACATCCAGTATGTTTCCTATGACATGTAGCTACACCCACCCCACACATTTACAGCAGAGCCAATCATCTGACCTCCCTCACTCTGAATTGTTGCTGTATACCAGAACAGAGGTGGCAGCAGCAAGCTCAGTGCAGTGCAAATACAATGGCGAAGCCAATCTGGCTCTCCTGCCACTGGGTTTGAATTGTGCCAACTTCCCACCACCATGCCCCCTCATAGAAAATATCATTCTACAACAAAAGCAAAAATAAGAAATGGAACGTTGTCCTGGCTTAGTATAACACCGCTTCTTGTATTCCTTCAAGTTTCACTTCTGTCTGCCCTAATGGTTTGGACCCATCTTCATGCATAACTGAATATATTACCATGACAGACGGAGCCATGTGAGTTGATGACAAGGTATAATCCTCACGTCAAACATCTGCATTTTTGGCCATCTTCATGTGAGAAGGTGAGTACCTGTGCCTACTTGTGTGTTTCAAGATGGATTCCGACAGTACCATCAAACACTGCTTCCTTGTGGTCACTAATCCATGCATGAGTGTTTGTATCCCCTTCCTAGGTGGTTCTGGCAAACCACACAACAAGCACCCACTGTGGAATTCCTCTTGGATCCAAGTGGGAAGGAGATTCAAAAATCCCAACAGCAGCATGCATGGATCCTTGGGTCACATAGGACAGAGCAGCAACTGTACAACCGAGGGGAAGTTGGAAGGTTGAGAAGGCATGTTTGAAGCAGACCTTGGTGGGGAAAGGACACTATATTCACCTGTCATGGAGACAGAGACACCTGCAGGGTGCCCCAAAGGTGTCTATTAGAACTTCACCCTCCCCACTAAGCCACCTCCGGGCATGTATGCCACTACCATGGTGAATGACCTTGGGCACACTGCAGAAATACACCCAACCATTCACAATGTATGGAGGACCTAAGGTGCCACATTCTTCTTCAACCCGCTAGTGCACAGGCTACCACTATTAATAGGACTGGAAGTAACCAATGTCCTGAGGGCTTAGAAAAGAGCAGGCTATTGGACTCCCCAAGGTGAAGTGCATCGGGGGGTGGCGGCCCTGGAACAGTATTTACTCCAATGGCTTGAGGTGTGGTGCTCTCTGTGAGTGAAAGGGATTGTACCCTTCATTTTGTCCAGGAACATATTTTCATTCAGTGCAATAAGCACTGCAGCTACGGGATACTCGGAAAAACTCTAAGGCTGATGTTGAGTTCTAGAATGCAGCAGGAATGGTTTTTGTTAATGGTAGCCATTAGTGTTTTGGACCACCAAATAATCCACCAGTAGACACTTCAAGGACTGGAGCATATATTCCATTTTAAATATAGAGAAGATCACATGAGGTCTGGGGAAGGCACAGCTACAATGAAGAGCTCTAGGCATCAGTAGCAAGTGGTAAAGACTACCTATAATTAGACTTCCCTTGAGAATAAACCCTTTCCGAGTTAATTCCTCGGAACTGATGGCTCTGGAATTCTATAGCACTCTGCCAACTAAGCTAATGCCATAATGATGAATGTGCATTGACAGAACATCAAATATCCCCTAGCACAGACAAGGCAAAGAATTTCAAGAAAGCAACAGCTGAAGTTAAGAAGCCTTTTCCCACAGAGAGAGAGAGAGAATGATCTTCTTGACAATCAAGTCAGAGCTAAGATTTTTCATTAATTTGCTAACTAAGCAACCAGCGACTTTGAATGTGAAAGCTAAAATTACCCAGGGGTGCAAAAGGAAAAGACTGGAGGCTTGAGTGGGAAAGGACAGGGGAGAGAACGCTAATGAACAGAAAACAAAAACAACCTCAGAAATAATCTGGAAAACCCTTAGCAACAATCAAAGGGGTAGAGAGGCACCGAGTTCCATCCAAAATTGCAGTGGCCGTCTTGTGCATCGAGTGCTGCACTTCAGGAGGAGGCCTAGTGAGGCCTGCCGCCACCCGAGAGGACCAGCGAGGACCACTGCCACCCAAGCGAGGCCCAGCAAGACCTGCCACTACCCAAGCGAGGACCAGTGCTGCAAGGTTGGGGAGGGGGCTCAGTCCTGTCCCAGCAGACTTAGGAGGTGGGGCAGACTGAAGACAACTCAGCCCTATAGAATTGGCACCTATGAAGCAGTAGCAGCGTAGGATGGAACTGGGGTTCTAATAAGGTGAACAGTATCCCTTCTTAGGCTCAATTTTATATCAGTCATAGCGTGACTGGAAGTGGGGCCCTTAATTAAAGTAAGGATTTCAATTAAGATAGTTGCAGTAATATCAGGAGGAATTTTTAGTGGACATCAGCAAAGGTGAGGTGAAGGGTAAAAAATAAACCAAGGTGTGTGTGCTGGTGGTGGTGAGGAACTTGTTGGCTACCACCACAACAGTTTTCACAGACCTGAGGGCAGAAACCTATACATAGCAATTCAGGGCAGGGGTACCTTTGGCCCTCTAGATTTTGGAAAACAACCTGTCATTGCTGACCGTGAGCCATGTTGGATGGGCTTGAGTTAAGAGTCCAACAACGTCGAGAAGGCTCCCAGATTCTCCACCCCTTCAATATTGGTAGTTCTTAACCCCTCCCCCCTTTAAGTGGCTTCAGAAAATAATTAGACCAAGGGTAGCTGCATTAATTCCTTATGGCAAATTGTATGCTTACCCTGTCACCTTTAGCACCAGGCAATCCTGGAGGCCCAGGTAAACCTGGGAGGCCTATGTCACCTTCGCCACCCTGTGGAAACAAAGATGGCAGATTCTTAGGGTAATTTTTAGACTAAACAAAAGAACCATTGATAAAGAGACCCAGCCTCTGAGAAGCACATTACACTTTCCCTATGGAGAGTAATAAGAACAGCCGGCTGTGTGCTTTCTTTCTGAACCATAGACTCTGCTAAATTGTTGCTGACAGTTTGCTATAATCTACTGCAGCCAGAAAACAGCAGTTCCTAGACTTTTAATACATCTGCTAAAATATTTGTGCCTTTATGGAGGAGGATGCTGTAATTCCTCGACCCTATGGTGTGAGCATTCCTCTCTAACAGGGAGCTCTTTCAGTTCCCAAATAGCCAGCCTGCCCTTCGAGCAGAAACCATGCAAATGAAGATTGAGTCATTTCAAAGAAGGCATTCACGCTCAGTAGTCATTAATGCCAGATAGCTGCTAGCAGGAAAGGAAAAAGAAAATACTGGCCTTTCATTATTCCTGCTCCTTTTTAAATTAATAACACAAGCGACAGCTAACTTCACCATCTTAAGGCAATACACAAAGAGAGATATCCACTTTTCTTCCTCACAGCACTGCATTAAAAATGATGTGTTCCCAGTAGAATTTTACAGAATTCAAATAAGAAAATGTGGGTCTTAGTAGAGTCACAAGCTGGGAAGAGGGAAGGCAACAATGATCGTATTCATGTTTCATCTTCAGCTTCTTGCATAAACTGCTAGGTTGCTATGGATCCTAAGGGGAAACCATAAGCTCTTGAAAAAATAAAAATGAATTTGATGGGAGTAGACACTGGCTGCTTACCATTTTACCTGGCGGACCTGGAGGGCCAGCAGGACCCAGCTCACCTCTGCTACCCTTTGAGAAAACAAGGAGGCATTGTTAAAGCATTTTCCGGCAGCAAAATGAAGAATCGTTTCATCAATGCTTACTTAATATATTTTTTTATAGTCAGCTAAAAAGCAAAATACCGACTTAGAAGAAGGTAGCTCCTAATACTACCATTTCATTCTGCATCATAAACACACATGTATAAACACACAGGACAAGCACACGCTCATAGGCTCAAGTGTGATTCTTCGGGTATGAGCAGCCTAATATCTCTTCATAGAGGATGCTTGGTTCCCATGGTTAAATACCAATTGCTGGAAACTGTGGGTAGTAAGAGTGCTTTTCTGGCCATGTTCTGCTTGCAAGTTTCCTTGAGGCATCGCCTTGGCCACTGTGAGAACAGGATGCTGGACGAGATGGTCTACTGACCTGATCCAGCAGGCTCTTATTACTTTCTTATTGTATCACTTTTAAAGATAAGTTTATCAACCAGTTAGATGAGTGTATGCATAATCTGACAAGAGTGATACATCATTGGAACTGACTTAACATGAAATACTGTGAGTAGGTGTAATTCTAGCTTTCATGTTAATCTTCTGGTAAGGAAACTGTAACACAACAGGTTGCGGAGCAATGAAAAGATGAAGCTACATATGAAATACATGTTATGCCGCATCTCGAAATTGCATGAAATGGCTTTTCAAGCAAAGCAAGGAAACTTACTGGAAAATAATTAAGTATCCTGGAGGGATCAAAAGAACTCAGAACTGGGTAAGTTTCCAGTCACTGCTTCTATAAAATTCTTATGTCATTAACATGAGAAGCTTTTAGAAAGGCTTGGAAAAAACCTTCAGGTGACCCAGAAAATTAATTAATCTTCTCCACAAATTTAGCTCCATTTAGTTACTTTTGTAACATTATTGAACATGCCTCTAGATGCAGATTCACGTGAACCTAATTAAAATTAGAACAAATTGAAAACCACTTCTTCTGTTTATCACCATAAGATATGCAATTGAAAAAACTAATATTTTTGGTAGGGAAAATTAGGTTGCTCAGGCTAGCAGTTCCAGTTTAATGTGCTTTAAAAAAAATCTATTATATGCTCACATCTTTTTGTGTTTCAGTTAGGAAAATCTCATTTTGTAATGCTGCACATCGTATGAACTTGTTTCAGGTTGACAATTCACATGAATGTGAACCCGTGGTGTGAGGGTCTAAGTACAGCTGGCTACTAGAAGCCTTGGGCTTCTATGCTCTCTCCTTCAATTTAATACAAACCAGAGAGATCACCGTGCTCAAGATTAGGAGAGATCATATGAGTGTGTTCCATGTTCATTCGCATAGCACCAAACCATGTTGTGGCATCAAATCTGAACATCTGTTCTTCAGGTGTCAAAAGTCTACACCTAGCTGCTCTACTGAAGAGGGCCAGGTTCTTTTTCTTGCACAGCCAATAAGACAATGCTTGTCTTGGGATCTTTAGGGAAAAGTTTGAAAACAAAACTGCCATTTTCGTAACGGCATTGTACACATCTATGGTGCAACCTAATTCTGGTCACCTCACTTCAGGAATGGTTACAACATTTGGAGCTTTTCAGTTTAGAGGGAAGGTGCTCTGAGAACATCCCAGGAAGGATGAACATGCAGGATAGCAAGCATGCATGTAGGCTTTCCAGTTATTGTTTACAGGTGGGAAAGGAATCCTGAGCATAATTTTTAGGCCACTGGGCTCTTCACTGCAAAGTAGCGGCTTCTTGCCACATTTGTCCCTGGCATATTGTGGGCTATATATGTTTATCTCCCTCTCCTCAGCCCCCATTTTCTGGGCACAATTTGATGTGCCTTTTGTTTTTTAAATAAATTTTTTAAATTCAAGCAAGAGCACTCAGTCCATCAGTGTGGTCCCTTCCAACTGTGAGAGGGTACTCAGAGAGGTGCTCTTGGTAGCTGTCCCACTATGGTGATGCCCCGTTCCTGTGAAGCCTCATCAAAGTCCAAAGTGAAGTACTGTATTGTCCAAAAGCCCCTTCATCGCCTTGTCGTGGCGAAGGGGCTTGAATAACTCCAAGAAGCTAGGAGCTATGCCGTGCAGGGCCACCCAAGATGGACAGGTCATAACCGAGAGTTTAGACTAAATGTGATCCACCTGGAGAAGGAACTGGCAAACCACTCCAGTATTTTGCCAAGAAAACACCATGGACATAAAAAAGGAGAAGCTTTTTCATGCTCTGTTTCATGGGGTCACGGAGAGTTGAACACGACTAAGACGACTAAACAACAACAACATTGTCCATAAGAACTGTAAAATATATCAATTTTAACAGCATAGCCACCTTGCTTTTGGGGGGAGGGTGCACATCTGATCCATATATAGCATCTCTGCTAAATAACAGAGTGGAAACAATGGAGGAAAAGAACTGGCAAAGACTGGTAGAGTGAGGCCAAGAATGGGCCATTGTGCCCAACTGAGCACAAATAATCTGCTTATACCACTACTGCTGCTGATTCTTTTTTTTTAAAAAGCATTATCACTGATTATGTCTGACACTTTGAAGTTTAAAAATTGATACTCTGGAGCAATTTAGCATAAAAGGAAAGCTTTCAAAGATTTTAACCATAAATGAAGTGTGATAATCATATAGACCAATTTCCATAATGTGTGTGCGAAGCAAAGCTTCAAGTCAACTGGTAAAAAGAACAATGAAATACATGTTTTATTAATATGTTTTGATCTATAACATTAAGATATAGGAAGTTTGGCTGTAAGATTGCAGTACCCTGACTTGTGCCATTACAGTGATTCAAAGGCTTGATCTTATCCGTGTTCTTTTCCCCTTGTGCAGCAGATCATAACAATTGGGATGATGGTTCTAATGCTCCGAAGGAAGCTATATCAAATTAAGTGAAAGTATAGCGGTTCAAGCAGTTGGCCAATCATGTTACCATGAACCAGGTACCGGTCAAGTACTTGGTAAAAGTTGATTGTTCTGTTGATCAGGTTGTTGAAGAGATGCATGCAGACAAGGAGTCAAACTGCACTTTTTATAGGAATTTTGGGTTCAGAGGTACCAAGAGAACAAAGGAAATTATTTTTGTATGCTACCACAGCAGCTAGAATGATACAGTGGTACCTTGGGTTACAAACACCTCGGGTTGCAAACACTTCGGGTTACAGACTCCACTAACCCGGAAGTAGTACGTCGGGTTAAGAACTTTGCTTCAGGATGAGAACAGAAATTGCGTGGCGACAGTGCAGCGGCAGCAGGAGGCCCCATTAGCTAAAGTGGTACCTCAGGTTAAGAGCAGTTTCAGGTTAAGAACGGACCTCCGGAACGAATTAAGTTCGTAACCAGAGGTACCACTGTATATGCCCAGGGATGGGATGGAAAGTAGCAGCAGTTCCAACTAAACAAGATTGGCAACTAAAATTAATGAAAAACGCAGAAATGGTGAAACTTACTGGAAGAATAAGAAATCAAGAAGGACGACTTTTTAATATAGAATGTGAACTTTTTACTAAACTTTGTAACTACACTGAGTTTGGGGATGCTGCGAAAAGAAACACCTACCCTACCTGCATGCTACACTCTTGAGAACTACTTGGGGGTTGCAGCTGCAATTAATTTAAGAAAAGCAAGAGAAATAACAGCCTGTCATGCATTAAGCATGATGTGCAGTTTGACCCTAAGGCTGCAATCCTAGGCGCTCTTCTCTGGGAGTAAGAAGCTCCATTGACCATAATGGGACTTGCTTCTAAGTTAACCATACTGGGCTGTATGGCTGTAAAATTATAGTAGTTTAGTTACTTGTGAGTGGAGGTCCATTCTTAACCTGAAACTGTTCTTAACCTGAGGTACCACTTTAGCTAATGGGGCCTCCCGCTGCGACCTCGCTGCCACCACCCGATTTCTGTTCTCATCCTGAAGCAAAGTTCTTAACCCAAGGTACTATTTCTGGGTTAGCGGAGTCTGTAACCTGAAGCGTCTGTAACCTGAGGTACCACTGTATGGTTAAGAATGATTTGTAAATTTATAGATATAACGAAACAATCAGTGTAAACTAATGTGTAAAGCAGTGTTTTCCCCACGTTTCTCATTGAAAGCATGATTTATAGAATGTTTTGCACATCTATCAGCTTATGCAAACCATTATTAGCTTACAGAAATCTAGCAGATGTCATGCTGGTCACTAGAACTAGAACTTTCAGAGTCTAATCTGAACTGCTTCCAGAGCTTGCAGTGGGGATGGTTAATAATGAACACAGTATGGTAGCTCCGGTTTCTACGCACTGCTGATTTTATAAACCCTTAGTTGCATTTTACAGGATTAAAAACATAGTTTAGAAGATTATCTTGCATTATCCGGTTAAGGAACTACCCTGTTCTTTATTAACCAAGAGCTGTCCAAAAACATTCAGACCGGCATCAGTTTAGAGAAAGGAATTTGGGAAATAGCCAAGTATATCTAAACAAGTTCTGCTCAAAGCCACCAACAGTTTGCAATTTTTGCAAATAAAGAGTTTTTCTGAAGAAAAAAAAATGAAGTTATTGTGTCAGTAGCCAGAGCTGAAAGATAAAGCAAAGGAATAATCCCTTGACTTTGGTAGTTATTACTCTATGCAACTCAGTTTTGCATGGAGCACAATGGTTTTCAGAAAGATGGCAAGCAGTATTCCCCAAATCCACTGCCACATTTTCAGTGTTCTGTGTTCAGGAATAGTGCACTGTCTCCTTAAGTATACTTCACTTTTGATCCCCCATCGCCTTTCTTCATTTGGGTAAGACGAATCCCTGCAGCAAGCCTGTATTAACAGTCCCGGCAGGGAGGATTATACAGTGGTGCCTCGCAAGACGAAATTAATTCGTTCCGCAAGTCTCTTCATCTTGCGAGTTTTTCGTCTTGCGATGCACGGTTTCCCATAGGAATGCATTGAAAATCAATTAATGCGTTCCTATGGAAACCAACTTCAGACCAGGTCCGGGGACAGTTATATACAGGGGGTGATGATTCTCATGTGATATGCCAGAATAATAAATACCCAGGTATAAAATGCACTTCCATGTTGACGAGATATTTCAGGTAATGTCTGAATGTAAGATTATGGATGGTAGTGATTAACGGATATTCATGAGTGTTTACAATAATGCATGAGATAGGCATAACGTTCTTAAATCAGATAAATGAGCTAATAATGCATATTTAATAGTCACATGGTATATAGTATTATGTACAATAAGCAGTTATGTATTATGTAAAATTATAGGTACTAGTATATTCAAGGATATTCAAGGGTAAACTATTAATGCATAATTAAACATATATGTATTATGTCCAATATATAGGAAAATGTCTATATTATTATTTCATGGGGTAATAAAATATAAAAGGGGCACCCTACTTCTCTGTCTAACACAGTAGGTGGCAGCACCAAACATTTTGAATGAAGTCTGGACACAGTGGTGTAGCTGAGAGGCTGACCCTTAGTCAGGGACAGCCCCAGGGACAGGTTCTTGAGAGGGTTCCAAGAAATATCACACTTCCATTCTGTCATAAACAATGGCTAAGACTTCGTGCAGTGCAGCTGAAATTCATCCTCAGTTCACAGCAGAACTTCTGGCATAGTGTGCAAGGGTCTTCAGTCCCTCTAGGGACCATGAAAGCTTTGCATGATGTGGATCTGTAGACTAGGTAAAGGTACCCCGGCCCGTACAGGCCAGTCTTGCCAGACTCTAGGGTTGTGTGCTCATCTCACTCTATAGGCCGGGAGCCAGCGCTGTCCGCAGACACTTCCGGGTCACGTGGCCAGCGTGACAAGCTGCATCTGGCGAGCCAGCGCAGCACACGGAACGCTGTTTACCTTCCCGCTGGTAAGCGGTCCCTATTTATCCAATTGCACCCGGGGGTGCTTTCGAACTGCTAGGTTGGCAGGCGCTGGGACCGAACGATGGGAGCGCACCCCGCCGCGGGGATTCGAACCGCCGACCATGCGATCGGCAAGTCCTAGGCGCTGAGGTTTTACCCACAGCGCCACCCGCGTCCCTATCTGTAGACTAGTGTTCAACTTATCATATATAATTCTACTGACATGTTTCATGGTTTTGGCTGGAGTGTTTAACTCACTACGGAATATTGGGCTGAGTTTATTTGTATTATGACTCGGCAAATGTGAGGCAAATGTGAACAACTAATTTGGGACTGGAAGAAATTGATGTGAAAGCTAAAAGAGTTTACGTCACAGGCAAATAACACAAGCACCTTTTGTGCAGACCTTGTCTCCTCCATCATTGGCCTATAGCTGAAATCCCAGAACCTAAAGATAGAGCAGAACAAGTACTTACCGATGGGCCTCTGGGTCCGATGGGCCCTTTTTCTCCCTGTGGCCCCTGTTCTCCCTGTTTAACATGATTACAAGAACAGAATGTGCTTTAAAACTGATTCTGCACAAAATGCGCAAGTGTTAGTAAAAAATAAAATGAATCTGGAGAAAGAAAGGAGCTTACAGGTTTACCCGAATTCCCCATCAAGCCAGGTATCCCAGGAGGACCTGCATTACCCTGTTGGGAGACAAGGAGAATTAGCCACGTCACAATAGGTGCCACTATCTTGGAGAAAGAGTGGAATAATAATTAAAAAATACACCTGGAGTCTTTCCCAGATTGCCTAGAATACTTTACCTGTGGTCCAGCAACACCTTTTGCTCCTGGAGAACCTGGTAAACCCTAAAACAAAAGTAAACACATTGCCTTAAAATGTTTGTAATGTTCTATGTACTAAAAAGGTGCAAATATTCCTTGCTCCCTCGGGCAATTATAGTCTGTATTGGAGGAGTGTCTCCCATAGTGTTGGGAACTGTTTCTTTTTGCCAAGCTATGTCATCAAGTGAATTGTATTGGACCTTTTACAAGCATGTCTCAACAGAGCCAAAATCCATTTAAAAAAACACCCCAAACTAGTGCCAACATAATTAACCTTCCCCCTCCAAAGGACATGGAATGCTCTTTAAGCACATGCTTAAGTTGGTTCCCAAAAGCATGCTATGAAAACGCATTGATTTTCATACCAGAGCCTAGTTTTCAGCAACAGCGACTATCTTATTTGATTGATCTATAGGTTTCCTTATAGTTTCATCCCACCTTAGGAATATAGTGAGGCATAAGGAATTGGAATGAAAGAGAGCGAGAGATTGTGGTAAAATGGTCTTCCGAATAAGGAAAATAACAAATTTTGATAGTAGTACATGCAACTAATCTATGCTATACATTGCAAAAGATGTAGGAAAACTTCAGGAGCCAAACAGTCTTTGACATACGCTTCAGCACAGCCATAATATGCTTGCAGGGATGATATCATCATGTTGCATAGGCGGCACTAGATTTAGTTGTATCTGGGTGGAGCAGTGGGAGACAGCATGGCGGGGCTGCACCTTGGTGAAATGGTGAGGAAGTGGGCGTATTCTATTCTCTTAAAGAGAGACATCAACATTTTTATCTAGCTTCCTAGCTTGGGTGCCCTCTAAAGCTTCCATGACAATCCTGGAACTTACCCTTTCTGTATGCAATTAACACAAACAGGATCATCCCATAAAGTTGAATCATGCTATCTACACCCTAATTTTTAAAGGCTCCGCTCCTCATGGTTTCCCCCAGACTCTCACTATTCCTGTCATTACAGAAAATGAAGGCTTAATAAGCTTCAGCCTGGCTTGTAAATTTAACTATGTTTTACATTTAAAGTGCACAGAATACTTACTGGCAGTCCCTGAACTCCTATATCACCCGGAGGGCCTGGTTTTCCTGGTTCACCCTGGAAGGAAACGTTTGCATCAATCAAATGAAAATCGTTGTAGTACAAACTGTCTGCTTGTTTGCTATTCAGAAAAAAGCCCAAACGAACAAGTTAGTATCTTTTTTTAAAAAAAACACTGTGGCATCCTTTTCCAAACCGCTAACTTATGGGAATGTAATATCACTGTTGTTCTGGTTGTTAACAACTTGATAGTACTTGGGAGTTAACCAAAAGACTCAGCCAGCCAGTAAAAAGGTAAAGGAACCCCTGACCATTATGTCCAGTCGTGACCGACTCTGGGGTTGCAGCGCTCATCTCACTTTATTGGCTGAGGGAGCCTGCGTACAGCTTCCAGGGCATGTGGCCAGCATGACTAAGCCGCTTCTGGCGAACCAGAGCAGCACACGGAAATGCCGTTTACCTTCCTGTCGGAGTGGTACCTATTTATCTACTTGCACTTGGACGTGCTTTCAAACTGCTAGGTTGGCAGGAGCAGGGACTGAACAACGGGAGCTCACCCCGTCGTGGGAATTCGAACCGCCGACCTTCTGATCGGCAAGTCCTAGGCTCTGTGGTTTAACCCACATCGCCACCCGCGTCCCCAACCAGTATGGGTGCACAAAAGAGGCAAATAAGGTTTGCTCTCTGCTTACACCCACAGATAATGCTAGGTGCAACTTGAGTGACTGTCGTGTTCTTCATGAAGATGCAGTAGGAGCAGAAGAAGACTGGCTCACCATTGACAAAAGTGGCTCATTCATACAATTTAACTAGCACGCTTCTGCTTTCTGCATGTCCCGCCTCTTTAAGTGGAGATCTGACTGGTTTGGCATCTTGCACAGCACCAACATCTGGGCTCACTAAGGACATGGCTCCCCATGAGGCAGCCCTGTGTGCAAACCCCAAAGACTGGAGAGCTGCCATGTCCAATCAAGGGGGGAAAATTGGGCATTTCAATATGAAGGGAAATGAATGTTAGCAATGAATTACCTTAATTAAATGGGAAATAAATGGGGGGTTTAATTGGTGGAGGCATATGTGTGAAGGATTCCTTTCATGCATGTGTGACACAAGTGGTAATTTGGCATTTGACTGCTCCATTAGAACATAAGGAGGTAGCTGCTGGTTAGACCAAAGTGCCAGAACATAGGACACTCCCTTAAACTTGGTGGTCCTAGCTGAGCACAGTCTGCAGTACAGCTCTCATCTTCCTTGGCCAATGGCCATGTCTGCTAGGTCTGATGGGAGTTAACAGTTCACCAACAATGGGAGGGCCAAATGTTGCCCACACCTCTCACAGAAGTTCCTCTTAGCTATCATCATGGCGCCCACTGGCATGGGAGGAGGAGCCTCCATTGGCAGAGCTAGTATAGGAAAGGTGGGAGGAGTTGTGGGTGGGGTCAAGAGACACCGTATTAGGAGCAACTTGATGGGGCAGACTCTTACTCTTTGGAGACACCAGTCAGTTATTGCCTCTGAATATGAAGGATCCAGAGAGATAATATCGCTAAGCATAATTAATAGTTCTGTTCTCTATCAGTTCACCTAATCTGAACTGATTCTCTGTGATTTTCGCTCCTAATCCACACAGTATGGAAGTGAGCAGTTCATTTTGAAAATATAAATTAAACAGCACAATGAATTAACTACCTTTGCTCCTGGCATGGCAGGGATCCCTTCACGGCCATCAACTCCCGGTAAGCCCTTGAGAAAGAAGTAACATCTTCTGTAACACGTTGCCATTATGTAAATGACACTTGTTTCATAATACATGATAGCAATGTAAATGACAAATGCTACGATTAATAATAATCACACTATACGTACACTTTCTCCTTTAGGCCCAGGAAGACCACTAATTCCTCTAACACCTTCAGGACCCTAAGAAAAGGGAAGAAAATTAAAGCATATTGAACATTATAGTCATATTAAGGGACGCACACTTGAATGAAGCAAGGTGAATGCCTCGTCTCGAATAACTTAAGTCAAGTGTATTAGCATTAAACTACCTTATTCCCATTTTATTTCAATGTTCGTGCACACAATGGGGCCATTCACATGTAATGCTACGTGGTCAAGGGCACCCCTTCCTCTCTCCACTTGGAAGAGGAATACATTTGTGCTTGGAGATAGCTCAGTCAGTAGAGCACAAGAGTCTTTATCCCAGAGTCATGGGTTCCAGCCCAACATTGGGCAAATTATTCCAGCATTGCAGGGAATTGGAACAGATGACCCTTCTGGTCCCTTCCAACTCTACAATTTTATTATTCCCTTTCCATGATTCCAAGCTTGTTGCTACATATAAAACAGAAACTGTGGTTGCAAATAAATTCTACTTTATTAAAACAAACTCATTTCCTAACCCATGGCTTGAAGTTGAGTTGTTTTGCAACCGAGTTCATTTTACACCACAATTTCTGCTTCACATCTAACAAGCCAGAAATCATAGAAATTGAAATTGAATCACAGTTTATACCTCTTTCCAGTGGCATGGGAGGAGGGGAGGAGAATGGGAAGTGTTTGAGCCCAAGGCCCAAGGTCAGGCTCGCCTTGTATGGAAACAACGCCCTTAGTTATCTAGTCATCACCCGCTTGGACTACTGCAATGCACTCTATGTGGGGCTACCTTTGAAGGTGACCCGGAAACTGCAATTAATCCAGAATGCGGTAGCTAGACTGGTGACTGGGAGTGGCTGCCAAGACCATATAACACAGGTCCTGAAAAATCTACATTGGCTCACAGTACATTTCCGAGCACAATTCAAAGTGTTGGTGCTGACCTTTACAGCCCTAAACAGCCTCAGCCCAGTATATCTGAAGGCGCATCTCCACCCCCATCCTTCAGCCTGGACACTGAGGTCCAGCTCTGAGGGCCTTCTGGCAGTTCCCTCACTGGGAAAAGTGAGGTTACAGGGAACCAGGCAGAGGGCCTGGTAGTTTTGTGGTATCAATGGTACATTATTACTTAGTCATCCACTGGAACTCAATAAGAACTCACTCTTTCGCCTTTGGGGCCTGCCTCCCCCAATGAACCTCTTTGTCCTTGATCACCCTGCAAAGAAATGTTAAGCACATTAACTGGCAATTCCTTGTCATAATTAAATAAAAGTTATGTGAACGATGATGGCTAAAGGCAAGGTAAATTCCCATGTTTCTAAAGAGTTACTGTAACTGCATATTATGATGTAAGCCTCAAGATAACAGGTCAAGAAGGGCCATTTCTTAGACAAGGGGGAATTGATTGTGTGTCATTGTCCCTCATTCTTGGACGAGGGGGGAAATATCAAAGCCAAGCCAATCTTTAGCTTACTGTAAATCCCAAAAGCTTATAAATGCATACGGGGGAAGCACATCTATATACATAAAAGACTTCCTCAGGGAAACTTGCCAGCCACTAAACCTTTTGTTCTTTGGGAGCCAAACAAATATGTTTTGCTTTTTATTTGAGTAGCTATTTCAGCATGTTTGATAACTGTTTCTGGTTTTATGGCAACTCTACTAGATTTTATTAGTTTTTATGGCTGTAGTTTCTGTGCTTATATATTTGTTTTGTACACTATTTTACTGTTACTTTTTAAATTATTGATTGCATCCCGCCGTGGGAGTTTTACATTGAAAGACAGCCTAGAAATCATTCAGACAGACAGAAAGTAGGGCTTTGGAATTCTGGTCTTCTTTAGCTATGTGTCAATTGCTCCAGGAGTTTTACTGCACCCTCGGTAAGGATTTCCTAGGTGAAATAGGGCTCATAATATAAAACACAACTGAAACAATAAGCCAATCATGAAATGGTTACGTTTACATGTGAAGACATAAAAGACAATGTTATCTTATTTTATACAAAATATCCATCATCATTTTATACTTATGCATCACAAACATTGGGAGTATCTTAAATGAGGTGTTTATGTTTGCTTAGTATGTTTCATACTACTGAAAACTCATTCTTGCTATCTTCTTGGAGAACAGAGAAAACTGAATTTGATGTTTCCACATGGAATGTATGAAAATCCCATGTGGGAATAACTAACTTTATAAAAGATGGCCCCAATTTAAGATCACGAGGGGCTCTGGCTGACCTCACTTCTCCCATCGCAGCACTTGTGCACCACTCTGTTTATGTGTGAGACACTATTCTGAGAGTACCTCTGGACTGGAAGGAGGTGAGCCAAGTGTAATGACATGCAGAGGTACAGCAGGTGATCCTCCTCTGGGAATGGGAAATTCTGTTTTATCTCTGCATCAACCCAGGAATGTAGGCAGCTTCCTGATACAGTGGTACCTCTGCTTTCAAAAGCAATCCATTCCAGAAGACAGTTTTGAGTTCTGGAACGTTCAAAAACTGAAAACCCAAAAGCCAACAGCTAGGCCTCAGGATCTTGCACTAAGCGGAAGCCGTGAGGCATCTTCAACTTCTGAGGCACATTCAAAAACCGAAGCATTTACTTCCGGGTTTTCGGTGTTTGAAAACCGAAATGTCTGTCAAAGGAGACGTTCGAAAATGAGGTACCACTGTACTGAGTCGGACAATTGGTCCATCCAGCTCACCACTGCGACAGTGATGAGGAGCAACTCTCCACTGTTTCAGGCAGCAGTCAACCCAAGCCCTACCTGGAAATGCCAGGGTTTGAACCTAGAACTCCCTGCATACAAAGCATGTGATCTACCAATGTGCCACAATCCCTCCCCTCAGGAATAACTGAATGATCCAATTAGCTATACTGAACAGTCAGCACAACAACAGCTCATTCCCAGCAGAGGCTGGTAGCAAAAAGGAAAAGAAAAAGCAATGAATCATGCGGTGACAGAGTATGCAGCCACATCTGTGGGCGAGTAATACTTTGGTATCCTGACAATCTTTACATTATTTAATATATTTATTACTACAGGCCAGCCAATTCCCCCACACACGCCAAACTCATGTGCCTGGGAACAAGGGATTGAGATTTACCGTATGGAGGTTTTTTAAAAGAATGAAAACTGAGATAGGCACTCCTGAATTGTGAATGCCTGATGTGCTTAATTGTGAATCCTCCTTAGAGGTCTTGCTGATAAGACAAAGAAACTTACCGGGGGCCCAGGAAGACCCCGGGGACCAGGATCACCATCAAGACCCCGAGCACCCTACAGTAAAAACAAACAAACAAAGGATTATTAAGATATAAAAGCTTTTAAAATATTCTGCACACACATGTATTTTCTATTGAGGCTAATAGGGCAGACAGCAGCTTCACACTTGCCATTATTTCGTTCCAACCCTCAATCCTTTACACCTGAGATCAAGAGCTGGAATGACCACCAAGGATTTGTTATGCAGTTGTTACTGTGGAACTATACTCCACTAGTCTTTATAAAGATGTTCCACAACATATGGGTCTTCCTTCATGCTGTGATCCATGGCATGAAAGCTTGTTATGATGCCAGCGATATACCTCCATCAGATCTAGCAACACATGTGATTTCAAAATTCAGAGATTACCAATGCAACCTGGGAGTTAACCACAGAAAAGTGGTAATCACGCTGCAAAAGTAAAGTCTGCATCAAAATCACACTGAACCTTTGCGCCTCTGTTGGATCATGCTGGGCAGCAATTGATCCGTTCCTCTGAATATATTCCACTGCAGGTCATTTCGGTCTTCAACTATTTCTCAATGCCTTGCACGTAACATATGAGTGTGCTATTCTACAGAATTATAGCGAATTGAACCAAAATATATTGTCCTTTATGGAACTGCTGCAAGAATGCTTTACAGATGAGACAATTGCAAGGAAAAAGAAACAGCAATAGTAGAAGAGAATATGTAATGTAATCAAGAAGCGGTACCTCGGAAAAAGCCTTTATATACACATTTAATCTGATGTAGCAACATGAGTAAATGGGAAGGGTAATAGTAAATAGCAATTCTGGTGAGTCAATAAAATAAGTACGCTGGCTATAATAATAGTGTTTCATTCTTGGTCAATAAAAGATTCAAAGTATTCAAGGACACCTCTGAACACCTCTGAAAATCAGAAAGGTAAATTTGGTTTTCTGAAAATGAGATCCACGTGTGCCAGAGAGTTGACAGGCTAAAGAGGAGCACCACATATGGACAATAAGCTATTCTGCTTTCCATTTCTAAAGATGGTTTCTTGGTCCATCTAGTTTACTGGGGGTTGACAGGAGTCTTCTCCCACAGTACCAGGCAGTGGCAGACAGTGTTGTGGGGTAGCACCCCTGTGCTTTAAAATGATAAAGTTATCATTTAAAATGATAAAGGCATCGTTGCTATTACTTACCTTGTCACCTTTGGGTCCCATTATGCCAGTTATACCTCTTAACCCTTGAGGTCCCTGAAATGCAAAATTTATTGTAAGTATGCAGTTTTGTGCAGTGGAGTTATCCTATATATGCAAATTTTCATACCGTATTTCCTTAGATAATATACTTTTTTAAAAAAAGACCTTTTCAGATCTTCCTTTGATTATAAGAAGTGCTTCTTATTTTAGGCACATAGATTTTAAAGTTAGTTTACTTTTAATAAAATCAAGAATTAAAAAGCTCTAGCTACTGAACATTACCTAACAAAAACAGACGGGAAAGATCTAAACATATGATAATTTTAAAAAAAAGGCAACATAGCTGTGATTTGCATCATCTCAATGTGTCAGTTCACACCTGGTTTGAACAGCTGGAAATGAATCTTTTGCAGGTGGATTAAAGGAATAAATAGTACAATTTCTCACATCTGTACATTAGAGATAACATAATGCGAATAAAAAGCTAATTAAAAGGAAAAACTTTACTGGTGGGCCTTGAGTGCCAACATCACCTACTCCTCCTTGTTCACCTTCCTCGCCCTAAATGAGTACAAATAAGAACAAATTAGTTTATAGAACATTCTAACACCTAATCATGTCTACTCAGATGTAAGTCGAACTGAATTCAGTTGGGCTTACTCCCATGTAAATGAGGTCAGGATTGTGGCTTCAGCCTGTAAGAGAGAGTGTGCACTATTTATTAGTGTTATTGATCAATGTGTACTTGCAACTCATATGGCCTATGTGCAGTACACAAAACATTATATTTTACACAGAAGTCCATGCAGAAACTGCCTTATTTGGAGAAGACATCAAAGCTGTTTGGGATTAAAACAGAAAAAAGTGCTGTGGCAATAGTGGGGAAATAAATCTAAGAGGAAAGCTACTGTTCTTTTCGTTTGTTAAAAGCATAACAAAATTAAACATGATTCCTCTTTCAGCCATTGGCTTTCCAAATCATTTTAACCTAGTACTCTATTTCATTTACCTTATGGCCTTGTTTTCCTGGTTCACCAGCCTCTCCTTTTACTCCTTTGTGACCCTAAAGCATAAGAGCAAAGCCCTGTTTAATTAGTAGGTTTAAACAATCACCATCTTTTAAAAATTTTATATGTCTCAGGCTCCCACAAGACCCCTCCTCCTGACTTTGGGTGATTTCCTCTTGCCACTACAGCCCCATGTATAGCAAAGCCTATGGTGGTCAGCAGGCCCCCCCAATCTTCTGAAGGTCTTTTCAGGGGGTACACGGTGGGCTTCAGAACGGGAGGAGGGGAAAAGAAAGATGGCTTCTGTGTGCTGCCTTCCATTCCTGCAACTCAGTGTATTCAATATGCATCCATAATTACAACATATTAAATTACAACATATTCTCTTACCTTCATGCCCATTAGCCCAGCATATCCTGATCGGCCAGGTGGACAAGAATTGGGACACTGGGAGTGGGGGAGAGAAAACCCAAAAGCTGAGTTAAGGATGAGAAACTATTACAGAAAAGCATTTTTTTCATCCAAAAAGGTAAAATAAATATCTTACCAGTGGATCTCCATCACGAAGTCCAACTGTTCCCTGAAGGAGATTTAATAGAACAGTTTTTGTTTTTTGTTTTTTGTTTTTAAAGGCATAGCATAACAGGAAAATGAACAAAAGGCAGATTCAACACAGTCCCCAATTTTCTGATTTCAGCAATCCACATTGTTCCCCTGCCCCCAAAAGCCATCTGTATTTTCTGCTGAAGACGTGAAGAAGAGCAATAGATGGGTGGGTGGATAGGTAGACAGACATTTCTACACATTCATACGATTTCTCTTTATAAAAGCAATGGGTTTATGCCAAAATGCACCACAATTAAGCAAGGCAGGTCCTCACTGGGTGCTTAATTTGTGCATTTGTTAAGGGACATTCTGCAACCTCTTTTTCAAAGGAGAATATGCACTTGGAATGCAACCTTGTAAAAGAGCTCAACCTATCTATTTAGCTATTTACTTTGCCTTGCCGTGTAGATACGTAACCAAACATAAAGGCAAACTGATTAAAAGGAGTGGATTTCATATGGACTGTTACCTGACTGAGATTGCAAGCAGACCTGTCAATCTACCCTGTTACCTGTACAAAGAGCATAGTACAGGCAACAACAGATCTACGCACGTCCAACTGATATGCAACCACGTATCACGGTGACCCGGAATTGGCTGGAAAAGGGGCGGAACGAGCTTATGCATGCTCTGCTGATGTGTGGGGTGGGGGTGGGGAGATCAGGAACATAACCCCTGCACAAATAGGCCGTTATCTGTATATCCTCCAACACTGCTAAAGAACAAATCACAATTTAGAAGGGGACTGGGTGGGTGTTGAGACCTCCCTGAAATCTTGTGAAATGGCTTGTCAAACTCTAGAGTGTATTCTCTGGTGAAGGAGGGCATCTTCTGTACCAAAAACAGTGCATGATCCCAGACCTCGCCTCCCGCTTCCACCAGCATAAATGGAAACACATATGAAAAGAAGTCTCTTGTACTCCTTTACTCAGAAGGCTTTGAAATTCAGTACCGTACCAGGTCAACTGTGGCCACTGGAGGGAATGTCACAACAAAGTAATGCTACTTCTAACCCACAGAAACATGCCTCCACACTTCGAAAGAGTTGGGGAAACAGACATTTTAATAAATGTATAATAAAATGAGTATCTCGAACTTACCATGGGGCCGGGGGGGCCGGGCACTCCAGGAGGGCCTCTCTTTCCAGGATCACCCTAAATAGTTTGAAGGTGGCACAAGTGTATATCAGTGAGCTGCATAACTGATATTTGTTCTGGCCTTATTTGTAAATAAGGCTGTAGCAATCGCAGAGGAGACCATTTACAATGTGGTTAAGTTCAGAGTTCTAGAAAACTCTAAGTGCACAGAATATAAAAGTAGTTTTACATGACAGGAGGAACAGAGGCTACAGTAATCTATATCCCTTGTTTCTTTCATAAAAGAAGTACATCGAAAAGATATGGGATGGTAATTTCTATTACTGAAGTGCTCAGAGATGATAGCAGCTATTAAATAACTAAAGATGCCTCATGCTCCATTCACCATCACTAAAGCCCCTATTACATACAAAACCACTCAGAATCTTGAAAAGTAACCACCATGCAGTTAAACCTCCGCATGGAAATCCATTTGCGTGCCCAGTCGCACACACCATTTGGGAAGTTTTCCACCATGCTATCCAGCCCTTATTTCAAGGTAAACGTGGTTAGCCTTCATGTGCCAGACATTGTTGGGAAACATCGTTCCTAGGTAAAGGTAAAGGTACCCCTGCCCGTACGGGCCAGTCTTGACAGACTCTGGGGTTGTGCGCCCATCTCACTTAAGAGGCCAGGGGCCAGCGCTGTCCGGAGACACTTCCGGGTCACGTGGCCAGCGTGACAAAGCTGCATCTGGCGAGCCAGAGCCGCACACGGAAACGCCGTTTACCTTCCCGCTATAAAGCGGTCCCTATTTATCTACTTGCACCCGGGGGTGCTTTCGAACTGCTAGGTTGGCAGGCGCTGGGACCGAGCAACGGGAGCGCACCCCGCCGCGGGGATTCGAACCACCGACCTTTCGATCGGCAAGCCCTAGGCGCTGAGGCTTTTACCCACAGCGCCACCCGCGTCCCTTACATCGTTCCTAAACATGCATAATTAGTATGGGGAATTTAATTAGTTAGCATGAAAATTTAGATCAGTGATTTTTAAAAAATATGCAGTGATATATACTCACAGGTGGCCCAACTCTGCCCACTTCACCAGGAAGTCCCGCAATACCAGGAGGACCCTACATTTGAAAAGACATTGATTTGATTAAACTCTTTATAAACAGCCACCCTTATCTAAGGAATAAATGGCTTTCTAAACAGACCTTAAGAGGTTGTTTTTTAAAAATATTAGCAATAGACCTATTGCATTGAAGATAAAGTGTATTATTTTATTATGCTACTGATAGTTGAATATCTACTTACTAGAGATCCAGGAATACCTTTACCCTGAAGGGGAAAAAATATAGCACATTTTAGTTTTTTAGTATATTCAGACTTCATAGCACTCCAACAATAAAATGAGAGAACAAATAACAAGATGGATTCCACCCCCTCCAAACTGTGGAATAATGAAAGCATTATTTTTAGCTCTCTGGGTATTTGGGATGGATAGCAATTTCATGAAGTTTTAAGCTTACTACTTTTGAGGTAGATGCTCCCTGTAATAGGTCAATCATTATTTAGAGAACCTTTTTTTATTAAAAGAACAATTCCAGCCATTTTCTTTATAGATTAATCTAGGCTTAAAGGTACAACTTAACATTTCTAAAGCTCAATGCTGCTGCCATAACGATGCTAGGAAACAGAAGTGCACACGTTTTCCAAAGGGGTAAGTAATGTTCTGTTCAAGTTTGCGGAGATGCACGGTTTCAAGAAGCTGGGTGAGGGAACCTATAGGGCCATTCTGCTGGCAGCAGGGGGGTGGCCCTGGGAAAGGAGCCCTGTGGTTGGCCTCGCCTCAGAGCACAAAGACGGGTGGTAGCGGGGCAACAGCCATGACGGGCAATGGTAGGGAGGTGGCAGCGCTGGAAGCAAGACAGCTCCAGTCACCCAGTACTCATTCAGCCTGGAGCTATGAAGAGAAGCACTAGGTGAGGCAACTGCAATTGCCACTGCCTTCATTATCTTCTGGTGACTCGGGGTCCTGCCCTGATGCTAGGGAGGATAATAATAATAATAATTTATACCCGGCCCATCTGGCTGAGTTTCCCCAGCCACTCTGGGCGGCTCCCAATCAAGTGTTAAAAACAATACAGCGTTAAATATTAAAAACTTCCCTGAACAGGGCTGCCTTCAGATGTCTTTTAAAGATAGGATAGCTGCTTATTTCCTTCACATCTGAAGGGAGGGCGTTCCACAGGGCGGGCGCCACTACCGAGAAGGCCCTCTGTCTGGTTCCCTGTAACCTCACTTCTCGCAATGAGGGAACCGCCAGAAGGCCCTCAGCGCTGGATCTCAGTGTCCGGGCAGAACGATGGGGGTGGAGACGCTCCTTCAGGTACACAGGACCGAGGCCGTTTAGGGCTTTAAAGGTCAGCACCAACACTTTGAATTGTACTCGGAAACGTACTGGGAGCCAATGCAGATCTCTCAGAACCGGTGTTATGTGGTCCCGGTGGCCACTCCCAGTCACATAGTGTTGGATTGCATAGGCACTGGAGATAATTAAGTTGATGTCTGTGGTAGTCATTAGGCCTAGCTGAGTGCCAGGCTGTACATCAGAACATTTTAAACGAGAAATCTCTCCTTTGGGTGACTGACGGTGAGGCCTAGCTGGTGGCAGTGCAGGATATGCTAACATCACCCCCAAAGATCCCTAGGCTTGGATCTTTCCTAAAATGTCTCGGTGTTATATTGCATCTCCACTGGTTTCTCTTTTTGTTATTCCGATTCCCCAAGTAATGAAATGCAGGGTGACTTTCTTCTACTCAGTTTGCTTAAATTAGCAGCTATCACAAGCTATTCCGTGCAATCATTCGCCACATGCTCTGCTAAATCGTTCCACTAGGAAACCGGCATCTGTAGGAACCTTCTCATCAGCCACCTTTAATTTTGCCTTCTATCAAACAACAGTAATTTCCTTTCATTATGAACAAACAGTATTGCACTCATGTTACTGCTGTCGGTAACATTTCTCTCACAGCAGTAGCATGCTTTCCTATTTATCCACATCTCCATGTATCATTTATTTTGTTTAAAACAAACAAACAAACAAACAAACAAACAAACAAAGGCTCGTAAGGAATGCAGCAACGCCACCCTGAACACTTTTGAGCAAGTGTTATTAGTGAATGTTCTCCTAACACTCACTAAGGTTATTTCGGTCCCTTTGCCTTCTTTAAATACATACAATTCCCTTGTTTCATTCTATTGTTTTAATATTCGTTGGAAGCCACAGTGATTTTTTAGGCATATATATTTTAATTAGGGAGTAATCTGTATGTAAATGATATTAAATAGAATAGGAAAAAACCAGTGGTGGAGGAAGGGGCGGGGCGCACTGCAGGGCCTCCAGAGTCTGCCTGCCTCCTCCCACTCAGCCACCCTTCAGCTGGCGGGGAGGCAGTGGGCAGACCGTGGGGCCAGTGCGGAGCCTGTGGATGCCCAAACCAGACGCGGTGGCTTGGGCATGCTACAGGCCCCACAGTAAGTGCCGCCTGGCATTTTCACTCCCCCCCCCAGTGGTGACACTGGGGGTGGCCCACAGCCACCGCACCCCTCTTCCTCCACCCCTGGAAAGAAACAGAAGTCATAAGAAGTTACAGGGTTCTGGTTTCAATTTTTGCAGTTTCTGAAGGTCAAAATAAACATGGTGTTTCAGTGTGTTATTGTTAATGCAGTGTGTGCACCTATTGTTAAGCAAATAGTTGCTGCATGGGACCCCAAGCAGGATCAGTACTGTGGCACATAGGGAAGATGACTTTAACCTTTCCTTTGCCGCAATTCCAAAGAAAGACGAACATATTTGAAATGGGAGGAACACTCCCATTGGTTTGCACAACATAGGAAGGCCTTGTTATTGGTGGCTCCTCAGTTCTGCAGTTTAAGAAGTTTCTGTTTACACAGGAGTTCACATCCTATAAATGTTTTGATTCATCTTTTATTAGTTTTCATATATTGTAAACTAGTGTTTGATGTATACTTAATTTGTTTCTGTATATTTTGCTACCCATTCCCAGCCCTCCTGAATATGCTGGTCGATGACTTGAAAACGGGTGGGGCAAGGGAATATAAAGGGTGAGTTGTTGTTTTTTAACTCTGCACCAAGGCCATTTTTGTTCAGCTCCTTTCTCCTTGTGCACAGAAACACTTTCTACTCACACAAAGAACTCTTTGGATTCCTGTCTCTCTAATATGTGTGTGTACAGTTCAAATATAAAGGCAAGGTAAAGCCCACATGAACACCCATGTGGCGCAGTTAAGGTGTTGGATTAGGAGATGGAAGGCCCTAGTTCAACTCCTCACTCAGCCATTAGTTCACTGGGTGATATTTGGCTTGCCACATTCTCTCAGACTTGCCTACCTCACAGGGTTGTGGTGGATACAGAATTGAAGGAAGGAGTTTAACATTGAGCTCCTTGGTGAAGACTATGGCAGAAGTATAACATTCTGCCCAGAGTGGCTGGGGCAACCCTGTCAGATGGGCATGGTACAAATAAAATAATATAAATAAAAAACATCATCATGATAAGGCCAATCTGTAAATAGGACCTGACAATAGCTTAATAGCTCCTGTTTCTATGAACAGAATGGCTGCCAGTTTTCCTTTCCAAGCACAGCTTTTCATGCTGATAATACTTCTTTTTCTGGGGAGTCCATACCAACTTCCAATGATCAGTGTCTTTTTTAATAGCCTGAGGGGCAGAAGCAGGAAGGGGCTTTTAAAAAGCCCCATCCCAGAACTCTGGACAAGGTCCTTCGGATCCTCATCAGAAAATCCCCTGTTCTTGTCAGCACAAGCAATTTCGACCATGAAATACTACAGAGGTTGTTTTTAAAGGCCAGTTTCTGAAGGTTGGCATATAAAGGCTAAGGAGGCAAAGAAATTAAATCTGCTCTCTACTGATTTCAAGATAGAAGTTCTACTTTCTATGCTCTTGTGTTATTTTAGTCTGACTGGAAACTCCCTCGGGGATTATGAAAGTAGAGGGTTGGTTCTCCCCTCCCCCACTCTGCTTTCCTCTTGCCTTTGTTTTACTGTTCTAAAGCTGAAAAGAAATTCATAGTATTGATTTTTTAAAATAGATACTATATAAAAATCTATTACGTACAGGCAGTCCACGGCCTCCAGGCAACCCGGGTTCACCCTGCAAAAAATAAAATGTATATTATCTGGGAGGGTCTAAAACCAGTTATATAGTGAGCAGAATAATAGGTTTTCATGTTGGAGGTGGGGGGACATAGTGGGGAACTTTCCATAATATTCCATAATATTAAAATCACTAATCAACAGCTAATAAATATCTTCAGATATTTGCGACTGTGTTGTTGTTGTTTATATACCGCCCTATACCAGGAGGTCTCAGGGCAGTTCACAGAACAAAATCAAAATACAAAAGTCCTGTTAAAAAGTCCTGAGGCCAAAAAACTGAAAGAAAACTTAATAATGGATTTTAAACTTACCTTTTGTCCTTTTGGACCAGCACGGCCTGGGGATCCATCAGGGCCTGTCAATCCCTTGTGGAACAAAGCATATACTTTTATTACAGTAACAATTACCTTTTAGTTCACAAGAAGGAACTGTTTATAAAATGTGCCAAGTTCAAACAAGATAAACAGCTCAGTATAACATGTGTGTGTGTACATGTATTCATGTGTCTGCACGTGAGTGTTGCAGTTGGATCCAAAAGTTGCCTTCCTCTAGTAGTGGTAGGATTCATTTCCCATCAGAGGAAGGAAGCTTTTTGGAAACAACCCCAAGAGAAAGCAGTGTGAAAACAGTCCCAGAAAAAGTTCTAAAATATGATGCTACCCAGATTCAAACTGGCCTGAGCCTGAGGCTGCAATTGTAAACACACTGACCTAGGAAGGAAGCCCCATTGAAGACGGTGGGACTTACTTCTTAGTAAATAGGCACAGGATTGTGCTGTGGAACTTGGCAGTTTGCCCAAGGTCTGCATTTTATGTTGTGTGTCTTTTCACCACAGACTAAGCCACAACCCAACAACTAAAATATGCTGAAACCCACTGAAACAAATGGACTTAAGCACACCCAACTTGTGTTGGACTGCAGCCTCCTCAGTCATTATTTAGAATTAACAACAATTAACAAGAAGGCTTCAAAAGGTTCTGGATATCTTGCCAAACACCTATACTACAACAGCCCTATATATTTTATTTTGATTACTCTGGAGAAAGAGGTTTGAAGATGGTGGCCCAAAAGAAATAACCTCTGCTAAACAACCTTGCATGCACTTGAGGGCATTTCTGCATGCTTACAAAGCGCTGTATGCAGAACATCATAGAAATGCAGAGTTGGAAGGGACCACAAGAGTCATCTAGTCCAAACTCCTGCAAATGCAGGATCTTTTGTCCAACGTGGGGCTTTTGTCCAACGTGGGACCACAACCCTGAGATTAAGAGTCTCATTCGTGCTCTTCCGACTCAGCTATCCTCCCATGTAACTTGGAGTCTTTATATGGGCATAGTTCCAGAGCTGTCTTTCCCATAGGGCTTAGTGGTGCATCACGCAGGGCGCCGGCCTCTCAGGGGCACCCCAGCAAGTGGGGGAGCTGCACAGCTTTGCCAGTGGCCTCCCCTTTCCCTGCACGCCCGCCAGCTGCGCCCCGCCAACCATAAGACTGGCGGGCGTGCAGCTTCCCTCCCAAGACTCTGGGGGATCACTCTCCCACAGCGACATGGAGAGTTGTGCCCCCCAATGGCTGGCAGTGCGCAGCTACGGCCACCCCAACACTATCTGTGGTAATTTGGGGGCGCTGGGCAGATATTTGCACCCCGGCGCTGTATCTGCTAAAGACGGCCCTGCATAGTTCACAAGCATGTCCTACAATTTGCCATTAAAAGAAAAAAATCATGTGTAGAATATGACCTGTGCCACATAGGTTTCTACACAGTAGAGAGGGGGAGAGCACCACATATGACAAGCTCAAAGATCACTCTCAAGAGCTCACAATAACCAGATGTACAATTAATTAATTAGCACCTGTATCTCTGCCACTGTTTTGAAAGAAATTATTCATCTGCTAATGTTCCTTCCAAAAAAATCAGAAACCCCATTTGAAATGTGGGAATGTAAAGTGGGGAACAAACCTCAGAAATATTAACTTGCTTTCTCAGACAAAATATTATGAGGTATAGGAACACACAAAACCTGGCTTTGGGGCCTTGTTAGGTGCAATGCATCTCCTAATTTATCCCCAGTCCCAGCACCTCTCAGAAATCTGTCCTAACAAGTTGCAAAACTGTCATTGGGCAGGGGAAAGATGGATCAGAGCCAGGTGCTGATCCAACCCAAGCAACCTCTGGATACCTGCCTTGCATTCCCTTTCCTGCTGCTATGCCCTGCCCTAAACAAGGAGGGCAGCTGCAGCACGCAGTACCTTTCCTGTTTGAATTCAAAGGAATTCTGGGAGGAATGAATCCTCTCTCAGAAGTTTAGTGGATCAGCTGCTTTGCTCATTCCCCTGCCACTCCCCTAGAAACGCCCAGCCCCTGTCTGCCTCTGCTCCAGAAGGGACCGTCTCTCGACTTGGAAACATCCCGCTCAGGCTAAATGCCCTGGCTTGCTATTACAACCAGAGGCCTTTCAGATTGATAGCAACATTTCACAGAGAGAGGTTCTGCCTAGCCCCAAAGAAGAAGAAAATCTACTCACATCAGCCCCAGGTATTCCTGGCAATCCAGGGACACCTGGTCTACCTGGTTCTCCATCTGGGCCCTGCAGGAATGCATTGGAGATGGGGGGAAATTAAGGCATTAGAAGAGAGGCGATACCTATGCATCCTTTGATAAAAGCATGGCGAGAGCTATCAGCTACTTACCGCAGGGCCCACGGGCCCATTAGGACCTCTGTCCCCCTAGAGGAATAGAAGAGGAAAACAGCAAAGTAAGGATACCTGTCACATTTCCATATGCAAAAGCTTTATTCAGATATTCTTAGAAGAAATCCCTGATTGCTAGGACTGAAGAATTGCTGTTATAAATACTAATTGAACACAGCCCCTAATGCAATTTAAAAGAAACACATTATATATGCCAATTTACTTCAAGCCACTAGCACCCCCCTCGTGAAATGAGTCTTGGAATGCACATTTAGGATTCTTGGAACAAAATCCCAGGAACTAATTCCTTCCACCGGCTAGCAGCGGGTTACGAAGAGTTGACGTACTCAAGTGTCACATGCTCAATACTGTATACTCAGAGGGACAGCTACAGGGAGGAATTCCTCGAGCGGGGAAGACAGTCCTGCTTTATGCACAAAATAAACTTACGTCGATGCCATCGATGCCAGGAACTCCTGGGGGGCCTGGCGGGCCAGGGGGGCCTTGTGGACCCGGGGGGCCTCTCTGGCAAGAAATAAAAGAGCACTTAAGACAGTGGAGCAGGGAGGCATAGAAATCATACCAGAAATAGGGGGAAGGAGTAGAAGTTGAGAGCCAGCAGTTAAGGGTGACCACAGATTCAAAGAATCGTAGAGTTAGAAGGGACCCCGAGGGTCATCTAGTCCAACCCCCTGCAATGCAGGAGTCTCAGGATCTGTGACCAGCGTTCAGCTTCCCTGTCCCGGTGCCCAGATAACTTTAACTGTGCCACTGAATTGTGTTCCGTTTTTCATTAGGGCTCTTTAAATCCCAACACTTTGACCACCCTCTATGTTAATCTACAATTCAAGACGGAGGCAGTCACATGCTGTAAATCTGGGACTTAGAGATTAAAATGTATCATTCTGCCCATCACTGTGTTTAGTGGTTTTGTGTGGGGTCTTTTTCCAGAGATCCCTAGGAGGTGTGTGTGCAAATAGCATACTTTGCCATAGCAGCACACTGTGCTTTTCATTTCCCCCATACATTCTGAAGAGAAAAGCCGACTTCCCAACCATGACTACACCAGTGATAAAATGTAATAAAACAGTGCTCTTTGGATCAGATGTCCACCAATTTCCTTCCTTTGTAAATAATAATAATAATAATAATAATAATAATAATAATAATAATAAACTTTGAGAGGAAATAAACTGACCTCTGCAAGTAACCCCCAGGATCCACTATGGTTTACCTTACCAAGAGAGATCACCATTATCCCTACAGATCCATATTCATATTCTAAAAGGCGTGTATGATGAAGGTTTCAAAAACCTCCCATCATGGTCCTGTGTATGTTTTCTTCTGTAAGACTTTTCTTCTAAAAATAGGACCTAGCTCCCCACACTTTTTTTTTTTAAAAAAAACTTCCTAAATCCCTTTCAGATATGTGCTTTCTATATGAAACTTCAGTGTGCGCCTCATATTCCCCCAAAATAGTTTTGGGGAGGGCCCTCAGGTTCTACAACATACTCCACGGTTTCCTTTTTATGACTAAATTCCAACTGCCAGGCAAAGTTAACTTCACAATAGGTGCTTTGTGAAGCAAACCTTTAAGCAGGCCCCTTTCGCTCCCCTCACACCTCTTGCAGAGAAGGTGAACTACTGACACTAAAAGCAAGGGCACTGATTTGCCAGGCAGTTTCAGGCTGTGAGAATACCAGTTCTAGACATAATTCTTGTGTTTCCTGCCTTCTCAGACAGCAGGACTGCTTTTCCTCAGACAGACTGCCGAAAGACTGCTTTTCCTCAGACAGACTGCCGAAAAGTAGCTTATCCTTGCTACGCTAAACCAGTGAGTTTCTTGGGCACCAATGACCCTTTTCATTTTCTCTGTAAAGGTGTTCATAAATAATAAATAAAACAAGGCTAAGATCTGTAAAACCATAATCATTAAAATGTTGTACCACTTTACATAGAATCATCCAAAAGAACTACCACCTCTGCTTGGTTCCATACTCACAATGGCTGACACAGATTGGAATCCCTACTTCATATATATAACACAGATAAAAGATCCTACATTTGCCACTCTTTTAATGATGCCGATTCTTGTTTTTGAAAAGATTGATTAAAGAAGGGGAAACGTATCCATATTAATTCCTCATGGGCATCCATAATCACCTATTGAGTTGGATCCAGACCAAGTTCGATGAACTTAGGTCACAATGAAATCTGCGGGATTAAATGGTGACTAACTTGTTCCACTGATTTCCATGGAACCTCCTTTCCTGACCCATTGCACTGAACTGAATAAAAAGTATTCGATTGAGCTAAAAATTATATTCAAGAGGCAGGGGTGCCAGATTTCAACACGGGATGAGGGGTGGACTGTTCAATCACTGCATAGGCCAAAGGAAGAGGCACTACTGAAGCCAGAACTTACAGAAATTGTGTTCTGCTTAAATGGTACCTCTGCAAAGCAGTCTGATCTAGGGTAAATGAAATAAGTACTGCCTTGTAGAACCAAACCTTCATCTATTCAAGCATCATGTTTCTTAAAAGTGGCCAGCCAAATAAATGATGCAGGGAAGTTCACCAGCAGGGCACAACAATTTCTGCGTATTTTCCAACATAATAGCATAATTACAGAAATGCATATTAGCAGTTCGTTTGATTGCCAAACAAAGAGGGAAGGGGGGGTGAAGCAGAGTGCTGATAGATCAGAACAGGGAGCATATAGAAGCACTTTATCCTCTGCACTGGGCAAGCATCCTGCCTTTAAAACTTACCTTGACGGCTGTCTGGCTTATCTGAAAAGAACAAGAAAAAGTCAGGCAAAACTTACTTGAGAAAGGCAAAGGCAAATGACTTGCAGGAAAACCCCAAGGAGGCAGGAAAACCTCTTGCCTGGAACACTGAGAGCCATGGACTCGTCTTTGATTGCCTCAGATGGATTTTAGGATGTTAAAAAATCACCCCCAGAAGGACCCCTCCAGAACACCTAGAAAGGCACAGTCTGCAATAGGCACAGTTATTCTGCTAATGAATGGCTGTGGAGGAGGGTAACAGAGATTGGAGGAAACCTGATGGCTAGAAAGGAGGGATTGAATGACACTGGCTTTTTAACCCTTTGCCCTGCAGCCAGCAGCCTGCATCTTCCAGCAACTTTTGGCTTGATCTATGCTTTGAGCAGAATGATCAGGCAAAGATTATTGCCATTATTTTCCCCAGCCCGTTATAATATATCACTAGAAAGGAAATGCAAGAAGGCACTTTGAATCCCCCAATCTTCTAAAACTAAGACTGTGTACAAACTCCCATTTACTCTGCAATCAGTGCACACCCACTTGTTTGGGAAGCAGTGTACACGTGAAGTACACAGTCTATAATCTAGCTTGTCGTTTCTTGTGAAACACTGTGTTCTTATGCATTTCCACCCCAAACCAGCTCTGATCCAAATTGAGAAAAAGAAAAAGAACGACCTAGCTGCATTTTAAGCTACTGGTGTGTACACAGCCCAAGCACAGACCTTACACTACAATCTTACCGAACTCCGAGCTGTAAGTTCACCGCAAGTTTCTCTCTGGGGTCGTTGAGGGTCACAATGAATCATCATCCACTGGATCTCAAACTAGGACAGAAACAGGGAAGGTGGTTTACCTTTTCATAGTGGTTTAGCAACAGCACCATTCTAACTCACTAACCTTTAACATCCTTTTAAGTGTTGGATGATTATTTCATTGATTTCCAAGCCTTCCCTTTCCTGAAGGCTGGATACAGATAGCAGCATTTCCTCATCCCTTTGATCCTCACAAACTTGTGAGGTAGGTAGTAATTGCCTCCATTCTGTGGGTGGAAATGGATGCTGGCAGAGCGATTACTCAAAGACAGCTTGATGGATAAGCAAACTGTCCCCAGATATTTGAACGCAAAAAGTCTCTGCATCACACCAGTTTAGAGCCGTGGATTACCATGCTAAAAAAAGAATGACGCCAAAATGTGACCAGAATGCATTCCTTCCAAATGGCCACAGGAATGTGCAAAACTTCTGAATAGCCCCTAGAATGCATTAAACCAAGGATTTATTTATACAGTTGTCTTTAGGGACCCAATCAAAATGGCCAAACAAAAAAGTACTGCATATAGAAGATACTTGTCCTGGATGTATTAGCATATGAATAAACAGATGGGCAAAGGGGTACTAGCAAAGTATATCTATATCCTGTGAAGACATCCCAAGAGAACCCTGCTGTGTGTGCACTGCATTCATATAACTAATTCTGATGAATTAAATCCTTAAATTGCTTTCTCATACCTGTGTTTCTTAGTATGTTTAATGGAGAGACAAATTACAGATATCGTCTTTTCTATAAGGAATGCATCATTTAACTAATCTGTGTCCGTTAGTATGTTTAATGAAGGGATAAAATAGAAATGTATAGTGCTTTATGAAAGGAAATTTGTAACTTTACCATTCTACATCTGTTCAAGAGGTGAAAGGCTTTTGTGTGTGTCAGCTGTACTGGAACAACATGTCTGTTTCTGAATAGACCCCTCCAAAATGTTTTAGATTACTTTTCTTGGACAGAAGGGATTTGAACTCAGATCTTTATAAGGAGACCCTCACTGGTTCTCAGTCAAATTCCAGTTGTGCTGCTCAGATTAAGAAAAGGGTAATATTTGGTTTTGCTTTTAAATTAACATTTGTTGGTTCTTTTTCTTCCAAAAGTTTGAATTTAAGGGGGGGGGGTCCTAGTGAGGTAAAAGAACAGACTGCAAAAGAATACAGAATCATGTAGACTTGACTCCTGTGTACATTACAATGCTCTTAAAACATTTTTTTGCAATGTTCCTATGAAATGGCCAAGATATCAAACACTTCTCTTTGTGAGGTTTACAAATGGTACATTTGAGTGTTTGCATATTAGTGGGGAAAAATATTTACAGACTGAAAACCAGAGTCAACTGCTGAACCAAAGCACAGAGGGGTCATTTCCACCTATTAACAGGTTCACCTATTAATGTAATTTTCTGCATGGTACATCAGTTGTATGGTGCTATCTACTTAGAAGAATATTCCACCGCAAACTCATAGTATTCCTTTTCAAGGAAAGGGCCTTTCTGTTGCTAAATCACCCTTTTTCTGATTCTACAAGATCTTTTGAAAACATTGTATTAGATCAGGTCACAACACTAGGAAAGGCTGAGAATCACAGATCTATTTTTCTTGAATGCTTTGGGGACAAAGTATAAGCCTGCAGCACCCATGATTTCCTTGTTTTGACCCGTGTTTTTCCAATACGGATCATTTTGTTGATATTATCTATGTTCCTAAAATCTTTCTGTGCACAACCTTCCATAACTTCTTGACTTCCTCTTCTATACATCATGTCATCTCATTTCCTATATTCAAACCTGCCTGTTGCTGAGCTAATGCCCTTACCCATTTGAGTCTAAGAACCATAGTATTTTGCCATATTCTCTAACTAGTACAAACTTATTTCTACATTATTCATACAATCAATGAGACTTTTAAGTCTGAACTCCTCTAAGATAATATGCAAAATCACCTTTATTCCCAAATATACTTTTGCATTTCTCTGGGGCATTTCACAAATTATCTCCTGCCTCTTATAATCATTATAAGTGATTATGGTTTCATTTTCTCTCCCTATTCTGGAGTTTCTAGGTTTCCAGCATTTAGAGTACATTTGCTTTCCTAGTGTTATCATCTCTCTTACATCCTTACTGCACATTTCACATGCATAACTGATTGCAAATTACTTGGACCTGCAATTGAAGTGAACAGAAACTTCCAAGTGTGTTTCAGATCAGGGTTTTAGTTTACATCTAGCTGTTACTTTTATATCATTAAATCTACCAAGAAACTCTCTTTGTTCTCAGAAATCACCAGACAGGCAAACAATCAAGGGAATGTGTGCCCTGACTTTCCATGCTGGTATTATAAGATTATAACGATGTGATACAAGCAATTTAGCATGGATTTATTAATGATCCCTAGGATCTGCTTAATTCCATTATTTTTATAATCATCTGCAAACCAAGATACCTTTAACTATTATTTTTAATTACTCTTGACACCTATGCTTTTGATGAGCTGGTTTGCATAATATGGTGGGCCAGTGTATAAATAATACAAACCATCTCTTAACTATGGTGGAAGGTTCAAGTACAGGGTGCGAAACCATGTGCTCCTTCTCCCCAGCCCCTCCCCTCTCAGACATGAATTTTCTGTTTGCTTCAGCAATGTCAACAACACTAACCAGGGTTTACACCCTTAACCAAAGTCTGCAAACCAACTTCAAAACATTTCAAACCTAGTTAGAAACAGCAAGTCCTGATTAGCATTAATCGTTGTTGTTGTTTAGTCGTTTAGTCGTGTCCGACTCTTCGTGACCCCATGGACCAGAGCACGCCAGGCACCCCTGTCTTCCACTGCCTCCCGCAGTTTGGTCAGACTCATGTTTGTAGCTTCGAGGACACTGTCCAACCATCTCGTCCTCTGTCGCCCCCTTCTCCTTGTGCCCTCCATCTTTCCCAACATCAGTGTCTTCTCCAGGGAGTCTTCTCTTCTCATGAGGTGGCCAAAGTACTGGAGCCTCAGCTTCACGATCTGTCCTTCCAATGAGCACTCAGGGCTGATTTCCTTAAGAATGGATGCGTTTGATCTTCTTGCGGTCCATGGGACTCTCAAGAGTCTTCTCCAGCACCATAATTCAAAAGCATCAATTCTTCGGCGATCAGCTTTCTTTATTTGCATTAATCGTAGCTAAGTGTCAATGTAAGTCTTAACAGAAGTTAATAGAAATGTGGGAATTAATGCCAGGAAGCCCATGTACTGGGTGAAGGATATATGCAGTTCATCAGCTAAGTAACGTGTATTTACAAAATGCACATGCTATGGTAATGTGTGTATATAAATGCAGATATATTACTGTAATACATTACAGAAAAGACCAATGTACAGAAATACTGATTTGCACTTTCCCCCCCTGCCCCATCCTTAATGCTTAGAACCTGAAAATTAAACTTTTTCAACCATCATTTGAATTCCCTATGCAGGTAATCAACTTGTAGGCATCACTGGTTATATTGCCATCTAGTGGGTGATTCGGCTGAATCCAAGGGTGTCCACAGTTCTTACGCTACTGTCAATGAGCAAAAGATGTAGCCACCTGATAGTTTCCTTTATGTAAATAAGACTTGTGGTCAGTGTAATGGAGGTCAGTGTTTTCAAGTGGAGCAGTCGGTGCATTTCATGAAACAGGATGTGATGTCTGTAGCTCTCAACCTATTTATCCTGGAGTGAATATCCCTTTGTTACAAACCTCAAAGAATGAATAAGGACAGCTCTACAGAGACGAATGCTTCCAAAAAGGCAGAGGGGATATAACAAAAGGCTGTCAGCCAGCAGTGAGCAAAGCCTTTGGAAGCATGTGGGAAGAATAATTGCTGCAGCCAACAAATCATTTAAGCCCAAGTCCTCGGCTACGTGCCAGTTTAGGGCCATTATGGTCAATTCATGTAGGAGTCTAATCAAAATGCAATAACACAAGAGCAATTTCCTTCATCTGCAGACAGGTAATAAGAATATTAATGGAGCAAATAAGTTTAGACAGGATGGGCAGCCCAATTCTAAGTGGGTGCTGTAAGCTACAGCAGCAGAACTGTGCCCTAGTACATCTAAAATGGAATTCAATTGAGACAGAACCATGTGGCTCTGTTTTGCCTTGTAATTTTTCAACAGCTAAAAGAGGCCTTCAGCAGCAGATACTGTACTCCTCAGCATTCTGACATGACACTCTGAAAGCTCTTTGGATCCCTTCGTGCTCTGCCCCCCCCCCCGGCAGTTTAGCTGAGTCATGGGCAAACCCACAAAACAGGCAGTTCAACACATACAGTGGTACCTCGGGTTACAAACACCTTGGGTTACAAACACTTCGGGTTACAGAGTCTGCTAACCCAGTAGTAGTACCTTGGGTTAAGAACTTTACCTCAGGATGAGAACAGAAATCGCGTGACAGCGACGCAACAGCAGCAGGAGGCCCCATTAGCTAAAGTGGTATCTCAGGTTAAGAACAGTTTCAGGTTAAGAACGGACCTTCGGAACAAATTAAGTTCTTAACCAGAGTTACCACTGTATAGCTAAAAATTACCTGTTTGCTTCTGCTTTGTGAACAGCTCTGCCTCAGCTACAGTATCAAACAGAGATTAGCCCTGTTGCATCTAAAGTGGAATTCAATTGAGACCAGTGAAGTAAAATGCCTGACTGCTGTTTCATTAACTTGACGTTAGTGAAATAAAGGACCATTGCTTTGCCTATTCATTGGTCAACATAACCACAGTCATCTGCATTAAACTTGATATTGATATTTGTTTGCTTTTAAACAATTTATTCAAATGTGGGCCAACTTCCACTTCCTTTCAGACATGAACACAGTGGACCATTTTAAGATTTTGCTCCTTCAAGGGAACAGAAAATTACTACCACTCGTAGTGCCACCGCAAGTTATTTGTTGACTACCCACGGAAGTGATCAGACCAAAGGTAGGAAGTTGAGCAGTCTTTCCTCTGTTTGTTCTTCTTGCTTCCCATTAAAAACAGCAACAACAGTGGGATAGAGGGAAAAGAACAATTGTTCATGCACAGTTGATCCCTGATGAATCCACCTAGCTCCTAGTAAGGCATTATTGTACATAGGATGTGACCTAAATGCAATTACAGTGGTACCTCTGGTTACGTACTTAATTCGTTCCGGAGGTCCGTTCTTAACCTAAAACTGTTCTTAACCTGAAGCACCACTTTAGCTAATGGGGCCCCCTGCTGCTGCTGCTGTGCAGCAATTTCCGTTCTCATCCTGAAGCAAAGTTCTTAACCCAAGGTACTATTTCTGCGTTAGCAGAGTCTGTAACCTGAAGTGTATGTAACCTGAAGTGTATGTAACCCGAGGTACCACTTTACTAGAAACAAGATAGAAAATATCATTAATTCTAATTAATGACACTACAAATTTAGTAAAATGGGGTGAATTAGTAAATAAAAAAGGCCTTACATGTGTGCATTCTTTTAATGCCTCTATTTGCTTTCTATGGAACAAAACACCTTTTTTGGGGAAATAAAAGTGCAGCATGACTCATTATCCAAAAGAGGAATTTCCACATCTTCATGGTACAAATTATTTTCTATCTGTCATAGACTGTAGGTACTTCACACTTACTTACATACTTCACACCAATCGCAATTCATCTCTGAAAATAAATATGCTCATTATACAGTGTCACAGCCGAGGTTCCTGAATACCAACTTTCTTGGCGGAGGAACAGAGAAGAAAGGACTTCAAAAATTATTATGATCAGAATAATTTAGTAACAGTTTTCTCATACAAAGCAATTATTGCTTCTGCATTGTGATGTCATAAGCAAGGAGGTCTGACTACGTCTGAAGATTCCGAACCTCTGGCCCTACTGCAGTTACAGGATTTCAAAACCAAGTAGTGATTTTATTCCATGAAATGTTATCTTGTGAGATTGTGTGTGTATGTGTGGTCATGTTCTGTGGTGACCATTGCAGAAAGAAGGCCAAGATAATGCCATTTCTATCCTGAGGTTTTGAAATTAACAGGGCTATAGCTCAAATATAATAAATATTACTTTCAATGGATACCCCCACATAAATCAATTGAACTTTTAATGTCACCGAGAACACAATTAATTCTTATAAGCTGCTTAATCATAATAAAGTTTAAAGATGGTCACGTTCACTGCAAATGTGTAAAGGTTTGGTGGCTTTTAATTATGTTTTGTAATGAGTTGAGGTAAGTCTTGTACTTAATTCTTTGGCAGAACATTAAATCCACAATCCATTATAATCTGGTTTATTAAATTATCTATTGTTTTCAGAATTGTCCCCCCCCTTCCCCAGTATCTACAGGGTTCTTAAAGGATCAGTACAAGCAACTTTCCAGATATATGACTATAATAAGGTTTTCTAATTTAAAGCTTGTTAAAAGATAATCAATGCTTCCCTATATCATCAAAATCACAGAGCCATATCTTCCTGCTCCATTTGAAATATATATTGTGATGCCAACCTACATCTATCCCCCCCACCCTGCCGCACGAAAAAGTCAAAGGAAAGCTAAAGGAAGTACTTTCTTTGTAAATGTAAATGTTTAAAACTTACCGGAACTGAAATTTGAGGGTTATCTTTCAGTTTTCCCAGTGTGGTAAAGCCATCAACGTTGATCTTTCCTCTTGGTTTTATGGCTAAAGTCTGGATCTGAGTACAGTCAACATAAAGCGTGACAGCACTCCTTTCTATGCCAACCATAACCTTATGCCACTGGGAATCAAAGAGATACGGCAAATCCAGAAACGTTGCTGTTTGGAGACTTCCATCCATCCCTTTATATGAGTACTCAAGAGACTTGGCTTGCCCATTAAACTTCAATCCAACTTGCTCTTTCCCAGAAGAGTCTAGAACCTGCCAAACGCTCCAATACTTCTGAAGAGTAGTTCCAGCCATTCGAAAAGTCGTTAGAATGGAATATTCATTAGGTAATCCATTAGGATACAAAGACCTGTATAGGATCAAAGTAAAGCAGGCTAGTTGTTGTTTATTTGCTCATCTGATTTAGCATTTGGGATGAACTGTCAAAATTGAAAAATGACTCATTCAGCAGAGCATGAGACCCTTTATCTCAGGGTTCGAGACCCACACTGGACAAGAAATTCCAGCATTGCAAAGGGTTGGGTGAGATGACCCTCATGGTACCTTCCAACTCTACAATTCTATGATTTCATGAGAGTTGACCACCTCAGGGCAGCATCCTCCCACTAGTAGTTTTGTCCCAGTCTGAGTCATCAGCTCTTTACTGCTTTACTGCTGGCCAAAGGAATTATGACTCAAAAATATTAGCTCTTCCTATGTCACAAACAACTCAAGACAAGGCATCATGCTTATGACCTTTTGGCCAGTAACAGTGAGGTGAACTAAACCAAATCAATCCAGATCAACAGCAAGCCCATTTAGACAACGGTGACCACATTTAAAACTTTCTACGAATTTGCTGCCAGTAAAGTTACATTACTGAATTCATGGACACATGATTAAAGCCATAATAATAATAATAATAATAATAATAATAATAATAATAATAATAATAATAATTTATTTACACCCCGCCCATCTGGCTGGGTTTCCCCAGCCACTCTGGGTGGCTTCCAACAAAACACTAAAATACAATAACCTATTAAACATTAAAAGCTTCCCTAAACAGGGCTGCCTTCAGATGTCTTCTAAAAGTTTGGCAGTTATTTTTTTCTTCGAAATCTGGTGGGAGGGCGTTCCACGGGGTGGGCGCCACTACCGAGAAGTGTTCCTTCCTGACTACATTCGAGACCTGCTCCTGCAGCCTTAGCTTTGCTGGGTGGATCTGCACTCAGGCTCCACTCACTGTTTGAATATTTGACCATAATGTGTTATGTCAGCAGGCAACAACTGGTGCATACTATAGTTGCATACACAGCATATATTTAAAGCGTTGTTTTCACCACCTCAAACTATCCTGGGAATTGCATGTTGTTAAGGGTGCTTGGAACTGTGGGGCTGTGAGGGGTAAATTACAGTTACCAGGATTCTTGGGGGGTGGGGTGTATTCTGAATGTGTTTTAAATATACATAGCCTATGGCAGAGCTGTCAGGTGAAGAACTGACTGTTTTCTCATATTGTTCTTCCTTCCTCACCTTTAAAAACTGCTTGAAGCCTATTATTACTACTACTACTACTACTACTACTATTATTATTTATATAAAAAAAAAACAACCTCCAGGTGCTTTTACAGCTTTCCCTACTGGTTCCTTTTCTGTTCATTTCCGCTTCCTGTTCCCTTCTTACCTGCTTTAATTAATTTAATTTAATTTAATTTAATTTAATTTAATTATATGTGTTTATGCTATTACTCAAAGGACGGACCTAAGCTAAATGATGGTGATGCTAAACAACAGCAATTATTTTTATTTACAACCATGATGATAGACCTATTAAATCCACCATAAATATTCCCCAGTTTCAAAGCAACAATTAAGGCCAGTTTATTACATGGTGGAAATGCTATCTGCATGTGCTTGGGTCAAGTGCCATCAATACTGAAAGGATCATGTGATTGACTTGTCATGAATTGTATACGTTTGCTGCCTATAAAGTCTCCAGAACCATTATCAATGGCTTTAAAGCCTCAAAAAAATTGAATCCTCAATCCATCTGTACAATGCTGGCTCCCAGATCACTTTAATTAGCATTGTGGTAGTGTGGTAAATGTGAGCTGATAAACTCTGGTAAAACACTGTTAAATTTACAACCCATCTTCCTTGCAAGAGTAGTGCATGTTATCCCACTACTCTATTCCTCACAATTATCCTGTGATATAGGTAGCTTAGTGTCTGGCCTAAACCTACATAGGGAACTTAACAACAGAGGAAGGCTATGAACTGAGGTCTCTTGAACAGTAGCTATTATAACACAGTGCCCAAAATGAAGCAATCCAACAATGAAACAGGGCAATCAGCTTATGCTCCTTGGGGAAGGGAGGGTTAAATAAATAATAAACATAGGATAAATAATAATAAAATATTGATGATAAATAATTGCAATTCAAAGTGAACACTGAATTGCTGGGGGGAAAGAGAAACAGTGATAAAGAATTCACTTTGCGCTATTCACCGAGAAGAGGAAAAATTGCTGAAACAAAACTGATAATCCTTTCGTTTTTATTCTTACATTAGTTTCCAAGGTTTCCTTGGAGATATGCAAATAGGAACCACTGAAACTTCCTCCATCCCTTAAAGGAGCCTTGCCAAACAATATAGAGTTTGCATGCCTGGGGGGCGGGGTGTAGCTTAGCTGGTGCTGCCGTCGCAGACACATTTTTAAAATATTTGCTAGAATATTTCTAATATGCCATGTAAAGGATATACATAAGAGGGAATCTTTACTTCATTAACCATGGAGGCACATGAGGGGTATGGTCTACTTTTATGAACAACACAAAGACAAAAAAAACCAAACAAAAAACCCAAAAAAATATAAGGTCCACTTTGACACATTGAATCCTTTTGTCCTACTTTGTTTTTTTTATCCATCTCCACTAAAGTCACACTTGGGGTGGAGGAACCTAACATGCTCAGTAATCCTAATATGGTAGAGGCTGCTGGATCTGTTATAGAGGTAGTAGAGAACTGAGGTGGCATTTCAACAGTTTTAAATATGCATCTTGAAAATCCAGACCCAGTGATGCCTCAGCAGTTTTCCGAAGTCTGGAAACAGGTGTTTCTTGAACTTATGTGTTCTTAAATTGTTAATTGCTTGCAATAATGCCATGAGGCAGCAAAAAGACATGCTGACAGAGGAACCAGCGGATGCATCCCTATTGCTGTTGCACGATCAGCTATTCAACATCTGGCACTGCCTTTCCACCCTGGGAGGAAATATCTACCGACAGCCAAGACCTCAAGAACTAAATAATTTGAGCAACATCACTCTGCTCTTGCTGTCTGTACATTCAGAGCGCCTTTATCTTTTCCTTTTATACTTAAAAACTCATAGAATAAAACCCAAACCAAGATAGTATTGTTATATATGGCTCTCTGGGTTTGAGAGATGCAGCCTCTTCATTGCACAGCAGGGAATATATTACTATATGCTTACACAGCCCAGTCCTACAAATCATCACCCAGTGGTTTCAGTCTTTACTACCACGTTAAGTATGCATAGCATTTCAGCCTTAATGCTTTTTATCTTTTTATCTAATGCAATGTTCCTTATTGTGAACATGATTACAAAGAAAGGATCTCAGACGCTGACTCAAAAAAGAGGAAAAGCATCCAAATTTGTTATGAGTATTTGGTGTTGATTTTAGCAATAAATGAAAAGTAACACCAGGGTTGACAACATGGTGTCCTCCCAGCTACTGCTGAGCTACATGTGCTTCTCTGAACTCATTAAACACGCACGCACGCGCACACACACACACACACACACACACTTCGGTCTTCCTCCTAGCAAAGAAGAGGAAGTGATGTCAAGGGGAAATGAAGTCACTGGGCTTGAATGGATGCATAGTTCAACCACTCTGACCGCAACCGTGGTCCTCTTTTAACTCAGCAGATCACCTCCAATCCTGCTTTACCTGTTGAGAGACTATGGCAAATCTAAAAAATGGGGTGGGGTGCAGAGGGAAATCCCATACACCCAGAGGGAAATCCCATACATCACAGATATAAAACGAAAGGACTTACGTATTAATGCAGGGTTGCCAACCAGTAAAATAGAAGGTACTTATAGAAACAAAATATGTCATAGCTTCTTAGGTACGTATAGCTTCTTAAAGTGATCCTTTTATGACAAAACACTTGTAAATAGTCTAGTACTCCATCTGATATGTTTGAGACAAAGCTGTCACACCTGCTTTGCTCTGTGACACCCTTGAGCTTAGACTTTTAGTTCATGATATCCAATTCCCAATGTAATACCAACAATGAGTTTGAACTTTTTGGGGGGGAGTGGGTGGGTAGGACTAACAACACTGAAGGACTGTGACCCCTGCCCATAACAACAAAGCTAAGAATGGATAGCATATATAGAGGAATGCACTGCAAAACCAATCTGCTTCATCCTATATGCAAATCTGTAACAGAAGAATAACCCTGAGTGGCTCTTTCAGCACCGGTTTTGGTGAACAGCACCGCTGCAACTGCTTGAAGCCACCAGGTGGCACGAGATTCAACCACTGCTTTAAACTGCTGCATTCTTTGAGGAAAGACAGCGAGTCCTTTCAACCATACCCAGACAAATTACAGGAAAGCTAGCCCATTTCCTGCATAATAGCTGGCTGCTGTTGTGCTCCAGACTAATATTAAAAATAATTACATGCTTCATATATGAATAAACGATAGTGTAGGGCGTTGAGGTGTAACGGCTTTATTAGCAGGATTCTGGAACGGCTGTATTACTCACAGTCAGGCTAGGCAAGTTGCGTAAAATATGCTACAGCCTCATCTAAGGTGGCCTCTGCAATTCGCTCACAGATTAAACACCCACTATTAATTTGTGAACCTGGAATTGATGCCTGTAAATATAATCTGCTGTGCTGCACCTTGGTAAGCCACCACGCCACATTCTTTCCCCTAGCTCACAAAAGATTCTAATTGTGGCAGAAATGTTTTAAGATTCTAACATGTTCCACATTGTAAGGTGGGAATATATCTTGCCCTAATAAATTGTTTTATATGCTAACGTATCATTTCTCTTTAAAAAAAAATTTTTTTTTAATGCTGGAAAAACAAGGACAAAATGTAGCCGGTTGAGTGTTTGCCAACGTCAGGCTTCCTGAAGTCTGTGCAAAACAGTGTTGGGTCTCTTGTTAATTTGTGAATATCGCCAATTTCAACTGACCAGTTCACACAATCACGTGTGTTGGGTACTTGAGAAGCAGTTGCAAATCTGTGCAATATCAATGGTGGGGTTGGAGTGAATTTAGTTTAAGTGCATAAGTGAAAATGCATATTCAGTAGTCTCTTTTCTTTTGCTGTTTTAATAGTGGTGGAGAAGCTGCAGGGCAATGCTTGCTTGGGTGACCCTGTCGGATGTCTGTACAAAAAAAAGTGTAAGATATTCCACATAAAAGTTAGTACCTGTCTTATGAGATAGTAAGGTACCGTACTCAACGTCTCATCACTCAGAGAATTACCACTCAGTTACTTGCAGATGAATGTGTGACGCTCCTTGACTGGGAATTATTGTGCTAGAGGCAGCATGGGGCGATATGACCCTGTCTGTCTGGCCATGAGGACTGTTTCACACATGGAAGTTGGGACTTGATACTGTGGGCTTCAGTTAATGAATATTCATATATGAACTAACTCTCGGTAATCTCTGGAAACAACAGAAAGGCTCAACTGGAAAAGAACGCAGCATGTAGAGTAGCTGCACAAGCACTTCACTCTGAATTCAGATGCTATTTGCATGCATCACAACGCAAACAGCTGGTGTACACAATAAATTTGGGTAGCTTCACCCAGAAGCAAAAGAGGGAATTAATTTGTGGGATGTAGGGCACAATTTATATCTTGCAAGGTACTTTGGCCCGCTAAGTAAATGGAGAGTTGTGCATTTAAACATAGATTTAAAAAGAAATAATGAAAGCAACAGTATAGATTACCTAGTTGGGATCCTGAAGTCTACATTTGTGCTTAACTTGTAAGCCACTTGTAAAGCTGTGGAGCCCACCACACGCTGGATGATGCCTCTGGAAGCAGCTTTATCAAGTTGGAACTGTGAAATCAGGTCATATCCTAAAGGAACAAATATGCACATTTTAAAAATCTTCCATTGAGCAATCATGTAGCTTGAAAACCTAGCCTGAGTTTTCCCTTTGGTCTCTCTTTTGATATGCACTCCCCTGCTGTTTTAACTCATTTTTTAAAAAAACTGTTTTAAATTAAATTAAAACGTTTGGTTTTTATGTAGCTTGTTTTTAATAATGTGGTGAGAAATCTTGGACATTACGATTGACACAAGGAAGCAAGATAATAGACAGATAACTACGTCTGCAAGGATGAAGTTTTCAAAACAGAGGTCTGAAACAATTTATTTGAAAGACATCGTTAGTGTATACTTGCCTGGTAGATCATCTTGGCGAAACCTAGTTGGTGGGCAGAGGTCAGTCTTTGTGTTGGAATTGAATGTAAGTGGAAATCCTGCAAGAAACACCAGACACAGGCATCTATGTCCATTATTCAATTTATCAGTTTATCAGCCTAACCTTCCTGTGATGGTCCCACTGCAGGTTACATTCCAAAACAACAATAAAAACCCATTACCTTACAAAACCCAAAACCAACCTTCATGCTGTTGAATAGTCTCGGACGTTGAGTCATATCCTTGGATGTTAACTTCATAGAAATTAATAGTATTTACTTCCAATATTATTTTATTTAGGGTTGGGGTGCAAAAGGCTCCAGAGGAAACATAATTAATGAAAAGTCACAGGAGGAAAAAAGGGCCAAACTGGAGCAATTGAAGCTAATGATGAGACTGTCTGAGACTGTCATCACATCCACAATGGCCAGATTAATTGTATTAGATTTCTTGGGAAATGTATAAAACAGAGAGCAGTAGAGGACACCCCTTCCCTTCCCTGCCATTTCTGAAGAACCTCTGCCTTCTCTGACATGGGTTTGTAATATAAAGAGTTCTACAGTGCAGAGCTATTTGTGGTTTGGACAACCATGAAAAAGTTGTAGCTAGCTAGTTAGCTAAGTCAACACCTATATATAATTCAAAGAAAGCCAGTGCCAACTCTGCTCCAGCAAAACCAGCAGTTGGGAATCCAAGCTCTTGGCTTCCTTCCCTTCCTCTTTGATATTTCAGATGTTCCCACTCTTTCCTCTCCCATGTTTGATCACACAGCAAGCCCTGTAAGGTGAGAGCAAGAGCTGGGAGGGAGTTCTGAAGAAGAACTTTTTTTAAAAGCCTCTTGCATGAACAAGTAGCCATTTCACTGTTTGAAACACCCCCTCTCTGTGAACACACATCCCAGCCCATTCATGCGACACCCTAAACCCCTCCCTAAAGAACCAAAAAGGAAACTTAAACATTGGTTTAAGGTAGCTTTAGGGATTCTACCTATGCAATATTTCAAGCCAAGATGGAAAATGTCACTGGAGGCTGGAAGAAAGGCTTACACAGTTTGAAAAGAGACACCTTTCCAGAATACAGAGAGCGTCTGGTCTATTTCAAGAACTGACACTTAGATGTAGATTTCCATTTTCCAAGCCTAGAAAATGGAACATGCAAAATCTGTTGCCTCTTCTTCCCCAAGAGCTGAGCTTGCTATTCTTTTAGGGATTTCATTTTGCTAATTAGTATTTATTGTGCATGTCCAACACGTCTTCTTAATAGACAGCTGGAGATATGTTGGTCCCAAGGAATGAAATTTACAAAGGGAAATGTTTGTTAGCCACTTACATCATAATAAAATTTGTTAATCTTTGAGGAGTCACAAGATTCTTTGTCATTATTAAGAGGCTTAAGTGTGCCTGTTTTACTGAGGTTGCATTTTTTATTGACTCTGCATTGTATAAGTGCTCCTGCTTTTGGGCTATACAGAACTCTTCCTCAAGTTATTCTGTACAACGCAATCCAATTCACATTCAGAAAATGTGGATCCAATAAAATTCACCAACATGCTAATTTATAAATGTGTAATTTTAAGAATATAATAATGTTCGCTCTATTTCCTTTACGTTGCATTTTTTAAAATGTTAAATGTAAGAGATAGGTTTAAATGCCAGATATCAAAAGGCACTGTTTTCCAAAAATTCAAGCTGCCTTTCTTTCTCATTTACATACCCACATTTATCACGCACACATAAGAATCTAATCCCATTGCTCAATTTGTTACAGTGCAATCCTATACATGTCTACTCAAAAGTAATCCCCACCGAGTTCAGTAGTACTTGCTCTTGTATAAATGGGTATAGGATTGCAGGAGAAGGCTCTGAGTACGGTAGAACTGTTTTCACTGCCAACATCTTTACTACATGTAATAAAATAGACCCTTACTTGTCTGCTGTTGAGCAGTAGCGGATGCCAGAAACCCAAGAAAACAGCACAAATAACAGAAAAGTTGGTATTGCCTGTAAGGAAAGAAAGACAGCTTAAACATGAACATACACGGCCTAATAATGTCACCCACTTTCATCTCACAGTCGTGCATATAAAATGCATAAAAGCATGACTTAAATCTTTGCTAGCACAGATGGCAAGCAAAGCTCCAAAATTTCGGGTTTGTGTCTTTTCCCCCAACAGTACAACAAAACGTTGCCTTAGCATTTGTCTCAGATACCTGTTCTTACATATATAACTGTCAGAAGGAAAAAGGAAGACACAGAGGGCAGCAAAGCCTATTTTAAATGCAATTAATTGTTCTTTCCTCCTCTATCCATGGCGCCCCTCAGTTAGATATGCAGTACATCACTTACCGGTTGTGCTGCATTTCCCCACCCGGTTTTTGTGCTTAGGCACCTAAGCAGCTGAATTTTCTGCCTATGGTCCCATGAACTTAAGGGTGAGAGGGTCCCAGAGTCAGTGCTCTCTGTCCTCCTCTCCTGCAAAGGCGTCTGTGTGTGCAAAGAAACACCAACGGCTGGAGCCGTTTTAATAATCTGGATGAGAAGTGGAGGTGGGCACTAAGCAGGCCTACGTGTTCCCGAGGGGACATGCGGGAGGAATTTAACTGGGATATAAAAAAGGGGAGGGGAGCAGGAGCGAGGGGTGTGGATATAAGTAGGAATTCCTAAGTTAAACAATGCTGCCCAGTGAGTAAGTTACATGGCAGGAAAGGAAGGGAGGGGAGTAGCTGATGGGAAAGAAACATGAGGTTAGACCCTGGAGGTGACCCAGCAAAGATTATGTATACTTTGGCAATTCCACTAATCAGGGTAAATTCAAATGCTGCCATGGGTGGGGGGAGGAACTTCTCATTTCTCACTGACTTCCTAATGAGGCAGTCTCTCAGCTCCCAGTCCTGCAGTAGAGGAATTTTGCTGAAACAGAAGCAAGCCATTTATGTAGGGTTCACTGCTTAAGTACGGATCTTGCCAAAGAATACAGATTACCTAGTTATATATTGTGAACCGGCAGGTTAATCAGTCTCTAACCAGTCACTTTAGTTTGGATATATTTTCAAGCACAGAAAACCACACAGGATGTCTGTGTGGATGGGCCGAGGGCGAGAAACCCAGTGGATCATCAGCTCATGATAGTCTGGCACGGGGGCCCTGGGAGAGGGAGATTGCTTTAATTCCTAGAAGACTTTCAGTAAAAGCTACAAGAGATTATAAGTCAGCACAAACCAAAGAGCTTTAGAAAGGCCTCACTGTAAAAAGCTCCCAAAATACACAAAGGAGAAGGGATTCTCTGTTAACGTCCAGACAGAATACAATAAAACGTGGTTGGAGCAAACTATTTCCTGACTTGCACGCTCTGTTTCAAAGGGAAAATATCAGGTACTGTAACTTAGAAAGACAGCATTGTGAAAAACATGGTGCAGATCAGCGAAGGCCAGTGGTCAAAGATAATAAGATCTATATTCCATATCCAACAATACTTGGAGAGCACTGCATGGGCCACCACTGGCGTAAATTGACTATTATTATTTAGAGCAGTGTGAGTGTCTGAGAAAAGGAAAATAGAGCTCTGGTCTAAGGCCAGAATCACATTTTTAATAAGTCTGGCTTTGCCTCTCTGTGGTATATCTTGGGGCACATAATTGGAATTGTTTGAACTGAGTTGCAGTTAACTGTACCGCTTTCTGCTACTTTGCATGTATGTGTCCATAAGGACAGCCATTATGAAAGACAGCAACTATACTGAAGTCTCCCAACAGATGTCAATGTAAAAATTATTACAGAGGAAGCCAGCAAGGTAAGTCAACACAAGGTGCATTCTCTGATCTTCCAGGCTTGTGATTTTCAGCTGTATCACACATAGCACAGCGTTCCCGCCCAAAATAGAACTTACTGTTGCTCCTGAAGCATCTAAGTACAAAGCTACTGAAGTGGAAACACAACAGGAACAGGTTTGCAGATGTCAGTCAATATGAACTCAATGTCAGTCAATATGAACTCAATTCTCAAGTCAAATTGAACAGGCATGTGATGGACAATAAAGTGACATCCTAATTGGATAATCAAATCATTATGGTTGACTCAATATAAATTGCATCTGCAAAAGATGTATGAGTAAATGTGTGTCAGACAGCCCAATCCTACTTCCTGGGAAACCAGTGAGCTATTCATAGTCACTATCAGGTCCACGATGTGTCATATACTTCATGTCTCCTCTTTCTAGTCTACTGAATTGCCCAACAGCTGCCTTGCAACCTCTTGTATTGGCTCTGTCATTCCCAAGTAACCATGTGCTCCTCAGGACCCTTTGGTTTCAATGGGAAAACTGCAAATATTTACTGCACAGACAAATTTTACCTCCTCTGAACAAGTGTTTTCTGGCTCTGGGGCTTGCGTATTCTGACACTGCAGAAAGTGTGCATTCTACCCTGCCATACAGTGGAAAGTTGCCTAAGAGTATAGAATACACTCCCAAAACCATGAGTGTTGTTTTTTTTAAGTCAATTGGATGAAAGTTAAGGTGCCCTAGAGTTTTAACCACAGATGATGAGCAGGGAAGCCACAGCTGGCTATGGCTGTTGTGCAGGTGTTTCTAGTGGAGAAGGAGATTGTGATGTCTCTGAACACATGAATATCTTTTTATGGTGCAGAAAGCTAGGTGAGTGGTAGCAGGGTCTCAAAGATGCCTTCTCTGTTCCCTAAGTCCCTATCAGTCCAATCCAATAAATCCCTTGCAGGAATGAAAGATTCAATGCATATACAGTGCTCCCCCATCCACAAGGACTTTCCTGTTGCTTTTAGTGCAGCGGACAGCTCACTGATGGGTGCCAATGCCAGTTTCACCTCACAGCAGATCAGAAAGTATATTATCTGTGCTATTATAGGTGCCAGTAACTGGCAGCTTGCAGACTGAATATAGCTTCCTCAAGGCTGCCATCTGGCTTTCCAGTTGCTCCCCCCACCCCCACCCCCGTCCTCTCCTGCAGATTTCCTGGAACAGCTCAGAGGAAGGAAGAAATGGTGCAAAAGGAAGAGGGAAAATTCTCTCCCTGCTTCATTCTGGAGGTGTTACGGCTGAACCATTGCTCTCCAAATCACACACATTCGTTTTGCTGTTGTTCTGTTTCATTATGGTCTCTGCAGGTTTTGCAAGTTTACAAAACAATCTGCAGAATCTGTTTGGCTGGAATGACTAAAGATGATAAAAGGGTAGAAGAAAATAATGGCCCGTACTCTGGGCAACAATGGACCTGTCAAACATCCCCAGTCTTGTTTGGTATCCCTTTGAAAGAAAGAGAAGGGACAGGTGGGAAGGAACATGGTATGTGGAATGGCAAGTGGAAGAGAAAATGCAATCACCAGTTCCTGTTATTATTTCTAAGCAGATGTTGAAGATGCAAAGAGGGGGGGAAATCAGAACATAAAGCTATAGTAATGTAAGAATATAATGTTCAGTTAAGAGCTGAAAATGTTTTCTGTGGCTATCTAATCCCATTGAAAGCAATGCTGGCTTTGATGTGATTTCGCTCTTGCTTCTGCTTCCTTATATTCCCATGCAAGCTGTCTCCTCCTTCATTTCTCTGCCTTCCCCTCTGCCACTGCCTACATTCCTGTATTTCACATGTGGCTGTGTGAAAGAAAACATAAGCAAGATGTTGAGATCTCCCTCTATTTCCCAACATACGGCATTCCTTTTGATGTCACTACATGCTGTGAAGTAATTAAGTTTTGAGTAACACAAATATTAACTGGGAGCTGGATACATTTCCTTCTCTGATTGATGCATACATTGCTTGAATAAATGCTTTGTTGTTTTGTTTGTTTTGTTTTGGCTTGCTATGCCCTTCCCAGCCCCACCTGCAACATATATTTAAACCCGAGAGAGTTTACTCAGCTATATAACCTTATAATGCATTCCAAATAAATTTGTAGGTCTCCATACAAAAAAATCTGGGTGTAAGTGTTACAACTGACCCTGCCTTACACCTTCAGGGTTGGTGTGTGTGTATGTGTATATACACACACACACAGTAAAATATTTTTTAAAAAACATTATTTCAAATGTATCACCAAAATCACCCTAAGCCACACTCACTAGATTAAAGGTAAAGGGACCCCTGACCATTAGGTCCAGTCGTGGCCGACTCTGGGGTTGCGGCGCTCATCTCGCTTTATTAGCCAAAAGAGCCGGCGTACAGCTTCCGGGTCATGTGGCCAGCATGACTAAGCCGCTTCTGGTGAACTGGAGCAGCGCACAGAAATACCGTTTACCTTCCCTATTTATGTACTTGCACTTTGACGTGCTTTTGAACTGCTAGGTTGGCAGGAGCAGGGACCGAGCAATGGGAGCTCACCCCGTCGTGGGGATTCGCACCGACCTTCTGATCGGCAAGTCCTAGGCTCTGTGGTTTAACCCACAGTGCCACCCGCGTCCCTTTTCGTTGTTGTTTAGTCGTTTAGTCGTGTCCGACTCTTCGTGACCCCATGGACCAGAGCACGCCAGGCACTCCTGTCTTCCACTGCCTCCTGCAGTTTAGTCAAACTCATGCTGGTAGCCTCAAGAACACCATCCAACCATCTCGTCCTCTGTCATCCCCTTCTCCTTGTGCCCTCCATCTTTCCCAATATCAGGGTCTTTTCCAAGGAATCTTCTCTTCTCATGAGGTGGCCAAAGTATTGGAGCCTCAGCTTCACGATCTGTCCTTCCAATAAGCACTCAGGGCTGATTTCCTTAAGAATGGCACGTCCCTTTACTGCCAAACAAAAATGGCATTCGAGCACCTTGAAAAGGTGTTCAAACTAAAGCTTTGGTGCATGTAGGAAGAAGACAGTTGAGTCTCCAGCTGTTTTCGGACTACAATTCCCATCATCCCTGATCACTGGTATTGCTAGCTAGGGACGATGGGGGTTGTAGTCCAAAATTAGCTGGAAAACCAAGTTTAGGAAACACTGACCTAGAACATAGATGCATGCTTGAACCAGCTTGAAATGCACTCCAATTTGGAATT